TATTTTTAACTAACTCGGCAGGGTCAGTGCTTCCAACCACTTTGTTATACAAATTACACAATCGTATACAGCGTGTTGAATGTTGCGCCGCCCGACGACGGTTTTACTAGTTTCACATTCGATCCTCGACTAATGATGATTAACGATGCACATGAGAGATTAGAAAAGTGCGTGGAATAAACATTGCGGTTGCGTTTTATTGAAAACTAACGGGTGGGATTAGTGAATAATTGAAAGCGATTGTTTTCATTGATTGGTTTTTGCTTTGACGAGTCGTATTAATCATGTGATTAAATGATTGCACCGCCGATGAATTATTCATACGGTGTAGGTATAAGAGATTGGGCGTACTTTGTAAGACTTATGTGCAGCTTTTACAAAGCTTAGGTTTTTCCTCTAAGGGTTACCGTTACAGCCTATCCAGTTACAGACTAAAATCCAGTTCAACAGAATATGAGAAAGTAACTGTTGAACTAACATTATACAAGCGATTAAAAAATTAGGAAGTAAAGACTTGAGCAATTATTAACATGTGCAAGATAAATATGAATGAGAAGCAAGAAGGCCGAAGAGAAAGCGTAATAGATGTAGGAATATCTTTACCTTTAACCAACCAAAAAAAAGCCTATTTCGAAATCAAATTATCAGTGGATTCTTTCATCTTTCCACCTTGTTAGAGGCAACACATTCGTTAGTTTTCGAACGTCCCTAACGAGGAAAAAGAGTATTTCAAAAGAGCCGACGTCTTTAACAAGCATTTAAAAATAACTTATCGATAATGCATATATATTTTAGTAGGCGAGTCATATTTCATCTGCAATACGGGTTAAATACAATAACCGTTCGTTGTTAATTGGCTATTTTTAGATATATTCGCATTTTGCTCCGTTTAGCTTATATTTTTGCTGTCTTCAATTTGAATAATTGCGTTTTATGAGCGAGCCTTCGGCTATTGCCAACAAACGGAATGAAGAAGTTATTAATTAAGGCCACGCAGTACGCCTTAGTGCCTCATTTGCACTTGGCTCTGTGCTATTACGGTAGGGTTTTACTTTGATAGTTTCCAACCCGCTTACGTTCTCTGTAATTTTATGCCATTCTGTTTAATCATAATACTTTACCATCACTGTTTTATATATTGTGAAATTTTTGATTCGAAAACTGGGCACTTAGCCGCGGTATTTTTCTAATGACCAGATGCTTGGCCGGGTTGGAATCACTATTAATTTATCGCTTTGACAATTAGTAAGGTTAAACTTTTTATCTAGTATCGATATCCCAAGGAAATTTAAATTGGCTGTTTCTACAGCCGCAGTCGAGCCTAAACGGGCTTCGTTGTCTAAATTGCGTTGCATAAAGTGCTTTTCTTCATTAAAGATATTGTCGTTCGTGAAGACCAAGCGATATAACAGTTTCATTAACCTTCATTCTTTCAGTAGATATTATTTATAGGGTGAATCAGATTGAATATTTAAAAAAAAATAACCTTAACATACTAGTAGTCTATATTGTAACTAGAATAAATTCTTGAACTGTTATGTTATAAAAGATGACTGAATAGTCTACATATATTAACTAGGTTATTTACGAGCGTCATTGACGACTAGATTAATAAAATCAAGATAACTTTGTATGGACGTGTGTGCGAATGTATATGGATAGTTTAGTGGATTTTTTAATAAATAAATAAACACAATTTAACATGAACAATTCTAACAAATTTATTCTGACAAGATACTATGTTAATTTTATCCGAGTCCATCTATCATCGAACACTCATTATACATTTTTAATTAAACCCGTTGACAAGTGCATGTAAAATAAGTATACAACATACAGAAGTAATAAATATGATTCAAACGAGGCGCCATTAAAATCGTTTATTGCATTTAAAGTATTTCTAAAATCACACGATTTCCATTTAACATTACATCCTGATATGCTAATTTACCTGAGACCATTTATCAATTTTTTTAATTAACCGGGTAGAACATGTTTACTTTTATATGCAACTATTTTAATTAATTAAAAAAAAATTCAACGCGGCGCCAAGAATATTATATTTATTTGCGTAATGGGAAATTATACACGTGTAATTTTCCATAACGCCTACATATTAAGAGAATCCAAACTATTAAAAAAATAACTATAATGTAAGTATTAAAATGGAAGAGAGAATAGGTTTTTTGCACGACAAAGGAAATGAATATGCACGATAAAAGTAATCGTGAAAATTGAAATTTACTGTGTGAAAACTCATCAACTTCTACTTGCGAAGTTAATATTAATTTTCGATTTATACATTTTTAAAAAAGTTTGTTCAATAAGAATGTCGTTAAGCATTTTCCTCGTCTCCAAAATCCCGTTAAATATATTTAAAAAATTTTATTAACCGTTCATTTCCAATTCTCGTATTGTATTAATCCTCTGATTAACTGACTTTTTAACGTTTCCACGTTCCCCGACGCCCAGTCACCGGTTTAAATCAAATCTCAATCACACGATAAAGAAACAAACCGGCCGTATTTTCAGGATTTTCGATCGACCAAAGCCGTATTCCCGTATTATCTTACAATAAATTTCAGTCAAATTAACACCTTAATAAAAAAATATTATCAATCGAGTTTCGGCGACAAAAATCATATTCACACTCCAGACGGTCATAATTAAATGACACCAGAAACGCTAATTGACAAAGAGAAAGGCCTTCGGAATGTAATGAGGATTCGATTCTATTGCATCACTCAGCGGGACACATATAGCAGTGGTTTTGTTGTATTTGTTGTCGAATCAATTTTCAGAACCGTTACTATTTATAGCATTTGATATGGGTCTTCTTGAATGTGTTGAAGATATTCGGAATAGAAGCGGCGAATCGTGTTGAATGCGCGAGATTCCATTGTGTTACAGGGCAAGTTTCAGAAATTATAGTCTACATATCTTTGCATTTTTGCGATAAATTAGTAAAAAATTTTAAAGATTAGTTCAACAGTAAATGTGTTTACATCAAGTGTTTGTAAAAGGTTTTTGAATGTAGTTTGAATACATTAGAAAATTTCCCAAGCCTCTAGGAATGACACGAAGATCGCGGGCAACGCAAATATTTTTTCAAACAACAGAAACGCATTAAACACGCGTTTATTCAACACGATGCAATAATAATTGTTCATTGCCAACAATTCCAAATGACCTGAAATACTCGACTTTCGTTACAGCCCGTAATGCTTTATACAGGATATCTCAAAGAGTTAGAACCTGTTCGCAAAATCCCTAACGATGCAACTTGGTAACAATTTTCTCTAAAAATTGGTACGTTAGTTAGCAATACAAGATACAATAAATGATCTAATACAAGTCACACACCCTGTATATTTGCCTATTGAACGTCCGCGTCGAGTTTTTATTGTTATAAACAATTACACGGTCGATTTCCATACGGACCAAAAGCACCAAGCTGTCTGGCTTAATTATCTTCTCTTGAGATGTCGCGTGGAGAAAAAAAACCCGTCCGGCCTTAAATCACGGCGGGTTTGATTTACGCCCGCAGAAAAACGGAACGAGTTCGCTCGACGAGGAGGATTGAGATTAAACATTCGCGGAATTGTTTCCTGAATAGAGGTGAACTATTAACGCGCTTGTACCGTTTATTAAACAAAAACAAGCATGGGATTTAATATTTAAATATTACCGCGATAAATATACAAACATCATTCACGTTACTCGGAACGAATCTAAAAACCAAGCAATGACATCATATTTTCGAAAAAAATAACCAATAATCGCGTAATGGTTTGTGATATGAATAAATTGTGTTTCTAAAGTTTGCATAATTAGATCACACAAGGCTGAACTGGTTCAATAGTAAAACAAAACGGACGATTAGTGGTAACGAAATTTTTCAAAACTAGATTATATCTATGTATGTTTACAGCACAAGAAATTCTAATTTAGAATTATCTGTAGACTGCGGTTGGAGTTTTATCTGCGGTGTAATTCATAAAGTGAGTCGAAGTGGGTCTGCACGTTCGACGGGATTCGTTTATTAATATAAAAAATACAGGGTGTCTTCAACAAATTTGGAACAAAAATGAACCTATATTTAGACTCCTGCAACAGAAACAATTTGTAATTTTTTTCTCAGGTTGTTTGTTTGATTTTGTTGCAGTCCTTTTAAGGACAACCTGTATGTCAAATAATGAGAATAAAATTCGTCATTTTTGTTAAACAATCGCATTTATTAAAAATTATTCAATATTTATTTGAATATTTAACAGTGTGAGTCCTCCAGCGAAACCCCAACTGATTAAAATTAACGCTTACTCAACAAATTCGTCTACTTTTGCAGGTTAGAAACAGAAATTACAATTGGTCTTCAATTAGGATTTATTCAAGTTTAATGAAGTAGGAACGGGTGAATCACCGACAGTTTTTTTTTCCAGCGCTAACCATCTAATTGGGGTATCTTTATGGCAGCTTTTTAGATTAATTTTACAAAATAACCGTGCTTAATACGAAATAATATTTAAGTGTCAGAAGAGCCTTATTAGAGACCCTTTAATGAGGGTCTCGGGACCTTTATCTCTTTTCGAATCACGTCCCATTTAAAAATAATTCGATAAAAGGATGACTGCATATCTAATATCAGGTAGTTCCTTTTGTATGCACACGTAAGTCCCTAAATAGATTTGAAAAATAATTTAGGTATTATAATAAGTCCAGTAATTATTTGAGAGAAGATTCTTTACCTATATTGTGTTAAGAAAAGATATAATACAGGGTGTCTTGAAGTTGATGCAGGAAAATTTGTTTAATAAGAAAAAATTAGGGGTCCTAAAAACGCACTTTTGCATTAAATTTTAAGAGTATTTTTAAAGGTGGTTTTGAAAGAATTTTTACTCCGAAATATTATGGACAATGTAAGAAAGTTTTGGGTAGTAAAATGTCCGAAATATGGCGCAAAATTTAATGTCAAGGACAAAACGACATTGAACTCTGTGTACTCACCTCGAGCGAACCATGATGCTGGCTCTCCCTTTAATCCTTCGGCATCTCCATGCGCACAACACGCGATGAAAAATCAGCGTCGAGCCGGCGTCGTCGTCGTCGTCGCCGCCCCCGACGTTAGCATGCCGCCGTCGATGCCCTTTCGCGATCCGCGGTTCCGCTTCGCCCCCTTTTTCCCCAATGTACGCGAAGCGGCCGCCGTTCGGAGTCTTTCGCTGGTATCGGGAGCACGTGCACCACGTGTAGGAAAGCTCGCGCGACAAACTTTCACAGACTCGCCGTTCGCTTGCCGGAATCGAACTGCATGCCGGCTTGGCGTACGGCGGCGACCGGCCCCCGAGATTTCTAACTCTTGGCCGGCCTCTCTACTCTCTACTCCACTCTACTATTCACCGGCTGAGCCACTTTGCCGGCCGCACACTCATTCGGGGGCGGATGGGATAAGGTGGAAATCGCGGAAAGTTTTCGCCTCCGAGAGGATTCTATGTAATCGAGTCTTGTACGATTTGTGCGATATGTGTACAAAATGATATACACACTTAAGATTTTTTTTGCATATGTATATGAAGTTGAAATTCCACTGGTCATTTATTATTTGAAATGTCTTTTGTTAAATTGTTTTTTTCATAATATGATTTCTTATGCATTGAAACACCTGTCTTCAAATTTTCACTTCTGTACATCCAAATTCTTTCAAACTGCTGCGAAAAATCATTTTTTTGATTTCAACTTTGACCCTCTGTATCTTTTTTATTTTCAATATTTTACTAAAGCAAGTTGGGTCAGATTGTAACATTTTGAGGCCCAGAATCTTCCCTTTCACTTTTGGACCATTACTTACGGACCACCTTGTATATACACTCTCAAAAATTTTTTGCATAAAAGAATAAACATTTAATGAAACGAATTATTTGTAAAATTACTCATCAAAATTAGTTTCCAAAAGGCACAAACACCGTTTAAAATTAACAATAAAAACAATTTAAAAAGACATTTTAAATAAAAAAATAGGCAGTAGCATTTCAACTATACAATATGCAAAACAATTTTGAGTATGTGTAGCTAAAATTGTTATAATTTTTTTGATAATACTTCTTGAAGTTTTGAAGAAAACTTATGTTGATAAATAAGGTTTTCGTTATAAAGAAAAACGTGAGTGAAGTTTCTCGAATGAAATGTTTTAGAGTTTGTTTTAGATGTTTTAGAGTGATGAAATGATAAAATGAAACAATACTTTTAGGTTGCCAAAAATCACGGGAAATTCAAGCAAAGTAGTTATCAGGAAAATTACATTAATCTTTAACTTGAAACTCTAAATCTTCTCTATAAAATAGAACAAAAAAGGGCGTTTCTTAAATGAATGTCCTGTAAGATTGTTACTTAAAAATACTACTAAAACTCGTCCTTTGAAAAAAAATTAAAAAATATCTAGAAATCCTCATTGGTCGATCCGCCCCTGATACGAACGGCAATCTCTATAGAAACATCCTCCAATTCCGTTAGAAAAAATCGCAAACAACGCGCGGATTCGATTAAATAAAATTTCTAAAAAAAAATTTAATCGAGTTTTGTCGCTTAAATACTTGTTTACATCAGAAATTGAAATAGTCTGTGTCCAGGCCTTCCTTCAAGCGTATGCTGTACGGCACGTTGTTGAGGGAATTGTTGGTTCGCACCATTTTCAAGTTGAGTTGCTCGTTCACCAGGCGCTTTCTGTACTTCTTAAACTTCGATTCCTCTTTGAAACGCTTGAATACATCCTCGGTGCTGGGTATGCGCCTCTCCAAGAACAGCTTCATCCTGATAAAAATAATTAAAAACTCGCTCAATAGAATGATGATATTCAAATACCCGTCAAAGATGTGTCCAACGTTATTGCGATCAACGAACACTTTCGGAACCAAGAGACATGTCAGAGGCGTCAGAGCGATGATGCGTCTGCCGGTCAAATGTTCGCCTATGTTGAAGCAAGAACCAGTGGTGAATTCGCAGATCTTTACAAAGTGAGTCCTATACGATATTTTCGGTGTATAAAAGGATAGTCCTTTTATTTCCTCGTCTCTGGTTTCGACAGAAAGTAGCTCGGTGAACAATTCTGAAAGATAACACGTTAGGAATGATCTGTTAAATTAAAATAGATTTACCGATTTCTTTGTCGTCTGATTCGAATTGCATTCTTATCTTTTGGGTCTTAGTGGTCTTAGTTGATTCTCCTCCACCGCTCGATGTTGGGGATCTAACGCATTTATCGTCTCCTGGTGCGAATGTGGTCACTCTTTCGGATTCCTTGCGAGAAATATCCCATTTGGAAGCTGCAAATTACATAAAACTAGCTCATTGAAAAGTATTGAGGTAGTGTATAGTGCTTACGTCTCGATGCTTTAGATATTCTCGATATTTTAGACGCTCTAGTGGATGCTCTAGTGGATGTTCTAGTGGATGCTTTAGATGTTCCTGATATAGACTCCGTCATTCCATGATGGTATTTTCTGCAATAGTTCGTGCTTTGTCTCTCCGATATTTTTGCGAAGTCTTCCGGCGAGGTCATCAGTTCGTATCTTTCAACACCTTGCTTGACAATAATCTTCACGTTTAATTGTTCCAATATGTAGCAAGAACCTGCAAATAAAACAATCCAAATCTCTTCTAAAGAACCAACTGCTTAATACTTACCCGATGTAACAAAATACACGAACTTATTAGAACCGACACCATCGCCTAACACAGTCTCATCCTGTTCGAATGAATTCATGTTGGAAACGATGCTGCATTCGGTCTTAACGGTCGAATCCCAGATGTCGAAGTACCGGAAGCTCTCGATGTTCATGCGAATTTCCTTCCACTTCTTCATGATCGTGTCCTTCAGCACCGAGTCGAAGTTCTCCTTTTTGATCATCAGGAACTCGCAGTCGGTGACCGTGGTGATGGTCACCACGCGCGGTACGTCGTTCAACAAGCAGTACTCGCCGAACAACGAGCCCGCGTATAGGACCCCCTTTTCCTCAGACAGCCATTGCTTCACACCCGGGTTGAAGTAGTTAGTTGTTATTTTGCATTCTCCCGTTAGAAGGAAGTACAAACCTGGAACGAGAAGAAAATTTGGTCTTGCTTTGCACGATTTTTGTAAGATTGTTGAAACATGATCCAGTTCCAGCTCATTGCAAAAGAGGAATCAACCAAAATACAGTTGCACCAGAGGGTGATGAAAAAAAAAATTGATACCTACATTTCAAGTTTTCTACTATCTATAAGTTTACAGCTTAAACCATGTAAAAACTGAATGTACCTTCGGCGGGATGCCCTTCTTTAACAATAACCCTATTAGGTCCGAAATACAAAAAGAAAGTCTTAGCGACCATCTTTTTCCTGACATCGATCGGGTACTTTCTGAAAAATTTTAGATTGGCTACAGTTTTATTCAAATGGTCTAAATCTTCTTCGGTTCGATCCGGTAGTTTTTTGGTCATAATCGCCTTCTCTTTCACAGTTATGGGACTCGATATCGGCTTCTTTCGCAATAACAGCCTGATGTTCTTGATGACGTTCGTCGTCATTTCTCCCTTTGTGGTATCCTCCAGCCATTTCAAATTGGCTATCACGAATCGAACTATGGCTCTGAATTTTCTGATGACCTTATTATGGCGGGCGAGCCGTTGCTCCGGCGTCAATTCCTCGAATTCCATGGTCATTTAAATTTTGTGTCGGCACAAAAATGAGAAAAAAAGGTAATTGCTTTACAAAAAAATGACAGTGGGTTAGTTACGAAGTGTCATGAGTTGACACTAATAGTGTTAAGGAAGTTTAAGTGAAGACTAGTACTTTTAAAAGTAGTATTTGTTAGATAACTCAAGGTGATCTTTGGTGAGTTTAGTGTGTACCTTCTGCAGGATGACCTTCTTTAACAATGGTCCTTCCAGGTCCATAATAGATAAAAAAAGTGACGGCGACCAGTCGTTTTCTGACCTCAGATGTGTACTTTCTGAATAATTTAAGGGAAGCCACCGTTCTGTACAAATGCGCTTTATCTTCATCTGTTCGATCCGATAGTTTTTTGTTCAACATCGCCTTCTCTTTTATAGTCAGAAGGCTGACTATCGGCTTCTTTCGCAACAGCAGCCTGATGTTCTTGATGACGTTCGTAGTCATTTCTTGTTCGCCCTCGTCCTCCAGCCATTTTACATTGGCCATCACGAATCTAACTACCGCTCTGAACCTGTAGATGACCGAATTGTGACGGGCTATCCGCTGTTCCGGCGTCAACTCTTCTGGACTAAAATCCATTTTCTATTAGATATTTCTATTAGATATTTTCTATTATTCTTATATTAAAATAGTATTATACAAAAAATAGCAGTATATCACAAAAAACTGACAGTGTAAGTAATACAGTCATTTGATGACATTGACTTTATTGGGCTTTATTTGGGGTTTTTAATAACCGCCAAGTTGGTACCGGTTTCGTTAATCTGGTGTAAAATTTAACGTAACGTTTGCGTATAAAAATTTGTCCACGATAACAACGTACACTTTCTCTACGTCGATAAATAGAAAACCATATTTCATATATATTTTATTATGTGGGTGACGGATTATAAGGTTCGTTTCGATTCATTACACGCACACCATTTTTTGACGAAGACACAATAGATATTAACGAATAAAGCGCTTCGAAAACAAAGAGGTCCATTTGTTAAATCGTGATTAACCACCGTCAATGGACTGATTACTATAGTGTGTTCGTACACCGTGGATGATTTAACAGATGGCTTGATACGGTAAGATTGATAACGACGAGCGAAAGTAATGTATCGAAACGACTCCTCGTTAATCTTTTAATTGTTAATTATTTAATTATTTTTTTCCATTACCGCTTAAGGTTTCTAAGGCGGTGGTTACTGATCAAATATTTATCAGAAATAATTGAATTGAACAGTGAGTTGTTGAAACCCCTCTTATACTATTATAAGCTATTTTTTTAATTCTTTCTGATGGAACATGTGAGTAGATATTCATTTCTTTGGATGCAATTTCGCTACTTTTCGAAATTGATTTTCCCCACTTTTTTTATACCATTTAGCGAAGCTTCTCAATTCACGAATCGAGGCAATATCCGCAGAATGGAAAACGCCGCCTGGAAGCGTTCTGCTCGGCGCAGATACGTCGAGGAAATTCAAAACGGAATCGTATCCTTCCTCATTAATCTCATGCATTCACGTGTATTATAATCTGACGTAAAAGAGACGTGACCTATCAATACATCCGAGGCGCTCACGTTTATCATTGTTATTTCAGACGGAATTTCGTCGTATGCACAGGTATTACAGACGAACATAATTAAGGGGTGAGCATAATCAATTCCTACGGAGGCTTCGCCAGTCACCACGTTCTATTGACGTATCGTCTCTTTAAAATTCCGGTTATATTCCGTGTGTGTACCGCAACAATACAAGTATAGCAAAGAAACAGATACGAGTAATTGCATGCATCAATTCAAGAAGCCCTTTCGAAATAAAATTAGTTATTGAAAAATTAAAAATACAACCGCTCTGTATATGTGTATTCTTGCATACTTAATGCTTATACAAAATTAATGCTCGCTAAGCATCGCAATTACCTTATCCATGTTGATTTGAATAATTTAATTTAATATAATATTATCCGTATCATTAAGCGACCTAGATTTTTTTCCTAATGCATTATTCTTTCGACGAAATTGCGCGATTCGGGCCAGAAGCAAACGAACATGTTCTTCGACCGTAAGTATTTTATTCTCCAATTTTTCCATTATCTTTCTCTAAGCGTTCAGGTCTGGCATTTCGCGTGGCGGGCACCACAGACTTCGCCAAATTGTTCACATGGATCCCGCAAATGCTGCTGCAATTCATCTTTTTCTGGCCGAAGCAGAAAACGTACTTGAAAACGGTTCTGTTCGCCATCGCAATGGTCTTCTTGATCTTCATTAACGTGGGACTGGCAGTGGAATTCAGTTCCACTTTCGACGATTTGGTCAGATTCGTAATGCACGTCACTTATATCACAGTCACGGTCCAGGTAAGATGGTCTATCTCTTGGAAGATCTCTTGGAAAAACTCTTCCATGGAACCTCCAAGAAGGATATTTCCTCAAGTATATACCCCTTCTAGTAATAGTGCCAAAAACTGAAGAAACTATCTTACCCTATTCTTGCAATAAAATATCCTAACTAACCAAATATACACCAAAATACCTTGATTTGTTTAGGGTACAGCAAAGACGCTGGTAATATACATCAACAACGGCGAATTAGAAGTAATTTTGGATGACATAATGACCAAATTCTGGCCCTACGACTTGCTAGAAACGAAATTAAAGAAGGAATTGAAATCCTTCTACTACGTCATCGTCATCATCATGATATCGCTGGTAACGTTCGGAGTGCTCTACAGCTCGATGATCATGATAACGCCTTGGGCGTCTCGCAAGTTCCCGTTCGACGTGTCTTATCCAAACATCGATTACAATGCGAGCCCGTACTACGAGCTCATTTATTTGGTGCAAATCTTCACGATACAGTACTTTCTGTTCTGTTTGGTGCTTGGTTGTGATTATTCGTTCCTGGCAATTTGCTCGTGCGTCATAGCGCAGTATAAGCTGTTGCAGAACGCTCTGATGGCGTTCCACACGCCTCTCATGGAAGAGGTCAATCGGAAATTGAGGCGAATTGGCAACGACGGTCTCGAAGGGAAGATGTATCCCATTCATAAGGAGTATTTCATAAGATGTGTCAATCACCATCATTTGCTTTTGGGGTAGGAATGCTTATTGATGCAGCTTAGAAATTGACCAAAAAAAACTGTTGGAAACTATTTCTCTCCATAGAAAGTTATTAGAATAATTGAAGGAGTAAAGAGAACGTTTCCTTTTGACTATTAATTTATAATTGAGGATTTGGTTTATTTTTTAGAATTACTAAAAAAATGAACAGTATGTTCAGTTCAATCGAGATGGTCCAACTTAGTTGCAGTATGACTGGAGTCTGTATAGGATTGTTTTCCTTAACAGCTTTGGTAAAATATAATTTAGTCTTTAATCTAAGAGTATATAATTATGTTAGTGCTTTTTTAATTATGTAATTGATTTTTTAGGAAGATCCACCTGTTTCGTCCTTAGTCATTATATTGAGCTTCACAGCCATATATTTCAATGAATTGTTCGTATATTGCGCTATAGGAAATGAACTTCATTACCAGGTAAGCCGTAATAAAGAGGAGTAAGTACAATTCCAAGTAATGTTACAGAAAAAAAATCGTACGTTATTTTTTAGGCTAGTTTCTTGCCTGAGTTCGTATTTAAAAGCAATTGGAACGAATTGGCCGATAAGGAATTGACGCGAGATTTTATGTTCATGTTGCAGCGATCGCAGGATATTCCCCAGTTGAGCGCTTATAATTTATATGACATTAATATGGAATCTTATATCAAAGTAAGTAGTTGTGGAAATAAGTACCTTCGATCGAGTTTGTTATAAATTAATAGGATAGGAGTACAGATTAATATGAGAGTATGTATTAGATAAATTTCTCGTAAATGTAAGAATTTACTTCTTTTTAGGTTTTTAAGCTATCATTTTCTTTCTACACTTTTCTCACTACGATGAAAGAGAAATAATGAAAGTTTGATAATTATTTTTGGTCACTTGTTACAATTAATTATCTTAATTGCATTACTGAATAAAATTAGAAAATATTCACTCTTATAATCCTCTTCAAGAATTAATTATGCAGAATCAACTTGTTTTATTTTACTGGAACCGATACAAGAAAGTAAAATCCATTTCCAACTTCCCATTGAACTTACTCTTGACCTTGAGTTTATGCAACCGAGAACACCCAAATGCTGTGATAACGAATTGACAACAGGTAAAAGACCAGATTTTAAATAAAAAGAGGAATGACAATAATGACAGTAACTGTCACTTATAAAATTATTGACACTTCACTTATTTTTGTTTGAGAATTTTACTAATTTATTCAAATTTAGATTTTACTTTTCTGGACTGTTATTTGCCAGTTAATTCAATTGAATTTACTTCGTTAAGAAATGGAAGAGGTTATAATTGAAAAGTTTTCTCAAAATGTTCCTAGAGCCGAGGCAGCAAAAACGGTTATAGTATACTTCGAACTTTTAGATGGTAAAAAATTTTACGATGTCGACATTATTTTTAACGAAAACCTCCAAAAATTGATCGTAATTGGAAGGAAATGTAAGAATTCACCGATGTGCGCGTTTATTCCCATTTCTGTTTATGAATATTTAGACTTTTCCTTTTTGGAAAAGATAACCAATGCCCATTCATATCCTTTAACATGCGTTGTAATCGTAAGCAGAGACTCTACAACAGTTTATTATCAATTAGAAAACGGATTAGTAGAACCAGACGTTTCATCCACAAGAAATTCTAAGGTAAATTACAGTCAAATTGTTTTCATTTTTAATAAATTGTATATTTCGTTTTCTAGTTGGACCGAAGGACTCAATTGGATAAGAATTTGGAAAGATATCAGTCGTTAATTGAAGATGCGGCTATGTTGCAGCAGAAAGTACAAATTCCACCAAACTGTGAAACTGCTAATGATAATCATTCAGAATTTCCAAGGCAATTTACAGATTCTTCGGATGACAAAATGGCCAATACAAATAAAATTCTGTGATTGCAGGATTCTCAGGCATGTGCACCTGTATTTGGGAAACTACAAGTGAACAAGGAACCAATAACAAACATGGGAGAATGTTAATATGGTTCAGGAACTGGTTCAGGAGAATTATTTCCTTCTATGAAAAGATGAGAAATAAGCACCATACATTATTTTTAAGCAATAGATTTTCCGTAACGTTAAAGGCCATTATTTTTATCTCACTTTTAAGCCATGGTATGTTTTACACTTTATTTTACTTAAAAACTAAACACAATTTACATATCACATCATTTAAAATTCGTATAACGTTAATTCTTTTTCCCGTTGATTTTACTTATTTTGCTTCTTGAAAGATTATCAAAAAATAACAGACCAGCTGCTCTTTCAACACTATCAGGAGGTACCTTAAAAATACAATTCATATTAAAAATTTTCAAACTGTGTGAACAGTGGAAAACCAATGTGGAATCATTGGTGCACTCAACATTTGTATAAACAATTCCATTGTATATTTGAACAGTTCATTGTAATCATTAGTAATTAATATGTATTTTTACCTGAAAACTAGTCAATGGAATATTATCATTTATAACTTGATTCGGCATCACATATGCCTCCATTTCTAATGAACCATTAGAGAGTTCCCCAACAACTACTTTAAAAAAATGAGTAGGGACAGCAACATGATTAGCTCCTATAACTTCGTATTTTACATAGTTCTTTCCATCATTTTCTTTCCTAAAAAATATAATGAAATCATCAGATTGTTATCCCGTTCAATTTCTATACGAATACTTTGGTAAATATAAAGGCCCAGTGCAGCAATAAACGTTCGCATAAATCTTCGTTAAATTCCTAACGTGCTTCTCCAATTTATTCCAGGCATCTCTATTGAACCCTCTACCCACTTGCGGCGCCATGTTGGATAAATAAAACGTTTCTTCTACGTGTTGTTGGTGGAATTTGTGATTACCCGCAGCCGCCAAATGTCCCCTGTCGTAGCCCGATTTTTTATAATCCGAATTTTCCGATCTGGAACCAATTGAAACAGAATAAAAACCACAAAAACAATTCGCCAACGTACTAATATGGTAATAATGAACACGATCATGTTGCTCCACTTGATCACATAAGCGGATAATGATCGTAAAATGTTGCTTGATTTAGTAGAATGCGATTGATGATCTTAAAATGTATACCTAAAATATTTATGAATGCTTTCATCGGGTTTGAAATCGCACTTTGATCTATCCACTGCTTCGTTGTATTTGACGCTGTCTTTGGTCAAATGCTCAAACACCCAATGGGCAACTCGATTCCTGCGATCGTAACTCAAAACATAGTCGCTGAATGATCTGACGTTGTCTAAACCGGGAAAACCGTATTTCATTATTTGGGCTATTCTGTTCCCTGTGGATTTCAATTCAAGGGCGTTTGTTGCACTGGCTAGGGATTGATCTGGTACGGGAACAGGTGAGAATGATGTAGCCGCTGAAACAGTGCCGAAGATGGGTAAACCCGGCATATTCTTCAGATTCAAGTTATTTTGGGGGAGTACATTTTTATATCGTTCTGTTTGGATTCCTGCTAAATAACCACATGCAGCAACAGAACCTATTGAGATGTACTTTAACAACACACTTTTCGACATTTTTTGTACAATGTTAGGTAGTTAGGTTATGTTATGTACGTGTTATGACATCTGTTACGTCATAATTTTTCTTCTTTTTTTAAGAGTTAACAAGTTTGAAAATTTATCATTATTTTTGTTTTTATTTTAGTGATTTTACTCATTTTCATCTTTCTTTCTCTATGCTTATTTGAAATAACGAAAAATTTCTTGAAAATTTGTTTAATAAGAACCATTCTGTCAAAAAATTAGAAAAATAAATCATTTATTGGAATTGCGTATTAGTTTACTAGTAAAATACTGTTTACAAAAATATCATTATAAACTTTATTAAAAGTACAGAGTTACTTAAAAGAAGACCGAATTGATTTTATCACAAGACTTTATTAAATATATTTATAATTTATATATCGTTTTCCGTACTATTCGCATGCTCCATGGCTACAACATTTGACAGTGCCTCGTCTTGGGCTTCTTGGATTTGGTCTTCGTGAACACTCTGATGGCCTCGACGAAGATTTCCTCCAGTCCCTGGTACCTCAACGCCGAGCATTCCACGTAGCTTTGCGCCCTGACTTTCCTCTTCAACTTTTTGCCCTCCTCGGGCGAGTAACAAGCCAGGCTCGGGTCGTCTCTTAAATCAGTTTTGGTCGCTGAACCGAAAATAAATCATGATCAATTCATTTCAACGAATCAAAATTCGATTTTAAGCAGCTCACCTACTAATATAATCGGTACGTTGGGGTTAAAATGCCGAACTTCCGGTACCCATTTCAAATGTACGTTGTCGTAGGATGCTAGATTTTTGTCCACGGAAAAACAGACTAGAAAACAGTTTGTCTGAAATTAAAATTACTAAAAATTAAAAACAAAATTCGTCTTTTAACATTTTTGTCTAGCAACGGTGTTATTCGGCTTGCTAGATTGATGCCAGATTCTATTGGTTTTTCGATTCTGTCATATGCCAATAGGAGTAATTAGGTATGTTTGATTTCAAATTTTTCGCACAAATAGAAATAAATACTAAATTTGTATTTTCAGTACTCTTAAGTTTTAAGTAAGATCATATTTGCTTACAATTGCTTTCTATTGTACATTAATGTAATATTGCAATAAAACTAATGAAATTTAGTAATGAAAATTACAGTTTTCAATACAGCAAGGAGGCTGTGGAAACCCGAATGACATTATATAAACTGTCAAAATTTTGAAAAGTTTTATTATTTTTTTTTTTTTATTTTTAGTGCGTTGCAAAATAATTGAAATATCGTAAAATGTCTGAGCCTAATAATTCCGATTTGTCCCCGATAATGGAGCACGTTTTGAAATCGCTGTTTTTACAAGTATGTATACCCTGGTTCCAAAATAACTTGCAGTGACTCATTCCAATTATTACGGTATAATTATGGATAATATTTTAGTATTATTTCTATTGTACATATTTTATTGGGAAACTTACATTGGGATAAGATAGAGGCCTTAGTCTTTCGTAATCTTCCTGCCCCGCAGTGTCCCATAAGGTCATATTGTAATGCGTGTCATCGACGGTAATTGTTTGTCCATAATGTTCAAATCTAAAAAGAAAAATTCCTTTTAATTCTTGCTTATATTAGAGCGAGTAAATTTTTATTACACTGTTGGTATGTATTCCTTAGGAAATTCGCCCGTTGTGTAAGTACTTAACATGCAAGTTTTTCCTACGATTCCATCGCCGACTACGGTTACTTTTACGTTGTTATTAGTCATGACGACGGCTGAAACGGAAATAAATTTGTGTAAAAAAAGTAGTAAATATTCTCTAATATTTTAACGTCTCGCAATTCATATATGAGTGCAAATTTGTTTGCAATATGGTCAATTGTATGAGTTGAAGAAAGAAAGCCTTTAAAATAACAGTGGTTAGAGTGAGAAAGTTGTAATCCCCTCCACAATTTCACCCTTTATATGAGACTAATAGAAATTTCCTTTGTTGCACCCATAGACCAGATTTTGCACTTATTTGACACAAATTTGCACTTATCTGTATGAGTAGACAAAATATCAAAAATTCGTTAACTAATATCATGTTTATCAAGTTGTTATGTTGTAATATTATTTCAGACTAAAGTACTTGTATAATAGACATTTATCTTCACTTGATTTCTTATTTTGTGTATATTTAATGTTCACATTATGAGTTTAAATTTTGTTAGTTTAAGTTAATTTTGTAGTATTTTTTATACTTGCCTAACTTATTCACTAACCGAGCGACATTTTATATCTCGATCATTTTACGTAAATGGACTTTCCTAATTGATAGGAAATATTAGCAGAAACAACTTCCGATATCATAAAAATTAAGATTGCCTGATTTGAAACAATCCTAGAAAATGGTAATAATTTTGAACAAACCAAAATTTATAGTCCCTTTTCAATAGATATCTAGATATTATTTACCTTTAAATGTGGCATTATATTCACTTGTGTTTAAATATTTGCTAAGGTAACTAACATTATTAACGACAACAAATTTACAAATGATTTTCATCTATAGAGAAAAAGTGAGTGCGAAACAATTAAAAAATCATTAAAATGCGTACGTTTGCCTGCAGGCATTGTTGATACCAAAAATGTTACTAATACAATAATAAAACTCATTATTTATTCAACGTCCTTTTCCGCTGAAGACGTGTATGAATTTTTAGTCAAGCGTATTATTCAGAAAAAGTATCTACAAGTATTCTTCCTTTAATATCTAGTTATTAATATAAAAGATATGCTTTAAAGAAAAGATCATATACTGGGCGTTACATTGGAAGATAAACAAACTATTGTATATTTTTTAATTTATATGCGACTAGAATGTTTTCTCAATAATTATCAATTTTATAAGAAAATTAATCGCATAATTAAACAAAATATTAAATATAAAAAATGTATAAGGTGTCACCTGATAGAAAATATCACAAATACCCACTCTAATATAATAAGAATTTTTTTTATATTAGGTAAATCGTAATTTTCCAATAAAAAAACTCAAAGAATTCCAACAATTCTTTTGTACACTACAATTATTACACTTGCAGGCAATCGCACGTTAAGTATACTTCATAACGTCGGTGACGTAAATATAAAGGGCGTTTAAATCATGACTTACCTTAATTTTTATGAATTAATTAAAATTTAAAAATTCACTTTAACTCCCCGACTTACCTTTGCGATATCTCCGATTTAATCACATATTACAATTTCACAACGTTCCCGTTCATTAGGATATTTCCCGTGAATTTTTTTCTCGTTTTTAATAACTGACACTACATACACATTAGCACAACGAGAGATATTAATAAAAGGAAGCACTTATCTCATTTTCTTATCGAATTTGTCAGTTTCACTCCGCTGATAATGCGTACACAAACTGATAATAAAGCGAAATGGAATAAAGTGGAATTTTCTCGGTGTACCTAAGCGTCAAACTGGTTCGAATTTTCAAATTCCCCTCGGATTAGTCACAATTTTTATTGCTGTTTTAGGTTAATGTGTTTAAAACAATTTAAAGTAATTGAACAATTTAGCGCGGATGAAATGAGACCCCGTTTTTAGACAGAGGCGCGTGCCGCCTGCGTTCTTAAAGGATGCTGTTTGTGAAGCTCGAGCGGAAATCAGAAGTGGGATGAAATAAAATCAGAAGTGGGATCTTATTAGAATTCTCTGTAATCGACTAACGTTTATTTATCTTGTCTTGTATTCCTGTGTAATCAATCCCTTGATTCGTCGCATGAAACCACCGGTATTTCACCTTCTATAGGCAATTACACATTACATGGGTAATTAATCCACTTATGATTGACTCGCTGGATATCTGGATAATTAATCTCTTGATGATACGCTCCCTGGATAGTTATTTAGCCGACGTTTATTCTCACCACACTATATTCCCGAATAATTAATCTATTCAGTTTCTTGCTAATTAATTGTTCTTTTACTAGGAGGAAATTCTCGAAAGTAATTGGGAGAAGATGCAGCAGTGCCAGGTCAATTACCAAGAAACGTACGAAACGTACACGGCTTTGAAGAAGAACGATGAAAAAAGCAAACGTTTAATGGAATTGAAGATGTCCAACAGCGATTACATAAAGAAAATACATTTTTTCGCCGATAAACTGGCCTCGTTCAATGAGCACATAAAAACCAACCAAGAGATCATTCCTCAAAATGAAAATAACGATGATAAACAAAAGTAAGTACGGAAAAATTGGTGTAGCGTGATGAAACCGATGATTTTTGCAGGGAAAATTTCACTTCTAGAAAAGATCATATAGTCGAATGTTTAGAAACGTTGCAATCGAAATACGTAAGTAGACATTTTTATCCACAATCTCTGAGTAAAGTTCCACGTTTTTTTTTTCGCCGTTCCTCTCCAGAAAGACGAAACTCTCGATGATCAAATTCGTAACGTTTCGCAAGAAATGCACTCGGCTTTGCAATTGGAAAACGAAATCGGCGAGTCGGTGAAACGATTATTAGACCAAATGAAACGTAGAAACTTCAGTGAGAACAAGGACGTCTGCTCGAAATGCAGTAGATTGGCGGATGAGCTGGGACCCAATGACGATCCGGAAGACATTAAAAAGAAACTCGCCGATAAGGAAAAAGACGTGGCAATTTTGAAATTGAAGATAAAGCGTATGAAACAAACGCTAATGGAATGAGTTAAGTTTCATTTCATTATTAATTTCATTCGTTCGTGAACTTAGACAAGTTCCAATCTTCCTTTGAATTAAAAAAAGTTTATGTAAAATTTGAGTTTATTTTTCTTTATAATTATCATAAATTATAATACAAACAAAAAGTATAAGCTTAGATGTAAGCAATAATTTAAAGATAAATGAGACACATTTAAAACGAGAGAAAAAATACAACATTTTTATAGTATATAAAGCTCCCTCCTAGTATGTTCTTCTAGTACTACTTAATTCGACATACATAACGAATAGGAGGCCAAACATTATTTTGAACGGTCTTTTTACATTTTTACGGTGTCAACAGTCAATTTATACGTTTAATAAATAAATGTGTCATTTACACTTCGAATTCTAAGCCATAACAAAATTTAACATAAAATCTTCAACAATTAAATCATCTATGTACATTTTACTCTTATTTTGGATGCATTCAGAAAATTTGTTGGCTAGAGCCTGGTAAATGCTTTTATTATCTATTATTTTGACATTAGTATTTGGTTTTTAAATTTATCGTTAATTAACGATATATAACTTAGATTTTTTTTGTAAATTTATACATTTACTAAAAATATCCAAAAATGTACACCTCCAAATTAATCTTAATTACCTAAAACAATATTCGGGATAAAAATTATTTTGGCCAATTTGTGTAGAATATTTCTCTCGCAAAATATTGCCATACATAAGTAAATATATAGGTCAGAATATCAGCCAAAATTCCATCATGAAGTCAACAAAAAAAGATCTAATAAATTGACCGTCTACAAATTATCAATTTACAATTATATAGGATTTTCAGTACTCGAGCCATAATTACCTAAGTTTGCGTTATTTTTATAAATACAAACGCTATGCGCATTTAAAACGTTAATGATATTAGAATATTTACAAGTTTAATGCAAAATAACGTTAAATTAAGTTATGACTTTTACATTCAGACTATTCCATAATAGAATTAAAAAATATTATTAACCCCACTTCAACGAATAGTTTTGAATGTCGAAAGAGCCTATTTAGGTAACAATTCTTAACGAACATTTGGGCATTAACATATTTTTTAATCTAAGGTTAGTTACATAAAATATCACAAAAAAAGAGAAAAATAAACGCTTTTAACGGCTTATAGAAGTATACAGAAGAATAGCTTAAAATAAGCGTTGAATTCAAATATAAGAAATCTAATTTAAACTGGTATATAACAAAGTTATTTTAAAATATACAGACAATTTCAACCAGTAAAAATATCCCGAATAAAAATAAATATTTCAAGTAAAATAAATGGAGCACTTTTTAAATTGTCACATTAATTTTTTTATAAATATATACTTACTAACACTCATTAGCAAATAATAACTTCAATTAAAACACTTACTAATTAAGTTAGGAATCAAGCATTTATTTTTTATAAACGCTTTAAATATTAGACTTAAAACGAAATCAACTGAAAAATTATTTTTCCTTTATTCTTCTGTAAAATTCATGATATTTCTTTCAGATATTTTTGAAAAATTTCCATGAATGCATTTGTGTCATACTTCAAAGGCCATATAATTTTTTATATATTGATTAAATAAAGTAAATAATTCAAAACAAGGTAAGCAATCTTTTGAAAAAAGGCTGTAAAGTGTTATGAATCTATAGAAACGTAATAGTTTTTCTTCTAAATATGTACATTTAATTTTATTTAATACGAGGTTAAGACAAATGTGTACTTAATAATTGCTATAAAAACCAAGCGCTATAATTTAATGAGTGCTTACATAGAAAATCAGTTTGCTTTCTTTCTTGCCAGTTTTTTCCTAATTTGCTTCTCTTAAGTCTCTTGATATTTACATATCTCGATTTCATAATTAAAAGAGAGAGGAACATGCTCAAAGAGGACGAGATACTTCCCAGCCAATATATAAAACTTGTGTGGTTACTATTTTTTTTATAATATTTACATACATATCACATATTCCTAAACGCTCGTTTGAATTCCATTTGTTAGAAATGAACGTGCAGGAGGCAACCAAAAAGCGATTAAAGTGAATGAACGGGTTTACCACGAATTTCTCGAAACGTTTACTCGTTTTTTACCTATCCTGTTGGTTGTCGTTGCGCTGCGTTAGGTCCGGCAATTCCGGCGTCACGTCCACGTTCTGCTGCGCGTGCTCCACAACGCTAGCGGGAGGCGCCTCCTCGTGCACCGCGTGGCTATCGCCCAGTTCCTCTTCGCGTTCCACCACCTCGGGCATCAGTTCCAAAGCTTTTTCTAAAGTTTTGCGCGCGCTGTTCGACCTGCAATCATCAAATTTCCATAAGACGATTGGTTCGTCAAAAGAAATTATTACCCATTTTTAAGCTACTCTACCAATACCTCTTTACACCTAATCGATAAACCTTTACCTTTCGAGATAGAACCCGTTGGAGCTTTCGTTGCTTTGGGCGGGCGGCGACCACGTGTTGTAAGAGTACTGCGTGTTTGGTGGATATTTTCTTTCTAATTCGTCTTGTAGCCACGCCACTGCGGACGTCCAGGATCTTCTCACGTCGGTTTGCATCAGCATCGCCTGCGCGGCAGGACATCTATTAAACAGGGCCACGATGCATTTGATGCACTGATACGCCCGTTTCTGGTAGTGCGTCTTGGCGCGTATGATCGTTTCCAAAAGGCCTTCTCGCTCTTCAGGAACGCCTAAACGAATACATTTTCGTTTTGGTATTGTTAAGTACTTAAAAAAATTGTCGGTTTACCTTTAATGGCGTTGTGTATCCGATGCGTTTGCCACGAATCCTCTATTAGTAAAATTGACAGTAATATTTCAATGTGATGCCTAAGATCCTGGCAATAAGCGTACGCTATTTGCCACAATAACTCAGACAACACGGTCCTGGAGAAACGCGGGTTTTCCCACGAACAAAATTGCAGGAATTTTATAGCGTCGTCAGTCAAATTTGTATCCTCTATCACTTTTTTTATATATCTAAAAAACGCACGCGAATTACAACTTACAAGTATAATTTATCAAAAGCACACTTACACATTCTTATTGAAAAGAAATTCGGCAGCTTGACTCGATATGGGCATAATGTAATCCTGTATCGTGGGATCCTTGTACGGATTCGGTAACACCGGACCGCTGTTGCTATTCTCGCACTTCCCGCTCACGTCGCAGCACCTTATTAGACAAGATACCAATTGGTTCAGCTTACCCAATTCGGTGAACTGATACTTAATCGCCGGGCCAGGGCCCTCGTCGAGGGCGACCATCATAAACGTGGCCGGAACGTTCATCTTAAGTAACTGAGTTTTTTCTTGAACACCTACAACGAGAAATAACGATATAAAAATCTAAAATTGTAAAGAAAATCGGCGAGAATCACACTAAAATAAAACCCATCGTTTATTACAAGCAACCGCGACCCAAGACAAAAAGAGTGATATGTGTTTACTCCTAAACTATTTTGTCTTTGGACTATTTCGACGGGTTAGAATAATCTACATACCTTGATTTGCGTACATGTGAAACACCGTGCAATAGTGAGGTAGATGTCGCCCGTGTTCGCTCACTTCCCGCTGCAACAGGCTCAACAACGCCCACAGTATGTGATCGCTCAGCGAGCCGGTGGCGTCGTTGTTGTTAAAGGCGGCAGGAGGCGACGACGGGCCGTCGTTGATCGAAAAGTGCGCCAACAGAACGACTATTTTGATGAACGCCGAACGCACCTCGTTGCTCGGACAGCTCAGCAAATATTCGCAGAACCGCGACATGTGATTGAATAGCATGTTGTGCGCGAACCACGAACGGATTATCGGAGACGTGCGCAAATGCAGACAGAGAACGTCGCACCTGAAAGTTTACAAATATATAAGCATACCGTAGTACTAACTAAAATGACTATGTTATATCGCTGCTCCAAAAGATTAATAAACAAGTCCGCAAAACAAATACAGTCTTATTGTATTTGCTGTATGTAATGATGTAATGCTTACCATTCCATAGCGGAGCCTCTGAGATTTTTTTTGGTATGCCACCCGGTGTGGAAAAGGAAATTACTGACTAGTTGCACGCTGAGCAGATATTGCTGTTCTAATTGATCGTTGGGTAACGGTTGGCCGTGCCTGCTGTTGCTTTGCTGGGCCGAACTGGTCGCCAGCTTTCTCACGAACGTGAAATATTCCAACGAGAATTGGCTTCTGTGGTGTAGGAATTTGATGTTTTGTTTCCTTATACTATTTTCGATTGCCACAGGCATTTTTAGGTGGGTTTCTTTTCTGGTGCCCGCTGTAAATAACAAATTAATGAATTGTAAAGATGTGGTTTACACAAACTCACAAATCGATAACTGGTCCAACATTTTTGAACAGCTCTCTTCTTCGACATCGTGCCTGGTATAGAATAACATGTATGCGTTCCACCATCGTTTTTGTCTCCTGTAATGACAAGAAAGCTAATGAGATGAATACCCCACAAGATTTGCTATCCCCATTTTTATATTAAATCATCTCACAATCGATTATTACAATTACTCAACTCACCTATAGGCAGTCCTTTTTAACATAGGGTCGAACACTTCTCCCATGTAATCGCCTCCGAAACACTGCACTTTAATTTCCTCGTCTTCGCCCATTCTACATTCAGACACATCTCCATCATCGAATTTATACCACCTAATTTCGCCCGAAGGATCCCTACTTCTAATATACGAGTAATAATGTCCCCCTAAAAATAAAAAATAAATTTATTTATAGATAAAATTAGATTTTTTTTACACGGAAATACTCACCAGAGGCTTGCCCAGAATGCACAACAATTCCAGACAATCGATACTTTGTACAAACGTCGTTATTACTAGGATCTAAATCACAGTCTATAATTTCACCTTCGATTTTCGCCAAACCAGATACCGTGTATGGTTCCATGTCGAGGTCGCGAGGAAACTCGAAATAATCGTTGAATTTAATGGCGCATACCCGCTCGAAATCGTACTCGAACCGTTTCAATTGTATACATAGAATGGGAGGCAGTTTTTTAACACAGAGACGCTTAACAGTCACCACTTTTTTCGCGCACTTTTCACAATAATAAGCATCAGCACCTTCTAATAAATCACCTAAAAACCAAACATTAGATTGTGCAATATTAACATTAGCAAAACAAATTACCTTTGACATACTGCTCCATGGAATCGGGTAAACTACTATGGTTCCTTATATCTACGCTTATCACACTAAATGGTTCTTCTTTAGAGTAACGATGTGGACAGCCCTTGCAAATTTTTTGATCTGAATAGGAACCACCTAATATTTTCGACATTATTTGCTCGTGGCCCAGTGTTTTCAGCGCTTCATCCAGACTTTCCACCAAAGACATGAAAAATTCCACAGCGTCTTGCTGTTCTCTGAGATTAACTGGTTCTCCTAAAATATAATTAAAGTTTTACTCAATTAAAATTTAATAAATAACAATTAAGTACCTTGAAGTTTGAAATGTCTCCAGAGTCCCCGAGGCACGTAATACTGAAGTCGCGAACAAGCTAAATGACCGAATATAGCCTGAACTTGCTTCAATATACCAACGTTATAATCCCTCCTATTATCGTCTAAACTATTCCTATCGTCCGTACAATCGACATCCAAATCCAGTCTCTCCTCGCCCGTGAAATCTTCGTTTGGATCCGTAGCTGCACCTAAATTAACATCACCAAAGTCGTTTTATTCTAATCGTTCGTTTTTGCAAGTATCACCTTCGGCATCCAGGACACCTTCCTTTATGCTATCGACCATGTACAATTGCTGCAAAACGGAGTTCATGTAACAAGTCGCTCCGGCGTTTTTCAAACCGACGAACCCTTGGAACGGTCGCGGCCCCACGGCCGGTAGATAATCCCATTCGGTTATCGCCGTTTCTGAAACTAACAACATACTAATGTTAGTACGATAGTCGGCGGACCTATCGCTCACCCCGAACTCTCGATCCTTTACTATCTATATGAGCGAAAAGGAACGAGAATTCAAGGCGAGCATGTACATCTTTCGCGAATATCGCATTCTTACCGGAATAAAACATTTCCGTCAGCATGCTGACGAGCTGCTTGTAGTTTTGCACGCAATTCAAGCACAAGGCGATGAGCAAATCGAAAGCCGCCGCCTGCGTTTGGGGCGTATCGCATATCGGAATGGCCGGATCCTCGCCCAATTGCCCCGTCTTGTTCAATCGCAACATCAGCTTGCTGGCGGGAAACAAAAAGTCCTCCAGCAACTCCTTGATCAGACTGCCCGATTCGGCGCTGCCCAGTTCGCATTTCTGCTCCGACGAAATGAACAGCAGGAGTTCTTTTGCCAGGAGCAAGTGTCCTTCGATCAGCACCTCGTGCTTGTCTCTGGCCTTGCGCAACCACGCCACCTGTAATTTTTAATTTTTATACTCGCGAAAATTCGGCAAAACGAAACTTACCTCGTTGGATAAAAGAGTTTCCACGCCGGTAATGGGACAACCGGTGAGGTAAGCGACATTGACCAATCTGCAGAGCAATTGGAAAAATTCGTGCGAAGTATTGGCGTTTTCCACGACGATCGTGTTGATGAGAGAGAATAGCAGCGGCATGATGAGTTGCAAGGCCAATCGACTACCGGCGCCGTACGTGCAAATAATAATCAACTGTTCGGCCGCCGCTACTCTTATCGAACAGTTCGGATTGACCAACACCAAGTCGGTGACGAAACAGGGCCACCAGTTGTCCTGATACAAGTGCTGCAAACTGCTGGGGTTCAAAACCACGGCGGTGCTGAGCAGTTCTAATGCCTCCTTGCACAGTAGCACGTTGTCGTTTATCAAATCGGCCGTGTTCTTGTTGCACGCCTCCGATAGAACGTGCAAGTTTTCCAACGAAGCGTTCACGGCGCCCAAATTGTTGCTACTGGCCGCCCAAACGAGGCGTACTAATGCTAGAGTGGTCGCCAAATCGGGCAATTCCCAATTTAAAGCCTGGCTGAAGAGGGCCTGCGCCTGGCCGGTGTTTCCCGTTTCGGCCACCATCAATTGAGCCAGTCCCTGGGCGAGCTTCATAGACACTTGTCGCAAAAGCTACAAAAAAAAATATATACCAAACTTTAGTTACATTTTTTTACATCCCCCAACCAGTCATTCCTAAATTCAAAAATTTTTGACGTCAACATTGAAAATTATCTGTCACTTATTAAGTAAGATAGAAAAATAGGTAACATGGCGGATCCAATCAGGCGCCTTGAGCGTAGGCAAGTATATTTTAAAGAATATTTTAATTATGTTAAGAATTATTATGGTAAAAATATAACATTATTTAATATTACATATGAAAATTTGGTTGACATTTGTTGATATGGGAAAATGAGATAGATACTATTTTCTGATCTCTCTTTAGTCAAAATCGTCTACAAATTTTACTACGAGCGGTAGTACACCGTTGCCAAATTTGTTGAGTTTATCTATTTCAGGAATTTTACAGACGATTACATAATAAGGATATAAAAATAAAAAATATAGCAGAAGGAAATTGCAAAAAATAGCGCGGCTACACGCAATGTTTTACCTCTATTTTTTGTTAGACTGTGACCTATTGTTAGTACCCTAAAATTTTGTAAACAGTTTCATCTGTTTTAGTTATATATCTATGCTTTTTTTAGAATAACTAGGGCTACAACTTACGTGATCCGAATGACCTGGAACGTTCCGCAAAGCTTGCCTCAGAAACGTGCCGGGCGTGGTGGTGTTCTCGTTGACCATTTCGTTCTCCGAAGGCGTATGATCCTCGCTCAATCGCACCAGCACGTGCGCGACCGATGTTAAAATTAATTTGCAAATTTTCAAAACCACCAAATAAGCGGACCGTCTGATCACGTTATCGGCGCTCGACATGAAATTATTTTTGGTCAACATCTCGAGGAACACGTGCGCCTCGCCCGATACCAGAAAATTGTACTGAAATTCGTACGATTTCTCAGACAGCGCGTCCAGCGCTGGCATCAGCATCGAATAAAGCACTTCCAAGTTGTATAACACCTAAAACCACAGAGATTATTATTGGTATTAGCAAATTATCGATTTCATTACCTCTGCAGGCGTGGCGCTAAAAAACATGCTATCCATACTGACGTTCTGCTCTCCCGGCGCGGAAAAGAGCAACTTCAACTTTTCCATGGTCATGATATCGCAGGGCATCAATTGGAGGAGAGCGTGGGCCATGTCTCTTAGCAAGGAAAACGGCAATGTGCTGCCTAAATTCATCAATTGGCAGAAAAATTGCGAGTAAAAAAATTGGTGGGACATCAAAACGCCCGGCAAAAAGTTCTCCGCTTCCAAGTTCGGCCCGTCGTAAGGATGATGGGGAGATGAGGTAGAACTGTCCGAACTGCTGTCTTGCGACGACGCCATGTTGGAATTCACCTGGACTACCTTAGCCGATATCAACTGGAAATTTTCAATCAATTAATATATTTGTGTATATTTGTACAAAGTAAACGAACTAACCATTTTATCCCTAATAGGAATTTGCGATAGTAACTTTCGATCTTCAGTAGGCTCGAGCGGCTCACCGTTAACGAACAGTTCGAGCTTACAATGCATCCCCGGTTTGATTCGCCTCAAAATGTATTTCCTGAGCGACGCCAAAGTATCGTTCGAATGCGTATACAATTCCAAATCCTCCACTTGTCTATTCGGACTAGAAAATCTCACAATAAGAGTCAAATGTTTACCGTGGCACGCCCTGTGCAAAGGTAGAATCTTCCTCTCCCCCACGAACGTGTTGTCGCACTCGCACACGTACTCGTGCAACACCTTCAGCACCCTGCAAATTTTTACGGCTTCGGCTTTGATTCGGTTTTGGATTTGATTGCTGTCGAAGTCTTTGTCGTTGGTGGACTTTTGTAAAATGCTCAGAGTATCGTAGTGGGCCCTTAACCTATCGTAGCAGTCGGTTATGTAATTTTCGTGGAAAGCTAACTGAGATTGGGCCAACCTCGGCCCCAGGTTGGTGCTGACTTCTTTGAGTAACTCTATAGCTCTGTTGGCTATGTCGTTCGCACACAGGGTAACAATTTTCCATAAATATTCTAAACCTATTAGATCCGGATCTTCGGTTAACAACGACCTTCTCTTGTATCGAACTTTTCCCTCCTTCATGTTGACGGCTTTGAAGAAACGCTCGAAGCACTTGATGCCGCTTTCCGTCAACAAGACGGGATCGATTTGCAAAATGTTGTTTTCGAAAAAGTCCTTGTTAATGCCGGGATCCAAGTCCGGTTCGTCGCCCATCAGCTTCGAAAACCACTTGAAGCAGGCCTCCCTGTCGCTTTGGAACACCGCGTTCTCCGCCAAACATTGCCAAATTTGCTTCGCCTGTTCGGCGCACAGCCACAATTGTCCGTCTTTGAGTAGAAATCTGAGAAAATTCAGTCTTTCTTGTACTTGTAAGGCGTGACAGTACCGACCGTCCGGCACGTAAGATTCGCTAGTTAATTCCGGATTATCTTTGTACAATTCCCTTAATCTATCCATGTAATTACAAAGGCTATTCGTAACCAATATAACTAAAGAATGTTGGTTTTGTAACCGTTCTATCACGTCTTGCCTGTAGTATATGTGATGGGTGCGTTGCGCGTGGCTTCCGTTCGTATTCTGCTCGTAGAGAGTGCAAATTTCTCTAATTTGTTTCAACGCTGGCAATTCCCACATTTCGCCGTTCTTCAACTCATCCACGCACTTATCCAGCCAAATGGTCTTTTGGGCGTCCCTTTCCTGGGAACAACTGTAATCCAGAATTTTCACGTGAGCTGCCAAAGCTTGATCCATTATCTCCGTGGGCACGTCTTCGGCGTGCGCCAAATTCCAAAACAGGGTCAGCACTTTGTGGGCCATGACGCCGTCTTTGTCGTCTTCGGCCAATCGTCTGATCAATTCTAACAGTCTTTCTCGTTGCCTTTTAGTGGCCGACGTCCAGTTGTTTTGGAAGCACTCGAACAGGTGATCTAGCTGCTCGGCGCTAAAATCCCAGGCCAATTTCGCGAGTAGATCGTGCACGTTTTTGACTATGGCTTCGTGTTTGCCCACTTGGGCGGCCCAAATCGCGTCCAAATCCTCCAGGCTCAGGGCTCGTTCTTTTATCACGAATCGCAGGATTTTTTCTAATTTTTCTACGTATTGGGGCTGGTGGAGGGAATCCCTCAGGACTATTTCGAGGACTTTGTTTTCGTTTATCCACTTCGCCATACGTTCGGGCGTTAGGTATTCCTCTTCTTCCATACCGTGGTGCCGGTTGGGGTAGTAAGTGACGCTAGAGATGACCTTGTTGATTTCGTTGAGGGCGTTCATTTTGCCGTTGAAACTCGATATTTGCAATTGCCTGAGGATCATCGTTAATCTGAAGCCTTCCAATGTTCGGATCAGTTCGTCTTGATTGGGCGCTCGCGAGGCCAAATTTTTCGAAGCTTTTATTATAGCCGACACGATATCGCTCTTTTGTTCGTTCTTCGCCTCCTTCTTCAGTTCCTCGTCGGATAATTTATCCAATATGCCGGGAATCATTTCTAATATCGGCAAGATGTATTTGTTTATCGTATGCGTAGTTAAGAACTCGTAGCACAAACCAAACGGCTTCAACAAAGCGAACACTATAGATATACTTAAATTTTTACCGGATTGAAACCTATCTAAGAGAATTTGAAAACCGCCTAATTCGCCGAACTTGTTTACGAGATCTACCAGCCAACCGCGCGGGTTTCTCATATCCGTAGAGGGCCTGGCGAACAGTTCCTCCTCGGTTAAATTCGAACTGGGCCCGGCGCTGTCGCTTTGCCTCGACGAATTGAAACTGTGGAATTTATTGTTGGGGTTCAAGACCATGGCCAGTAGGTCTAACAACGGGAACCAATCGTGAGGTAACTTCACCACGCACAATTCGATCAACTTAAGGCAATTCTGGAAAATGCAAGTGTGGATGTTGGGTTTCCAGCTGGACACCGCATCGTCTGTGAGTATTTTCGTAAACGATACGGTCAAGCCTTCCCTGAAAAACCGCTGGCACGGTTCAGATCTTGTGTCGAGATTTTTGCGAGCCAGTTCGATGGACACTTTCAATAGGAATTCCAATTCTTGCTCGGGCAGCACGGGCACCACCCAACGAAGATTGGATATCTTTTCATCTAGAGAAGCTAATTTGTCTTTCGGAAAGTCCGGTTCAAAGTCCTCGTCCTGGACGTCGTCTGGATTCGCATCCGATTGTCCAGGTGATAGAGCCTAAAAACAAAACGGGAAAATTACATTACAATCCATTAGTTGGCGATAACGAGTTTTTATTGTACACAGGTAGTTTGAAAAACAAGTATTTTACTACAATTCCAAATGCTTTCAAATTATAGAGGTGCATTAAGGAAATGTACTGACAAGGTCAAACTAAAATAATCTTTTCGAGTAAATTTCTTTATTGATAAAAGTGAATCAATTAAGGTAATAAATGTGAATTTCTATTCATTCATACATTTTTTAGATATCAATCAATGTCTATCAATTGAATATTTTCTCATTTTTGATGGACAAAGGTGGAAATTAACAGAATGTTAGAAAAATGATGATCAAGCTGGATGTATAAAACATACATTTTACTACTGAGTACCATACATAGTATTTAAATTGTCAATACAACAAACAACTAAAAATATACATTTTTGGTGACATCATTACTGAAGATATTGAATAACACAGATCCAAGATTATGGCACCATAAACTAGTCTCAAATTAATCTTTATTGCTACTAATATTTATTGATTGTAGAGTTTCTTATAGTTTACCCTATAATTTCTCAAACTTAGTCAAATTTTTTTTATAATGCAAACATCTTATGCATCCTGATGTCATAAGAAGTAATGAAATGATTTAATTATAAAGTTTTTGTACTTACTTGTGTATCACCGGTCTCTGCCGCCAGCCCTTGTGCCTTTGTTGCAATAGTCATTTTTGTATTTTGATTTCAAATTAGCATTGTAGGCTTAACTAAAACATGAGTGTCTTTTTAAATGCTTTATCAGTGACTTTACCTTACTCATACAAAAGATGATTAAAATCCTGCTCTTTTGTTACATTTGTTGAGTTAATAGAAAAGTATAGAGTTAAACAATGTTACAAATTTACGAAATTAACAATTTTCAGAGAATTTAATACAGAAAATAAATGGGAGTGACAGAAGTGACAGGCCTATAAATCAAGATTTATATTAATATTTCTCACCTTTATACTCATAATTTCATCCAACTGTTGGGCTGGAGAACGAAACGGACGTTTCGAAATTATCACCAAACAACTTTTTACGGATCAACACTTTCCAATATTTAAAAAGTTCTACGTAAAGTCCACCGGCATATACAAAATGGCGCCCCAAAAACTAAGAAATAAAATTCTAAAAATATCTCTCACTGGGTATTAGTGACCAATAAACAAATATTATTTAACACTTAAATGTTCAATACACTAGGATAACTTTTAAATTGATTTCTCAAGAAATTCCTAGCTGTTGACGTACGGAATTATTTTTACAGGCACGTCGTGATTTTGCAAATAGAGTTGCCAATCTTGCAGTTTGTTGGTTACTTTTGGTGTATTTTTGTTTTGTTGGCAACTATGACAGCTGTCACTTGTCGGACATTTTTTCGCGTTGTCTAAAAGGAGAAAATTGAAATTTTTAAAATAAAAATTTATCAAATAATTCGGAATCATTCTTTTCACGAGCTCCTTTTATATTTAGTATATAAAGACAATTTGAAAAAAGTAATTTATATTTGTTTATATAGGCAACCAATTATACACTAAATTCAGTATTCGATCAATCAATCTTCACGATTGCAGTGTCTCAATAGAAGAGAAAAAAGTAGACTCAGGATTAATGAAAGAAACCAATTGTAATTAGAACTTATATTTTATTAGTATATTGTTAATTAAATTTAAATTTTGAATTTTCAGTTGATAATATAAAATACATGTATATGAAATTAAAAGGAAAAATAGTATATAAAGTGATTTTTAAAAACATAACAGTAGTATAAAAAAGACGAAACACAATTGTAAAATAAAAAAAAAATATTTAGATAATATAAAAGTATTAAAAAATTTTTATAGACATACAATTAGTCTACCTAACATAATTTAGGGACATCAAGAAGCACTTTTCAATTCACACAATTTCTTGGATATTCTAAACTTCATTTCTTCGAACCTACAAAAAAACAATAATTTAATATACCCTATGGTGCATTTCAGTTTGCAATATGGCCATTTCTATGAGTTGAACAAAGAAAGATTATTAAAATACAGTTGTCAGAGTGAAAAGTTGTAATGACATATTATCACTTTCTTTTTCCTTTATGGTGTCTAATGAAACTTGTCTTTATCGCAACCATAGCCTAAATAAGCTATATTGCAAACTAAAATTAATCAACCTGTATATTTATGCAATAAATTATTAATTACTTTTGCCTTATCCGCGCCACTTCTCTCTCCTCTTGCGAATAATATTGCGATAGAATGGCCCTGCATTCAACCAGGGAGAGATTCAAAAACTGCGCCACCTCGCTACTGACCTCAGGCGTATTATTACCGTCCATTAGATACAATTTGGCGACATCCTCGTGCGGACCGAGAAGCACTCGAGCCAATAGCGGATATTCAGTAACTTTCAACCTTCGTTGTTCTAAAAAAATAAATATTAGTTAACCAAAATTTGGCCTTGTTTGTTTATTTCGTTACCTCCGTTATCGCGGACCACGAACAGCGCAAAATTTTGCGGATCGCTCTCCACTTTATATTTCTCTAACAACAAATTTATGACTTCACTGGTATTCACAAGGGATGTGACCCAAACGCTCATCTGACTACCATGCGGAGGCGTAAAGAAGCTAGTTTCTCTATCGTAAAAATGACCGTTAATAGAACACCTTCTCTTCACTTTACTTCTGGATAATCTCTTTCCAGGACGACGTTTTATGGCGGTTGATCCTTTAAAATCATAAAAACAAGATCATTGTAAACTTAACTATCTCACTAATTCACTCACCCTTATGAGGCCTTCTTAAAACTACTTCCTCGTTTTGTTCTGATACGGTCGTTATATCATTGCTTGCCATACTGCTTCTGTCGAATTCCGGCGATAAATTGTCCCTTATCCGACCTAAACAATCAGGACCTGACATGGATCTGTTCAAATGGTTACTCTGAGATAACCAAACATCATCACTACTTATAGAAGGCGATGGTAGAAGGGGGATTTTATCCTCGCTGATCGTACCGTTAGAAATTGGCGACCTCAGAGTTAAATCCGGTGTTTCATTTTTTATAGTAAGCGAACTAAAAAAAAATCATTAAATCTATCAATGATTAAAAAAGGCCTTAATCATTTACGTATCAGTCTTGGTGCTACTGCTCGAACCACTCGAACTTTCTTTACTCAATTGTGATGGCAACGATACGGGCATGGTTTGATAGAGATGATCGGAAGCCTCTACTTTTCTCTCGACGCGAAGTAATTCGTCCAACTCGTCCCATTCCATTTTTTTAACGTCCAATTTCGATGGTAGTGTAACGGATTTGGGAGCGTTCTGAGGCGAGCTAAACGGACTATCGGTAGTACTGATATCCAAAGATTCAGAGCCGCTTTCGATACCGGTATCAGATCTAAAGAATAACGTAAATTTTGAACTTAGAAGTTTTGCTCTTTGATATTTTTTGTACCTTGTGATGTCATCTGAGCAAGTTGAGATTTCATTGTAACTGCTGTCTCTGGATATGTTTTGAAGGTCATCATCAGTATCATACTCGGGGCTTGACGATCTGTAAGAATTCCTCTTTCGTACTGTCACAACTGTTCTTTGATCATCGTTTTCTTTGAGGTGTATCACCCCATGTATGCCCCAATGGATGCGTAACGATCCTTCCAGTATAAATCTTCCATTCACTTCCCTGCTTCGAATTTCTCCGCTTTTTCCTTCATAAAATTGGTTGTAAACCTAAAAATATAGTAAATATATTAACGAGCCTTTTAAGAACAAAATAGATTTATTACTTTGATTTTTGATTCTAACGCCGATCTTGGGAGCACGGGACCGTTGTTAAACTTAGGAAATTCCTTTTGAGCTCCAAAACTTTTGTGAGATTCCACCCTGGTCCCGTGACCGAATAATTGGGGGCCAAAAAGGGCCCCGTAGCATGGCACATGACAATAGGGAACTCCTTTGTGCTCGGCGTGTTGCCCGGGGTTCAGTCTTTTTCCACATTCTTCGCATCTCAAACATTCCGGATGCCAATTATATCCCAATGATTGTTTCCTCTCAGCTAAAAGCGAACATAAAGAGAAAAAGTTTTAAGGCACAGGGTTAATAAACTTACCGAAATATACTGGTTTGTGGCACTTATGGCATTTCCACATGATATTATGGCTTGGAAATTATGGTATTGATTTATTCGGTTCAAACAAACACAACATAGATTAAAAATTAAATCAAAAAACTTTAAAATTTAACATTTCTAAATAATCATCGTCACTGAATGACAGTTCGTGACAATGACAACTCTCCTGTCATCACTTACGTCAAGTTCTATCACATTATTCTTCGTTTTTTAAAACCTGTTTTTTGTGGCGAATGGTAGTTTTTTGGATATAAATAAATAAATATAAAATATAAAATAAAAAATAATATAGTACTTTAATTTCTTCTCTATGGCAATCTATAATATCTATATCTACGGGCGTGTCTATTAATTTTGAAATTTTCATGGAACATATTAATAACTGACAATTGACAAGTATGTCAAAGTCACTAACGTCATCTCCATGTCAAAGTAAGGGAGAATGTCAAAATAATTATTTATATGTGAATTTTCTGGAGCTCCTCGTGCTGTAAGATCGGTCGTAGAAATGTTTATATTTATTATGAAATATCAGTTGACCCGTGCCTAAAATCGAAGAGTTGCAACAATGGCAATTCATTTTAGACAACTGGTTAAATTCGCGAATTTTTCGAGCTTGGTGGCTTCGAGAAGTAGCGGCTTTAAATTTGAAAAATGTCCTCAAGTTCAAATTACTCAAACAAATCATCAGGTGAGGGTTGCATGCATTGATATAAATATCATGCATTACATTAATATTATGCAGTATACAGTATCGTAAAATGTTTGTTCTAGTATTTACCAAAGGTAATTAAGACTTTTGATTATGGTGAAAATAAAGAGTTGGTTTTTCTAAATAAAAATAATGTAATGGACAATAGAGAACATGAAAACGATTTAGTCACAAAGGAAAACATAAATATAATCGATCACTTTACTGCAGAAGAATTAAATCGAGTGAATTATTCAGATATTAGCTCTTTACAAAGTGTAAATTCCAGTTATCAATACACTGTGCCAAAGCAACAGCAAACTGCTCCCGATAATGTTTCAAACAAACCCAATCCCGAGCAATTAGCAAAAGTTTATGAAACATTAGCTAGCACTTTACCTACACTCTTTATTAAACCATTGGATTACAAGATATATCATCCAAATATCGTATTTGAAGATCACATTAGGAACATCAGAACGGAGTAAGCTTATATCTAATTGGATTCAAAATTAGTACCCCTTTAATTTAAATATTTTATTTTCAGAGGTCTGTACAATTACGTCAAGCAAGTCGCTTTGTTACGAACAGTAGGCCATTTAAAATTTGCCTATGTGAAATTTGAGATATTAAAAATCACTCAGCATCCCGAGGACTCTACGATAAAAGTTAGATGGCAAATTAGAGGAATTTCCGCTTTGAGGGTAATGCTGACATTTTGGAAATACAAACTGTGGAACCTGAAAGAAGTGTTTGAGAGAACAGATAGGTAAATGTTGACACTAAATTTAGTATAAAAATTTTTATAAATTATTATTATTTTTTTTTTTAGTTGGTATGATGGATTTTCTACCTTTTACGTTGGTTCGGAAGGTTCAGTTGTAAAGCATGTGGCTGATAAGGCAAGTGAATTCATTTATCAATAATTTAACTTGTACTAATTATTTACCGAATATATTTTTTAGATGATGCCAGATTCGGACCGGGTGAGTGATCCTGTACCAAAATCGCTAGAAAATGCCGCAAAAATAGCCCTAATAGTAGGAATTATTCCAAAGTTTTCAGACCTGAATTCGATAGTTTAAACGATAAATTTTAGCATTCGCAAATTAAATAGCTAGCACTACACGAATACTTCAGACGATAAACGAATGTATTTATTAGTTTAACATTCTCCTTTGTTAAACGCAGGTGTTCAATATGCTAAAAGTACGTCTGTATTTTATTATTGAAAGATAACGTGAAGAGTTTATCAATTGTTTCTTACATCATTTAATTAAATGAGACCAAAAAATCGTTCATTTTGTTTTATTTATGGGTGTGATAATTAACAGAAAAATAAGCGAAGACAAACATAAACTATCTAACAATGCATTTATTTACAAATCTTTCTAAAATTCTATTATAATCTAACTCTTGAAGGACTCCCAATGTATTGAACCTTTCTGAAATAAAACCTCATGTGGCAGAGTGTCTAATATTGCAACCTAAAAGTATTCATTTCAGATTTACGAGGTACTTTTAATATTGCTTATTTACCTGTTTTCGAATGTATTTAACTAGTTTTTCTATGTTTTGTAAGTTAGCATGGTTCATGCCGTACAACCTCCTCCATACTGCTGCAGCTAAAACTTTATCATCGGACTGAATACCTTCATCGTAGGAGATGAATGAAGCTTGCATTTGCTCCGACATTTCCATGATTTGGTTTCGAGTACCGGAAGACGTGATTACCTAAAAATAGAAATTTAATTCGATTATGACTAAAACAAATCGAAAAGTTACCCCTAATCGTTTTACTCGTTGAGCAACATCAGTCCAAAGAGCTTCAACGATAGAGTTCCTTAAGATTTTTCCATCTTCTCCATCCGCTACGATTCTTAATGAGAGCATCCAAATATGCAATTCGGTTACACTGAACCATGAATTGAAGGTATCAGGTAAATCGAACTCTTTAAAGAATTCTACGTAGTCAATCTTGTCAGCAATTTCTTCATAAAGAATATACCCACGGGCTTTTATTTTCTAGAAATGAATCACTGATGTATAAAGAGTTTTCAAATTACCAACACTTACCATTTCATTTAATTTTAGGAACGGTATTTTCTTTAACATATTCCTAATAATACCGTCCTTCTGGACATTTTTAACTTCGTAAGTAGAAACCAAACTAATTTGGTTTCTGTATATTACTGAAGGATTTAACGACCTCGCATTGTAAGCTAGTTTTGATCCGTTTCGCTGAGTTTTTACCTGAAATATAACCCATAGTAAACTGTCCGAATAAAAATGTAAGTAACTTACCACGGCTGGTTTTAATGTGTTGAAAACAATTTTACTTATATTCATAATTGTAATCGAAATTATTTCAGAGAGGAGTTATTTAGTTAAATACGCAGTTTGGCCTTTTCATTCAAATATAAGTTAAAAATAATTATTTCATAACATAACCAAACATTTAACCACCTGTCACTGTCATTTTTTGATAGGTTTTAATTCTTCTTTTTTACTGGCCTATTTTAACTAATTATTTAACTACTCCCATGTAATATTGAATAATTTATATCAAAAGTTATACATAATATAGCAAATATTACAGTATTATTCCACTATTTGCTTTCAACTATATTTATACACTTATGATTTAGTTGTTTTTCCAATGATTTTTTCATTAATCGACCTTCGTCGATCACTTTTTCAAGCCCGGTTTACAATAATAGATAAAAATTTTTAATTATTTCCCGTATTTCTTATCTATAAATAATTCGGTATTGATCGTCTATTAGAGTCTATTAGATTAGTCGTTGAAGATAAAACTGACATGCAAATTAATTCTACTGCTGCAATTAAACCGCAAGCAACACTTAAAATGCGTTTCGTATAATGTGAGCTGGCCTTAATGTCTATTATACTTCAAGAAATTCATTTCGTGTTAGAAATGGTGGACAGACGGACTACATAAGTAAGTAAAATTAACGTTTTTCTTTAATTTAGCGTTGTAAATAGGCGTTTTGCTTATTGTATTTGAATTAAGGGCGTTATTGCAATTAATTGCATAATGTTCATTTGAAGATTTATCTAGGATTATTTACGATATTTGAGGGAGAGACATCGTTCCCAATAGGATCTTACTTAATACATGACGGTATTTTTCCGTAAGTCTAGCTAGTTTTCCAGCCGTTCCTCGAACATTGTGGACAATTCGCTTTTAAAATCATTCTCCTAATCAATTTTCGCACGAATTATTCGTTTAATAACAAAAAGTATACTTTCAAAAGTTGTTAAAAAGTCATTCAAAAATCGCCTGAAACTTTTTTAAATTATCAACTACATTCCATTATTTGGTAATTTAATACCTCGTAGTTTCACAAACTGCAAATCAGTCAGCAATTTAATGATAATATTTTGTTTATGTAGTTGTATTTACAGACATGAAGCAATCAAAGAAAACCAAGAGACCTCTGCAGACGTCTCTTGGCAAGGCCCCTTGTCAGAATGATAAGGAAGAAATCGACGTGTCCCACGTCAGGAAACCGATCGAGACCAGCATATATGGCATACAACAAGTTTTATTACTGTTAGAAACTGCCACGGATGAGGTAAAGCCATTAGAAGACATTTAAAATATCTCTTAAACCTTCCATGATTTGCCTTTACAATTCACCTTTTGGTAACACTTGCACTTGAGTGTCTCTTACTTGTTTTTTTCTCAAAGGGGTTCTTCATATTGATAAAGAGCAATGCTTCAATACTATAATTATCTCAACATTACAATCTTTCCTCTTGTGATTACCACTTTCCATGATTTGCCTTTACAATTCACCTTTTGGTAACACTTGAGTATCTCTTACTTATTTTTTTCTCAAAAGGGTTCTTCATATTGATACTATCATATCAATACTATATCTCAACATTACAATCTTTCCTCTTGTGATTACCCCTCATTTGTTAAAGAAAAAGATATTCCCAGTAAAGGCAGGCTCAGTTGAGGATTAAAATAATTTATTGTTTTTAGGTAAAAAGTTATATAAACTACGAATGTGATATAATGTATGAATGCCGCATCTGCAGGAGTATATTCAGAAGCTTAGCGAATTTTATTCTTCACAAGAGAAACTATTGCAAAGAGAAATTCAAGCCTTACATGAATGATGGCCGCGATGGCAGTTCATTGGTAAGTTTCACCTCGAGCTTTGTACAAATTTGTTATGGTTTCAAAGCTTGTACGTTTTAATATGAATCCTTGTACGTTTTTTCATTAATCACTTTGTTTATTTTCGATGTAGAAAGTTCTGCATCTTCCTAAACCGTTTGAAGAGAGGAAAATTGATTCGAATAGTACCCCCGAAAGTTCTGGACTGGGCAATGAGGAGCAGGTTTCCAAATTGAATAAATTAAATCCAGTTATAGAGAAACTTAAAGAAAAGCAGGAGATTATACAACTGACTCAAGAGCTCTTGACTGCAGATCTATCGAAGCAGGCACCAAAAGACACTGAAGAAACATCCACAGTATTAGAAAACGATTTACTTTTGGAGAAAATAGCTTCTAATAACGCAGCTGTGTTTCAAACTGTGCTGCGAAGCATGCCTCAGGGCGAAAACAGCAAACCACAACTCATGAAAAAAGAGGTAATAAACACTTTTTTGTTATCATAAAACAAGTAATTTACTCATACATATTTGTAGGTAATGGAAATCCACGGTATCCTCGACACAAACGAAGCAGTCTTGGGTCCCGATGGAAAAGTTTGCAACTTTCAAACCAACAAGCTGAGATCTTCCAATCCCCACATTCCAAAAAACAGTATAGTCTGCTCGGAATGCAACATTAAATTCTCCACGAAGAAAACCCTCGCCTACCATTTGAAGAAGAAGCACAACAACACCAGACTGGTGCACATTTGCCCCGATTGCAAGGACTCCTTTTCGAGCGCCTGGTGCGTTTACAGGCACCTGTACAAAGTAAGAATCGAGTTTACGCGGCTGGTATTCGTCATGTAGCGCGATGAAACGTTTCAGGTGCACCGCAAGACCGTGGCTCAGGTGAAGAAACTCAGGGAACAAATCCACAACGGCGTGATCAGGAAGGACGAGGATACAAGCAAGAAAGGCGAGAAAAAGGAAGCGACGACTTTGGAGAAAACTGACGAGGAAAATCAGTGGCTGAATAACATCGAGGGCGACAACGATTTGCAAATGTGCGGAGGATGCGGAAGGAGGTTCGAGCGAAAGGCGGCGCTACATTCGCACGCTGCCATGTGCTCGAAACGCTTGGCCGTGTGTAATAATATTAAAGAAAACAACGCTAAGAAGAAAGAGGAAGAATCTAAGGACAACAAGAGCAAAGCGGCGAGTTCGAATAAATCAGATAAATCCCCCGATCCCGTAGAAAGTTTACCAAAAGGCGCTTCTAGGAGAAAGGTACTTTAGATTTTATACAGTGTGTTAATTATTAAATACGACAAACTTTAACACGCCTTATCTTGATAACGAAGCATTTGCGGACATGTTTATATAGCAAAATATCATTATTCTTTCATGTAGAATCTCCCCTGTAGTTTGTCGCACTTATTACACCCTGTATATTAGGGTTATTATTATTTAATTTATTGTTGTTTTAGCCTTACCTACTGCGTACCTACAAGCAACTACCGAGCGAACCGGAAATCGCCTGTAAAGAAGAACCTCGTGACTCCCCCGAAAAAGACGTTTGCGAAGATAAGAACGAAGAGATTGATCGAAAATCTATTGCATGTGATAAGAGCGTCAGTAAAATAGAATTCATCGAGGTGGATCCCGAAGAGAATGCTTTCGACGCGTGCGAAGTCGATGGTGGAAGTTCCAACGCTGGCTGTGATCTCGGTATTAATTCCGAATGTAGCAATAATAACGAAGAATCGTTTGGTCGACATTTCGAAAATTACCGATCTTCGGTTGACGATGCGATGTTAAAAACGTTCGGTACGTTTCGTTTTGATTTTACACGAAACTTTTGTATTACGAGATTTTTTGTTTTTGGTTAACAAAGAAGAGAAAACGAGGGAGTTGATTCAAAAGGGAATATTTCTCTCGCGCCAATCGCAGGAGTGCCACAATTCGGATGAGTTGGATTTGATTTGCGAGAAACTCGACAATTCCATTAAGATTGAAGAAATCGATGAGCTGTCGAATAGTAGTTTTAATGGGAGTGCCAAAAGTTGTGAACAGTATAAAAGTCCTGGAAAAGTAAGCCTTAGTATAACTTGTAAAATATTTTAAACTCATTGTGCGTAATTTTTAGATCAGCATAAAAAGTCTAGATGAGTTGAGAGGTTTCAAGAACACTAATGAAAAATGCCTGGATGAAGAAATATCAATGCCCGTTTTAGAGCCTAGCGTATCGCCTAGAGGCAATAGGAAGAGTTCCAGAAGATTAGCTAAAAGAAAAAGAACAGCCTCGTTGGATTGTGAAAGAACAAGAAAGGCTATTAAGCGATTTAATTTTGATGTACTACTGGATAAAGAGGTAAAATATTTGTACACATATTATAGAAGCATGTGTAATACTTTACTTTGGTGTATTTTTTATTAGGATTTAAATTTCATGGCGAAAGCTTCTCCGTACATGGACCGCGTGACATTAACCTGCAAATCCTGCAAACTGCAGCATTCCTCACTTTCCAAGCTGCTGTGGCACATGTCCGCGCATTTTTCTTGGTTCAGGTTTCAATGTAGCAGGTTTGTACGAACGGTAGCATCTCGAAACAAATCTTATTTATTCCCCGTTGCAGGTGCTCGTTTGTATCGTTTGGAAAATCCGAATGTTCCTCGCACGCCAAACAAACGCACGACATTAAAAATAACGAAATATCCAGCATTGTATTGCCGATACCCAATTGGAAAACGATGTTGATGTCGAACGAATTCAAGGAGTTGCAAAATGCTGATGATTTCGGTGGGAAACTCACCGATGAGGTAAGTTGTTTATCTATACAGGGTGTCCCTTGACTCGATGGAATACACTTAATTGTTCATACAAATGATAGTCCAGAGGTGGTAGTTCTGGCGATCTCGGAGGCTAGGGAACAGGACCTCCTCTTCCAATCCACCGATCAGTAAACTCGGTATTTAAATATTATTTTAATTCCTTAAGTATTGAATTTTGGATAAAAGTGTATAAGGAATTTTCGACTTAAAATTGACCCATTGAATCACAGGGCCTGTAAAATTGCAGTATTTATTTGTAATTTTTAATATCGTAGGTGAAACCGTGTTGTCAAGATGAGGATTTTCTCAAAAACAACAATGACAACGAAACAACTAAAAACGTGATGAGTACTTTATTCGTCGATTCAGAGGCGAATTCGGATTCCGTTAGTTCCAATGAGACCACTTTATTCCCTATATCCAAAACGAACGGTGCAGTTTCCATTAAGAACGAAAGTATAGACATTACGGAGAACGAACAGGAAAACTTCCAACTGGAAGTACCTCAGGAAATATACACGTTGGACGTGTTCGAAGTAGTGAACATCGACGAAAGCAACTCGAGGTTACCGGTCGTTAAAACCGAAGATACCGATTTTTTGGAAGCGGATTCGTCTACGACCGTTCCCGAAACTGCTGTGAAACTCGAATGCGAAGAATTTCCTAACAATTCGACCAATGGCAGGCCTACGAGGAACCGCATGAGGAGCATAAAAACCCTTCAAAACGATTTTTTCTACGATTTAGATAGGGTCACGAAGCAATCGGAAACCGTTTCGAAAACCAATGGTCCTTTGAAGAAGAAGAAACACTGCAGCAGCACTACGAACGTGTCTCATAGGAAAAGCAAAGAAATGCGCGTTTACGCTAAAAAATAACCAATAAGAGGGTTCCTGTTTACAATAGCAATTATTTGTATATAATTGTCTTGTTATCATTAATATTATTCTGTTAATTTATTTTTATAATTTCGATTAAATTTTCCTTTCTAATTGCAAGTACATTTTTTTGCTTTAGCGTCCTGGACAATATAAAAGTAAGGCAATTTAAGTATAGCTTTTATTGTTCTCAATAAAATCGGATCACATTTATAAAACAGTACACGTATATTTTCGAGTAAATGTAACGTAAATTCACATTTATACCTTAAACGTATATCCACTTTGTGGTACTTATTTTTCCAATAGTGAAAGATACTGCCTCAAAAAGGACTCTTCTTGTACGAGATTTATATCCAGATAATCATCGTCTGTAATATCGATATCTTCTTTTAGTCGATTCAAAGCATCCGTTTTTTCTTTGTTATCTTCTCTCCTCCTTTTGATATTTTCTAGACTCTCTTCGCTTACTAAAAACAAATTGATTTCGATTCTTATTTGTTAAAAATATAAAAAAAAACTTACTCAAGTCGGTTAAATCACCAGGTACAATACCATCATTCATTATGAGCTCCTCGGCGGCTTTCATAATATCCCCAGCGTGCCTTTTCAAAGCCATTTTTGCCATCCTGGCATCGAAACCGGCATCTTCGAGCTGCAAACAAATTTAAAATAAATTGCTAAGGAACTTACAATTTAATCGGCATACTTCGATCGATAAATCGTCTATAAAAGACAAAAGTTCCGTGCTCTTTGAGCCGCTCGGGCCCGGAAGGGGATGCTCCTGGATGTATTCTATACTATCTGATATGACATTGTTTGTGTTTTTCAAAGCCAATCTAGCGGCTTCTTTACTGTACCCCATATTAACTAAAATTTTCAAAAAATTCGGATCCACGTGCTGCTTGCCATCTACGCATAAACCCAGCTTCTTTCGTTCCCTACAAATAGATAAAATTGTAAAGAGTATCGAAAAAGCCACAGTTTTTATGTACTTTTCTAAAATGGCCTCCGCCTCTGCTTTCCTACGACCCTCGACTCGTTTATTCCTATTCTCGTTGATGTAATTCGCAGCTCGGTTAACATCCCCCCTGGTGGCCCTTAAACCTATAGTAGCCTCTTTGGTTGTATACCCTGCAAGAAAGAGCACACTTTTATCATTCCAATAGCATTTAAAAAATGCATCGTACCTAACTCCACTAGGGTCATAATGCTATTCTCGTCAACCCTAAGCTGTTTGATTTCTTGTTCGACTTTGTGAAAGAGATTAAGCGCTTCCGTTCGTTTATTCTGATGGTAGAGAACGATGGCTTGGAGTAGATGCAACCGCATCAGCAAGGCTTCCTCGTTTCCTAAATAAATTCGAAGCCTTCTGATTAAAATGGCTACCGTCAAGAATTCTGAATCAATTAACCTGGGGTCCCTTTGATTTCTATTAGTCTTTCCAGATTGTTTCCGTACGTGGAGCAGAACTTTTCCTCGCACCTGGACAGCCTTTGGAAAGCTTCGGGAAGCTGAGCGAAGCTTTCGAGGTTCAAATAACACCAAGCTATGTCTAAATCTAACAGAGCGTAGTTATCGACTGTCTTCAGTAATTGAGAATTGCATTGCCTTGAAGAGATATATGTTTTTTAAGGGTTTTACGGACGATTGTTGGAGTTAGTTACCGAAATTCCTGATCGGCCTCGAGGAAGAAAACCAAAGCTCTAGTGAATTCGTTTCGTTTCAATGAAGCTTTGCCTTTTTCGTGCAAAGCCATGGCGACAACCAGAGCTTTTCTTTCGTTCGGTGGGATTTTTATGGGATTCCCAAATTGATCTTCCAGCTGGTAAAATGTAACATTTAGTCAATATTACTACTGACAAAGTAAGATAAAAAATTGGACGGTTTTTTAATCTTACTCGAGCGATGTGTATGTTCATACTTGCATGTACTCGTTATCTAAAGCTAATAAAGTTGAGTCTGTTTTGACGCTTTCCAATTCTCGAATTTGATTCTCGTTTTGGGAAACTTGCGTAGGAGTCTCTGAAAGGATGATTGCCAGAATTTGCGAACCATTTTTAACACCCTGACTCCCCAATGTGTCCGTATCCTTTAAAACTCTGCCTGCAGATATCAGCTTTATCCTGGAAATTATATCTCATTAATTCAATATCTACTCGATATTTCCTATAGAATTATTTAAGTAAGTAGTTATGTGAATTATTTTACCCTGCATTGCCAATATTCACTTCAATTGTAATAATATCCTTCAATTCAGACGCTTTGGATGACAGTAAAAGCTTTTTAGAAAAAACCCCTGGGGGCGAATTCGAATGGAGTACTTTAATTTTAATAGTGGCTACCCCTTTGTCTTGGAATAAGTTTTTCTGCTTCAGATTTTCCAGCGAGTTCAATTGGAGTTCTATGATGATTTCCTCGCAAAGATTCGGCGGGATATTTAGGATTTTCCTGTAGTCTTCGGAAAGAATCTGAAAATCTTTCGTAAACAATTGTTTGAAAATAACATGTTGATTGTTTACTTTAATGTCGGTGGCGGATGATTGGGAGTCCTGAAAATAAGGCGGCAACCACAGTTTAATTCCATCTTTTCGTAGTTTATCGCGAATTTGTATCAAATAGTCTTCCTTTTCCAAATTTGATGTCATTTTTAAACAGCTGATTCATTCGATATTCGCAAACAAAATGTTTTGTTTTGTTTTGACGTTTCGAACTATGGTTTTGACATGCAGTGTTGCCAGGTCGATTTCTTCTAATAACCGATTGTAACTATAGAAAACAGACCACACAATTGACATATGACATAGAAAATGAAGAAAATTTAAATAGGTTAGGTTTTTATTTTTAAATCGAGAAAGCATGTTTTGAGTTTTAATTTGCATTTATGTGATTTTAGCAATAACAACGTATAAAATGAGGTAATTATAATTAAACATCAACTTTTTTTTAAGTTTAATACCAAATTTTTAGGATCGATAATGAAGAAGATGATTATTCTTCCGAGGACGATTATCTTGACAACGAGAAAACTTTGTTGAAGAAATTTAGAAATCAAAAAAGTGAATATTCCGATGAAGAGGTATAGCAAATCTTAAAATCCATTAATTATTTCTATTTCAATCTAACAATCATTTTAGGAACAAGTTTTTGGTGTTGGTCCCGATGATGATTCCGAGGACGACAACGAGGGCAGTGGTGATGATCAAAGCGACTTGGCATTAAGTGATGTAGAAGGGCAAAATGATGATGATGATCTACCGGATGTTCGAGCTTGGGGGAAAGATAAAAGGAAATTTTACCAAACTGACTATGTAGATCAAGATTATGGGGGATTCCAAGGCAAGGACGCGCATTTGGCTGATCTGGAAGAAGAAGAAGCGAGGAATTTGCAAAAACAATTAGCCGAACAATTAGATGATGATGATTTCGCTTTAGATATATTTTCAAAAGTAAGTAGAAGTACTTTTAGAGAGAAGTTATTTTTGTATATTCTAATTTTTAATTTTTAGAGTACGAAAGAAGATGAAAAACATCAGGAAGAGATCATCAAAACTGATGTTTCTAAATTAACGAAAAGACAAAAATTAGAAATAATTCAAAAGGAATCCCCAGAATTTTTTAGTTTGGTTGAAGATTTTCAAGGTAAAGTTACTCATAATTACCTCTATTCATTTCTTTAATTGTCTCGATTTTTTTTAGCTAAAATGCTCACAGCCAAAAACTTCTTACTACCAATTTTGAGAAAAGCCAAAAACAACGAAATACCACAAAGCAATGCTGTAGATTTCGTCCAGACGAAATACGAGTTAATTTTAAAGTAAGCTCGAACAATAAATCATACGAATAAGATTACTTTACTCTAATATTTCAGCTATTGCACAAACATTTACATGTACATGTTGCTGAAGGTTTCCAAAACAAACATTCAAAACCACCCTCTGATCAAACGTTTGTACCAATACAGACAGCTCCTTCTGCAATTGGAACCCATTTTCGAAGAGATTGTTAAACCTCAAATAGAATTAATGCTAAGCGAAGTGAGTAATTTATTTGCAGAGTTATTTAATTTCTCTAATGATTATTTTATTTTAGGATAAACAAGACGAGAATGTTAAAGTTAAGAGCAAGAAGAAAACGTTGAAACTTCTGACGAAACTTCAAAATCAAAACGAAGTTTCGCTAAAGAGGAAAAAGGATGATAATTTGCAACCCGAAAGAGTGAAGAAGGTTAAATTCGAAGATGAAATACCTGCAACCGATAAGTCGAAGAAAACGTTAACGGAAATTAAACAATCTGATTCTTCGGAGGGCGAGGAAGATTTGGTTCAAAACGAAGAAATCGTTCAGGATAGTGTAGAAGGCGAACCTTCAAAACGCGCAATTACCTACGAAATGGCCAAAAACAAAGGTCTTACACCTCACAGGAAGAAGGAACAAAGAAATCCTAGGGTTAAACATAGGCTCAAGTACAGAAAAGCCCTCATTCGCCGCAAGGGTGCTGTAAGTGTACTCGTACATTAAAATCCTCTCACCTCTCTAATCAATCACTTTTTTTTTAAGGTACGCGAACCTAGAAAAGAACTATCGAGGTACAGCGGAGAAATATCCGGTATCAAAGCGACCGTATCCAGAAGTATAAAAATTAAAACTTAATAAACGGTTTCAATAGTAAAAAAAGTATATTTCGACATATAAAAAACACAATCAACCTTTCAATCTATTCACATCTCCAACATGACTTTCGCCATGGAAACCAGCCTCTCCGATTTTTCCGAAACGCTCGAAATGGTCGTTCGCTGGGTGTTGATCTGGTCCGAATAACAGGAGGGAGTCGACATGGCCGAATAGGTGCTGGGCGTTATCTTGCCTTCGGGCAGCTCCAAGTGGTTCTCGTCTAACAGCTGCGTGATCGCCGTCATCAAAGAGGGAGAATTGGTGCCTATTTCTTGCAGTTGGTACAAAGCCTTCTTGTTTATGTCTTGCAATTGGCGAATCTCAAAATCTCTCTAAACATAAGAGACAATGGCCTGTATTCAGCGCCTCTATTTGACGTCTGAGTGACTCTAAAGCCGCGTCTTTAACTTGACAGATTTACATTGTTGTTATGGAGTAACTAGGGACTCGAGACGCGATTTTAGAGTTACTCTAAAGTTAAATAGAGGCGCTCAATACGCGCCAATGGGCGTAAGAAGTTTCAAATCTCTCTAAACATAAGAGATAATGGGCATAAGAAGTTTCCAATATTGAGGAAGGGATTTAATAGAGAGTTTAAAATCTAAATACAAGAGATAATGGGCATAAGTGTGTTATATTGAAGAATTTCCAATCTTTCTAAAGATAATGGGCATGAGTGTCATATAATGAGGAGTTTAAAACCTCTCTAAATACAAGAGATAATGGGCATAAGTGTGTTATGTTGAAAAATTTCCAATCTTTCTAAAGATAATGGGCATGAGTGTAATTTCCAATATCTAAACATAAGAAATAATAGGCAAAAGGGTGATTCGATATATTGAAAGTTCAAATCTCTCTAAATAAAAGAATTAATAGGCGTTTCTACTTACGTTGTATTTGTACAAAACTTTCTTGTTTTTGCCTTTAAGTTGCTTGGACAATTTCTTCAATTCGCATTCCACCCGTTTCAGTTTCTGTTCTTTATCCTGTTCTTGCTTTGTCACTATGATGATTTCCTCCTCCATATTCTGGACTTCCTCCTTGTTTTTGTGCAGCTCCTCTTCGACATTTTTTAATTTTTGTAGTGTCTCTAAAACCGTAAAAAAGACTCTTCAATTAGATCTCATGAAATCTCCGAGATCTCAAAGAAAGAGGAGATTTAAAAAAATAGAATCTATGCTCGAGTACCTTGAAGTTGGCTTTCTTTAGAAGTAACCTCGTTTCGGTAATCCTTCAACTCCTCGAAAGTTTCCCTCAGTTCCTTCTCAAGCGCGTGCATTTCCTCGTATTCAGGCTCTAGAATAATTGCAAACAATCATTTTTTGTAATAAAAAAAATCAATCTTCTTTCTCACCGGTATCGGTGACCGGCTTGAGGTTTTTCTTGAAAGCGGTGTTCGTCAAATTGATCACTTTCAACGTGTTCTCCAGCGCCACGATTTCCTTCTCGGCCGTCTTGATTTTGTTGTCCAGCGAATCGCCCTCCTCCTGCAGAAAGAACTTCTCCTGCGCGTTTTTGATCTTGATGGCGGCCAGCGTGAGCGGCTCGCCGTTCTCGTCCTTGCCCAAGCCCGATATCGCCATGTCGTACTTCTTCTGGTACTGCTCCACGCGCAGCCTCCTCAACGTCAGATCGCCCTTCAGTCGGCTCTTGTCCTCGTCCAGGCTGCGCTTCTTTATCAGCAGAATCTGCTTCTGTGAGTTGATCTCCAGCTGGCGCTCCTTCATCGCCTTTAAACAAATTTTTCATTGACGAGTCGTTTATTAGTACGATTTTTTTTCATAGCTAGCTTACCTGTTCGAGATTGAGCCTCATTTTCTCCAAATTGTATATCTGCTTCTCCTCCTTCTTCTTGTTTATCTCGATGTAGTTGATGCGCAGCTTCATCATATTTTCTTCCACCTGTTTCTCCTGCATGGATTTCTGGGCGCTGGCGATTTGCTTCTTGCTGATGTCGTATATGAGCTGGGAATTCTCGCATTTGTCGCGTAGGGATTCCAGGACTTCTTTGTCGGCTGTTATAACAACCGAAAGCCTGCGCATGTCTTCGCGCAATCTGTCTACCTGGCACTGCAAGCTGTGGTGGACCTACGAAATGTTATACATTTCTTTATTATTTAGAATTGTAAGTGGTTTTAGACGATCGTGTAGTACCTCTTTATGCTCGGTTAAAGATTTTTCCAAATCTTGGATCTTTATTTGTATCTCTTCTGGTACTTCTTGCTTTTGGGCTTCGGCCATTTCCAGGAGTTTGCGTTCGCATTCGTCTATTCTGTATTCCTGAGGCGAAGCGAAATTGGTTAACAGTGCATTACGGATTGGTTATTGTTGGTATCTTACCATTTCGTAAACGACCACTTTGATTTTATCCAGATCTTTGCGCTTGCTGTTGATGTGTTTCCGCAACTGGTTCGAGGTGCAAACGGAGAGATTTATTTCGATTTCCAGGTTGCTGGCGATCGCCACTTGGTCTTTAAGCAGCTGCTCGGATCGGAAAATCTCCCCGTTGATTTTCTCGATGTCCAGCAGTTTTTGATTGTAGGCGGCTTCTTCCTAAGAAATCGGCGAATTCAGAGTGTAAATTTTACAATATTTCGCTTTGATACTCACTTGAATAATCATATTTTCCATGCTCTTCGTCCTTTGCTCGGAGGTCATCGCCGAGTTTCTGATCATTTCCAGTTCTTCGTTCAGTTTCACCAAATTATCGGAGAATTCTTGGCAGAAGTTCACCTTCTCGTCGTATTGTTCTTCCAACGTTTTGTACTTTAATCGCTCGTTTTTCAAATCGACCGCCACTTTGGACATGTTTCGTTTCAGCGTTTGAAGCTGCCAAACAATTAAATACATTTTTCTAGAATACCCTAAATATATTTAATAAAGACACCTACCCTTAAGATGAATTAAAATTGTGAAGGAATCCCCTGAATTATTGTTGAAATAAAGAAGCAGGTATTTTCAGGAAGAAATTTATCAATAATTGGACCACCTTGTAATAATAAATAATTAAAGGTAATTAAGTTATTAAAAAACGGACTAAAACAATAGTTTTATTTTGTAAGAACAATAATATAAAATTGGTAAATAATAAAAATATATATAAAAAAACCGTAGGCTAAAATAAAGTATATAAATAAAACAAAATTAAACAGAATTCTTAGTAGCTTCACTGTTTTATGCAACAGGAATATAGAGAATTTCATTTACGAATAAAAAAGTGTTTCAGGTACATTGTAAATTTTATAAAATTGCAATGTGAAATTTCTACAAACACGTTCAGCTTTTTCTCATCTAATAAATGCATTTTCCAGTGACCAATCTAAACCCAAATAACCCAAATTCCTGCAAAAGAACTTTTACACGCCTGCAACATTTTCCTTCGATCCTCTTCATCCCTTCAACAATCCACGCACTTCTGCATCATCCGCTGATTCGCCTCCAACGTCCTGCTCAGTTTATCGTGCAGCAACTGCGCCAGAGTAGACGGCGTTTCGAACGGCAAGCACGAGCAATTCCGATTCGAATCCACGTAATCCCGATCGGATTCGCAGGGGGAACCTCGCCCCGACGGCACGTGCACCTTCCTGGGGGCGGACAAGTGTCGGTCGCAGTACGAACACACCCTCGACGGAGACTTCGCACCGCCGGCGCTCGAAGGCTGGTACTGCACGTACTGCGGCCTGCAAGAAGAGCTCGTTTGATTGCAGATTTTGTCTATTAGGTAATCCGTACGATGTGGACGATGAATTTAACAGTTCAAATTCATAGCAGGAGTATAATGTGTATAAACGGTAACTTTTCCACAGCAGAATCAAGCAAATTTAGTGGATTTAGTGGAAAATTTACAATTTAGAACCGTTCAAATGCAAGAAGGAGCTCATTTGAAGCTATTACTGCAGATTTTTACTTACTGCACAGACGAAGCTATAGGGTCTAGCACATTATGTGGACAATGAAGACCTTAGAACAATACAAATTCAAGAAAGAGCTCATTTGAGGCTGTTACTGCAGATTTTTACACAGAAAAAGCTATAGGATCAAGCAAATTATGTGGAGAATGAAGATCTTAGAATAGTACAAATTCAAAAAAGAACTCATTTGATGCTGTTACTGCAGATTTTTACACAGAAAAAACTATAGGATCAAGCAAATTATATGGAGAATGAAGATCTTAGAACACTTCAAATTCAAGAAAGAAGCTCGTTTGAAGTTGTTATTGCAGATGTTTCCACAGAGAAAGCTATAGGATCAAGCAAATTATGTGGAGAATGAAGATCTTAGAACAGTACAAATTCAATAAAGAGCTCATTCGAAGCTATTACTGCAGGTTTTTCCATAGAGACAAATGTAGGATCAAGAAAATAACAATTCAAATTCACAGCTGGAGTTGATGATATCTTTTCCACAGCAGGAGCTAGACAAGGGAAGAAAATATATTGAACGGTATTTAGGCTTCAAACGGGATGGGACAGTTTAAATGACCACACTTTGAATTCTACGAATCGTGGGATAGGATCCGATAATCTTGCTGCAATGACCACTTACTTTGAAGGATTTCTCAAAAAGTAATTATCGTAAAACGAGCACGTGGAGCAGTGGTTGTCGTGCCTCCTGATCTCGCTGGCGTGGCCGTCGTGCCAGACCTGCGAAACCTGCTCCGAGGTTCCGCAGGCGGCGTGTCTGCAGTAGCAGCTCCGTTGGTTCGAATATTTATCGTTATCGACCACCTGCGGATTGGTGCGTACGATCAGATCGTCGGGCACTTTGTAATGCTTGAACGGCGGTTTGGTCTTGGTTTTCACGGCGGCGCTGCAGTCCTTCTGGCGCCTGCTGTAGCCGATCGAATGGCAAACCTTCCTGGGTTGATTGGGGTTTTTGTTCGATGTGTTCGTCGGTTTGCACGGTAGAGCTTTGGGCGTGACGAGGGTGATGTTCGAATCTGTACTGTAGGGATCGAATATAATTTGTTCGACTGTTGTTTTAGTGCTTACTTCTAATTTTGGTGCTATGGTACCTGCATAAAAGAGTTATTGCAATACAAAAAAGATTTTTGGTAGTAATTAATTACAGGGTGGTAATTAATAAGTGCGACAAACTTCAGGGGGTGATTCTGCATGAAAAAATAATACTAAGCAGGTTTTTAAGAAGAAACTTTACCACTCCGTATCTCGAAAACAAAGCGTTTGCGGACATATGTTTACATAGCAAAATATCATTATTTTTTCAATCAGAATCTCCCCCTGAAGTTTGTCGCACTTAATAATTAACACCCAGTATAGGTACTTACCTGGAAAAATACCTGTAGGTTCCATGAGCAAATCGACACTAACCCCCATGATACTCCCCCTGAAAGTACTGGGATAGAGCAAATCGTCCAAGGTGGTCCTAAACGTGGACAGCACCTGTCCCTTATCGCAGTTCCTCCATTGTATCAATTCCACGTAAATCTCCTCGCGGTTCAGCCGCCTCTGCAGCTCGTTGAGCCTGCGATCCTCGTCGAAGGTCTTCGAAAACACGAACTTTTCGTAGAACCTCAGCGGAAAGGCGGGCTTGGCGTTGCGAGTTTGCACCGACGATTCGAACACGTGCAATTGCAACGACACTTTGCCGTTGGAACAGAGACAAACGCCCGGACAGCTGACCTTTCGCACGTCGATTTCCACCGTCACCAGAAACCCTTTGCGGGACATCGCGGTGCCGCTTCGTCCACAGGAATTTTGCGATAATTTCGTATTGCACTCATTACATAATCGAGTAACGGGAAGACAAAAACGCGGAAAAATAGGTTAAGTTAAACGTCAGCTCTCACGAATTTCTCATCGACAAATCGTTAAATTCGCCTAGCAACCGAGGATCAACACTGATGAGAAATTATCGAAACATTTATACTACGCATCGGTGAAAGTAGGACAATACATTTTCAACTACACAGTGGCCAAAATATAATAACTTATTTCATCATCTACTTCTTCATCTACCAACTATATGCAGGGCATACCTCTTCACATAAAGGTAGAGAGAATAGATAAAAGTAGGGAGAACTTACCCCGGCTTGGGTGGTCATCAAATACTGATAGGTATCGGCCATTTCCTTCCTGTACCTGGTGTTGACCTCGTTGGCCTCCAGAATTTCCTGCTCCAATTCCTTGTTGTTCTTTTTCTCGTTGGCCAAAAACTTCTTCTCGATGTCGAGCTTCTCTTCGGCGACAGCCAGCACGTCGTTGAGGTGCACCAGGTGCTTTCGGCCGCGCATTATCTCGTTGTCGCGCTGCTGCAGCACCCGCACCGTGTTCTTCCATTGGTTGATCAGCGAGTCCCGTTCGATGCCCAGCTGCTTCAGCACCTTACCTGCAGCGAGACAAAGACAAAGGTATTCGAATGCGATGCGGGGAGCTGGATGTTACCGGATCTCTCCACCATCTGTTCAGCGTTGTGGTAGTTCGAGGCGATTTTTTCCATTTTTTCTTTAACGCTGACCAAGCAGCCCTTGAGGTGCTTCCGCCGCGCTTCCATCTCGTTGAACCTGCGGTCGTCGTCTTTGAAGAACTTCTTCAGCAACCCGATGTCGTCGTCGCGCTTCTTTAGGGATTCGTTCCACGCTCTGAGCGCCTCCTCGTCCCAGCCCATCTCGACTCGCAGCTTTTCGGCCTGAAAACGCGAGAGGTTCGAGTCCAGATTCGCACGGCTCGGACCCGTCTTACCTTCGTGATCAACTTCTGCAGCTCGTTCTCCCTTTCTTTGTGTATAACCTGGGCCTCTTTTAGGCTGTGCGTGGAGACTTTGAAAGCGTGCGCGGCGTTCCGATTGTCCGTTTTCGTGTCGGAATAAACGGTTTCCAGCGATTCCAGCTGCACTTTGTGAGCGGTGATGAGTTTCTAAAATTTCGAAACGCAAATGTAAATTCGAATTGCCGTGGCCGGTGCGGCGTTTTCACCTGCGTTTGCTCGCTCTCCTGGTTAACGTACTTCAAATGGTCGTTCATGTTTTCCAATCTGGTGGACACGTTGTCCAAGTTGGTGCGGTTCTTGTGCCTCAGCAGGCTCAGCCGGGCGAGCTCCTCTTCGAGCAGCTTGTTCTCGGAGTTGGCGATGGGCATCTGGAACCCGTCGGTCCATCCGAGTTGTTTCAGCACATCCTCCATGTTCAAAGCCATTTTTCCCCCGTGGAAAAGAATCTTCCGTACTCTGACGCGAATGCTCGAGCGAAAACAATCTAAGGTTATGAAGGCGATCCGATGAAATTCATACGAATCGCCAAGGCGATGCGCCCGGTTGTTACGACAATTGTTGATCGGTTTCCAGGGGGTTTATTATACAGGGTGGCTCGTTATTTTTAAATTGGAGATTGCGAATTTAAATTTTAAATTCGCTCGCACTTTTGTGCCTCAAAAAATTGTCCGTATTTTCCCTCTTATTCGGTAATAAACGCGACCAATAAAATTGCACGGATAGTCTAAAAATAAGCCCGAGCGCCGCGTAAATAATCCAGAACGAAAATAGAACGAGTCGCGAGAGTTTTTCTCGAGCCAGTACATCGGGCAAATCTCAGTTTTTCGTTATGGAAATCAAATGCCTGCCGTGCCCGGTGTGCACGACTCCGCATTTTCGGAACGTGGACACGCTGAGGAGCACCCTGGTCAAAGCGGCCACCAATCTAATCAGGTGCCCCATTTGCTTCGAAAGCCTGATGGGCCTGGATAAATTGACTATACATTTGTTCAGCCACGTAGAGAACCGAGGTAAGATTTTCAAAGTGTCTCCTGTTCACTAGATACTCTTGCGAACATTTCTAGATTTTGTAAGTCTGTTTGGGACGCTTCTAGACCCATTTTATTCTATTTGGACACTTCTAGGTGTATTAAAGCTCTTAAATACCTCTAGGTATATTCTATACGACTCTCGAGGATGTACAGGGTGTTCCTGAACATCGTGTACATCCGAAAGGGGGTTTATTTAATGACTAAAAGTTTATATAAACATAGGTCCGCAAACGCTTAGTTACCGATCTGCAGAGTGTTGAAATTTCATTTTTTTTTTGTTTTTTTCTTTGAAGTTCCTGCAGTTTTTGTGATATTTAGCTCAAATCTTGAATCCAGATTGCTTTATAGGGCACAGATTATTGGATATGTCAGGTGGTTGTTGAATTCTACAGGGTAATATTTTTTCAGGAGTCATGTACCCTTTTTTCCCCAAGAACCCGCTGGTTGATTCTAATATACAAAATGAATTGTCTGTTTTGTTAAGAAATTTTTTTTTTATTTTAAACTTTTTTCGTTTCTGTGACCGTTATCGAGAAAAAAATTAAAAACGATTTTCTTCTACAAATGATTTATTTTACAATACAAAAACCCTAAATAATAATTATTAAATTACATAATAATAAATGTTGATAGTGACCCCCTCCTACTCATAATATACTCTATACCCTATACCTAATTTGAGCTAAATATCTCAAAAACTGCAGGAGCTCTAAAAAAGAAACAAAAAAATCTTGAAATTTCATCATCCTTGTAGATTGGATGAAAATCTGACAAACGGGCGCAAATGGTACCCTTTGAACTCTCTTCCAATAAATGGTCCAGTCATTTCTCTCTGTTCCAGATAAAACAAATACGGCGGTTTTGGTGGACGAAATAGAAGAAAAAATCGAAAAGGAGAGTTTGAAGAACGCAGATGATCCGGTGAAGTGCGACATATGCTCGTTCACTTTCGCCGATAGACAAATTTTGGACATCCACCAGAAATTGCTGCACCAAACGACGCCGGACGCGACCACAGGGTGCTACAGCTACCACTGTCACCTGTGCAACAAGAAGTTCAAGTCGAGGGGCAGCTTGATGGTGCACCTCAGGGTGGCGCATTACGGTTTCAACCGGAGCGAATGCCAAGGGGGCCGCCCGGAGAAGCCCGATGTTCCGGGGGATGCGGTAGAGTGTAAGGAAGCTAAACCACTTGTGGACGCTGACGAAAAAGATGGCAAATCGAACGAAAAGTGCGGTCAAAAGTGCCAGGATAATAAACAATGGGAGTGCGACGTTTGCAGTAAATTATTCACGACCAAGTACTTTTTGAAGAAGCACAAGAGGTTGCATACAGGTAAATGGCGTTTGTACTAAGCGGATTTGCATTGCGACTTTTGTGTTCCAGGTGAAATGCCTTATTCCTGCAACTTGTGCAACAAGTCTTTTACATTCCAGCAGTCCTACCACAAGCACATGCTCTACCATTCTGCGGATAAGCCGCACACGTGCAACGAATGCGGCAGGTCCTTCAAGGAGCTGTCGACTTTACAGAACCACGCGAGGATACACTCGGGAGAAAGGCCTTTCATCTGTGAAACTTGCGGTAAAATTTATTTCTTGTACTTCATACAGGGTGTCCCACGACGAGTTAAAACTATCTGTATATAGGAAACTACTTATCCGATTTAAATAATATTTAAGTAGTTTCCCATATACAGATACTCGTCGTGGGATACCCTCTATAGTAACAAGTTACAAGTTTTGTCTTGTAGGTAAAAGCTTCAGGCAACGAGTTTCTTACTTGGTCCACAGAAGAATCCACACGGGTGTAATGCCTTATAAATGCTTGACCTGCGACAAAAGTTTTCGGTACAAAGTGAGCCAGAAGTCCCACAAATGCCTGGCTAGTTCGCCTGGAAACGCAAGTCAATCCGATGCGTTCCAGAGTCCAGTGAAAGTAAAAGAACCTAATCCTGCTTCGAGTGAAGAAGCTTTTAATACTGCGAATGCTTCCTCGCGCCTCCTTAACTCGGTAAAGCCTGAACAGTTAAGTGTTATAGACAATACTTTTGCTACTGCTGAACAGGGCACGTTTGTCGTGGACAATAGCCCAAACAAATTGAGCGTTGCTAAAAATATAATGAACGTAGATTTTGAAACTGGGACAATCAGTTTGATTTCGCAAACAAATAGAATTTGTTCTAACGAATCTTCGCTGCAGAAAAAATCGATTAAATCGAAGCACAAAGGAATCGGTTGCAACCAGGGGCGTATCAAAAACGGGAATCTACTAAATGGTTCAGTTGATTATGAAGTAAAAAGCAGCAATTGTGAAGCACAAGGTAAATAGATATGAAAACTGAATTAGGAAATATAGTAAATTAATTTGTTGTAGACGGTTTCGAGAAATTGATTCAAGCCGATGCCGAAAAAGATGTGTTTTCACCGCTGATGTCCAATTTGCTCCCGGATGTAGAATCGTTGTACTTAAATAATTCCCCGATGAACGACGAACCGGATTGCCAAGAACAAGAGAATATTAATTACATGCGAGAAAAGTGCCTCGAGGAACTTCTAAAAGGTATCGAATGATTTAGAAAAATGATTTATGGATAGTATAAATAAATTTTTGTTCAGTTATTCCAATTATTGTTTTATTTATTACACAAATTAGAATCGCAAGTCCTTCTTGCGTTTTATAACAGAAATAACTGGACCCTTTTCAATTACAAAATACATTTCTAATTAACCAATTAAAATCAATTACTCGGTAAGAAATATTCGCTTAATCTACTCGTTTAATCCATACCGGGTGGTAAGGGTTCCGATGGTGGAACAGCAGCAACCGAAGCCTCCCTCGCCTAAAAACAATCACCAACACGATTTTATTCGACACACTCCATTCTAAAATCGCCATAAACTTACCAAACCCACCTCGGGCTGTACGCCAGTCACAGGTGGAGTCCCCGCGCTCGCCGGCGGCGTCCCCGCCTGCGCCAGAATGATTTCCTGCACGCCCGAAGGAATGTGCGCCCTCTGCGCCTCGGTGAACGCCAGCAAATGGTCTCTGAGCGGCTCCTTCAACTCGGGGCATATGTTCAGAGCTTCCTGCAGCTGCGGCGTCGGCAGTTGCATCAGAACCGCGAAACTTTGCGGTCTCGTTCGCTGGCAGCATTTCACGAAACCCTCCCAAACGACCTTCTGGTTCCACACCTGCAGGATAATTACAAAAAAAAATTAGTACCTTCTATGTCTATTAACTGTAAATATTAACCCAATATTGGTTCAAAATAATTATGCATGATGTTATGCCGTACTAAATGTTTTATTGAGCTTGACATGTATCTTTCTTCATATACAGTACCTATGTCTGAAAAAGTTGGCAACATATGGGAAAATTTTTTATTTGTAATGTTACGAAAAAAAAATATTCTTTATAAAAAGTTCTGCATTGCCAATAAAGTAAAACGCAAATGTCAGATGTCAATTTTTTAAATCGTTAACGTTTGTCAAAAAATATGAATGACACTAACTAGATGGAATGTAATATTTATTTCTCGAAAGCTTTTATTTGACTGACTTTCGGTAAGAGAAATGTCATTGTCAGAGCCACCAAGATTTTAAATTATTTCGTTTATTTTTGTGTATTACCGTAGAAATTACATTATTAAAATTAAAACAACAAATGAACATTTGAGGTGTGTTGACTTGTTAAAGATAAAAGTTGCGTGTTTCGCAACTAAAATTAGCAAAATTTAAGTTGAAATGAAGTAGTCAAAATATTCCTATTAATCTTTTGCAATTTGTGGACACCCCGTACATCTAATGCCAAATGTAAATAACTAAATATTATTTTTGAAAGCAGAGATTTTCATAAAGAATAACTTTTTTTCGTTACAATAAAAAAGTTTCCCATCTGTTGCCAACTTTTTGAGACACTGTATAATTTTGATTATCTAATAACGATTCTAGTAAATACACTTTCGGTTCCTCTACTTCTTTTAGAGCCTCATATAGTCCCATCCTGGACATAGATCTCCCCAACTCTACTCCACACATCCTTAATTGTATAACACCATCCATTTAAATACACCCACTTACTTTCTTCAAAATCAATCTCTGTAGTATATTCATTACGAATCCAGACAATCTGGGATAACTGGACAAAGCCTGGATAACCGTTCTCATCAGTAGAGTAGGTAAAGGCGTTTGATCCATTAGTTGTTGCAAAACGACAGCCAGAACTTCTTGAGTGTACACCTACAATAAAAATTAACGAATTAGAACCGAAACGTAAAATCTTACGAAACCCAAACTCACCTGTTTCTCTTGTAAACACATCGAAGTAGCCTTAATGACCGTTTTAATGTCGGCCTGCGTAGAATCTATGAGATGCAAGGAAACTAGCAATTCGCTGGGATTGATGGGGCTGTCGCCGTGTAAACCCAACAATCGATTGAATACCTCCCTGATCACCACTGGATTTAGCTTGATGAGTTTTGGAAGCGCGGAAATTACCTAAAAATATCCGTTAGTTAACAATAAAATTATCCTTACGATAAATATGTAAATTACCTCTTTTTTGGATAACCCGTTCAGAACAGGTATCAAAAATCTGACATCGGATATTCTTGTGTTGTAGAGTTCTCTCACCCGTTCAACTAATTCGGGAGTCGGAGAGGATTTATCCGTTAATATATGAATGACTCTCGTGATCAACGTTTCCGATCCCTTGGGACACTCTTCGACCAGTTGTAGCAAATCCCTCGAATCCATTCCCATGACTTTTATGGGGTTATCGATGAGTCTAAATAGCGCAATAACAACAAATAAATATGCATATTCATATAGTAATACATTACCTCAATATAATCCTTTTAATATCAGCGCTGGTTTGTACGTAAACTTTAGCCAAATCGTGTATCAAGCTCTCGTTGGCGGGCAACAGAGACACGTAGGGCAACAAGCAAGCTTTAATGAAATCATCAGTCCACGTTTCGCTTTTCAATCGACCTTGGTTCAACCCGCACAGGCTCTCCGGCGGTTTGGGCAGCTTCAGGAACTCGAGGTTCATTCGGGCGAATTCCTCGATGACCGGTTTCAGATCGGACCGCTTGTGGAGCTCCAGAATATGAGCGATGGCGTGGTCGCGAACCACGTTGTTTTCGTACGTTGTATAACTCAGCAGAGTGTTGAGAAATATTAATTGTTTGGGCGGTTTTCGTATAGTTAAATCGCGCAAAAGACCCAAAGCCCAACCTGCGAAAGCGAGAATTAATAAACAAATTTTTATGCAAAAATTAATTGAAATTTACCTGATCTTCTCTCGTCCCTACACACTACTCTAACTTCTTCGAGAGCATCATCGGTTACTAAGGGAGCTTCGAGGAGTAGCCGAGAGACTATGAGCGTATCGGTGGCAGATACATTGATAAAACTACACAACAACATGTTGTAGCTGTCGTTGAGTTTACCTTCTTTCCTCAAGGGCGGTACTCTGGAGAAGCCCTATAACAAATTCCAATAAAAGTGTGAAATAAATGTGTGCATGATTGAGTATTCACCTGCATAATGCTGTACTCTTCGAAGAGCCAAGCCAAAGCGACGTCTACGTTCGATCGGAGATCGTTTAATAGAAATAAAAGGATTTTTTCTTTCACCGCTGGACAGAAGCAAGTAGCCAGAGTGGTGATGATTTTTTGATGTAGAATTTTATCTGCCGAATTGTGAGGAACCAGCATCCGTTCGACGGCTTTCAGCAGTAATTTCTCCTTTAAATCCTTCTCTAAAGGCTTCGTTATTTCGGCTAATTTCAGGTTTTTCACTCGCAGCACCCTTACTTTTTCCTTCTTCGGTGGAGGCTGGAAAGTCATTCGATTATCTAACGTGAATCAAATAGCACCGATTTACTTACTTTCTCCTTTTCTTCTTTATTTTCATCTTCTTTGGGTTTCTTCTTAGGCTCCGGTGGACTTTTCTGTTTCTCCGCAGTTTTTCCAGGTCCTATGTTGCTGTCTGTAAACTGTTTAGCTAAGGCGTTAGCCAGGTATATTCTCCCGACCTTTCCAGAATTCACGTATTCAGCATATTCACGAATAAACTCATTCGAAGCCTAAAACATAATAATACTGCAATATAATCCAGAATCATTTAGAACTTTCTAGAACCATTTAGAACTGTCTAAAGCCATTTAGAACGTTCCAGAAGCATTTATAAATGCCTTGAATCAACTAGAACGCTCCATAAATAGTTCCAATGCGAATTTACCTGTAACGGCAATTTTGGAATGTTGGTAACGATAAGATAAACAGCCTTTTCTAAAGTCAAATTGTCCAGAATGAATTGCTCGTTGATCTCTTGAGGCGTCAAACGTGGATCGATCGTGTCCTCAACGTCTATGTTAGATAATGATTCTTCTAATCGTGCTCTTTTTATATTGTGCTGAACAACTAAAGATTCTGCGGATAGAGTTCTTTTGTTGTATCTACGTCTTTCTTCTGCTTTGGGTATCAATTTGTTAATTTCCGACTGAGAACATCCTGTTAAAAAGACCATTAAACAATCAGATACAATTTAATTACTGCATATTTACCAAGATCTATTAAAAGAGAGTTGATAGTTTGAAGATAATCGTACGATCCCGGATGTTTCAATAACCCTATGAATTCCGTCTTCAGTTTCTTTTTCACTGAGCTTACTTGCGTAGTTGTTAGTGTAGGAGGTAAATTGTTGAATAGAGATTCCAGGGCGTTTATCACTCTTTCCATGAATTCTGCCCTGCATTTGGCTATGTGGGATAGAACCCCGATGCATGCCAATAGATTAGCACTGCTGATGTGAGGGGAACCGTGGAATTTTATCAACACTTCAAATAAATGACTAAAAAAATATTTTGTTGATAATAATCTCTTGTTAAAACGGAGTTATAAATCTCACCTTGCTTCTTCTTCAAGCTTCCTTCTTCTAGCAACTTTAAGTGTTAATGGAACATCGTCTAAAGAAAAATCATCTGATCTTTTATTTTCGTTTTCGTCTGGATAAGTCTGGAGTAAAACTACGCATTCCAAGAACTTGACAGAGCTAGTACGTATTCCATCGTTGTCGCTGAGAAAATGAGCGTTGTCTAATATACAGGAGAATTGTAGTGGGAGATATTAATTACCTGTCTATCATGTTGGCAATTTCTAATTTTATTGTACTAAGCTGCTTCCAAGTATCTTCCATTTCTTGTGTGGTAGTCGAAGCCTTGCAAAGCCAAGCCAATGTCCTTCTGTATATGGTAATAGTTGCTTGAATAACTCGCTTTTGAACCGGGATCGATTCATCGCACAGTAACATATGCAAGCTGAGCATTACTTTGGGTATAAAGTTTTCCCTAATTTTACTGGAAAATTACGAATGCTGTAGCGTATATGGTAAATTTCTTGGTGTAGGTCACTTACATTAATTCTTCTATGAAACCTACGAGGGACTTTTTGATATCTGCGCTCGAATCGGTAGTGAAATTGAGGACATTTTGTAAATATTTCGGTATCAAATTGGGCGATTTTCTCAACAAGATTTCTTGTATTTTGAAAAAGCTGCTCGACTTTTTCACAGAGCTTGTCTCGAACATACAGTCGTTCAAGTAATTTGAAACCTAAAATTTAATAGATACTTATTACTGAAAAAAAAATGCGATTTTGATAAATTGTACCAGATCGTCGTCTGACAAATCGCCGTCGTGTTCCATGTTTTAATTATACTATAAATATATTTTTTAACTAAAATGCAAAATAGTCATTCCAACAGGAGAGGAGGTCCAAACAATTCGGTAGAAATAAAATGACGTTAAAACATAACCTCGAAAATCTTCTTCTGTGTTTTGGTTCAAAAATGGCCTTTTCTGAATGTACTCAGTGGTTATTTTAATAAATTATTCAGCTAGCCATAAACGGTTCGATTTGAAAGATGAAATTCTTATTTGCGCGTAGATCGGGCCATAAAATTGAATAAAACAACAAGTTACTCAAGAGCTTCTTTATTAGTAATTGAGAAGCTTTTACATTTATTTTTTTTTATCAAGTCTATCGTCATCAAGTCAACAAAAACGAAAAGCGTAACAAATTAGACATGCATTAACAAATACATTTGTTACAAGTAACAGCAAATGTCCAATACAAAAAAATACAAAAACACAATAACAGATAACTAGGGATCTAAATAAATATAATTTAATAAATAAATTACTTCATAAGTCTCCAAACAAATTTTTGCTCTTATCTCAATACGTTCAATAGACAATTAGCGTGTCAAGACAATGGCTAAAATTCATTTTCAAATCGAAATAGCCAAGCAAAAACATATCAGAGACATCAAATTAAAAACTCGAGAGAACTAAACGCTAACATCGAAAGAATCTTTCCTTCTAAATTCCTTCCGATGAAAATAATTCCTCTGCAACCACCTAAACAACAAATAATAATAATAATAAACAATCAAATTTTTCTCCTTGTTGCCCGTGTCGATAGATGGCCTTGTCGTCGTCGGCGGCGACACCACAAAGCCTACTAGTTATTTCTTCTTTTGGGCCTTCTCGGCGGCCTTCGTTACTTTGCCCGCCGTATCTTTGAAGCTGACCGATTTGATCACGCCGACGGCGACAGTTTGACGCATGTCGCGCACCGCGAACCGCCCCAACGGCGGAAACTCCTGAAACGATTCGACGCACATCGGCTTCGACGGCACCAGATTCACGATGGCCGCATCGCCCGATTTGATCGCCTTCGGATTCTCCTCAGTCGTTTTGCCGGTACGACGGTCGCACTTTTCCTTGATCTCGGCGAATTTGCACGCGATGTGCGCCGTGTGGCAATCCAATACCGGCGTGTAGCCGTTCGCTATTTGACCCGGATGGTTCAACACGATCACCTGGCGATACAAAATCGATTATTGAAATCTAAACAAAGCAGAATTCTTCGTTTGCTTACCTGCGCCATGAAGTCCGAAGCTCCTCTAGGCGGATTGTTTTTGGAGTCTCCAGCGACGTAGCCTCGTCTCAATTCTTTGACCGAAACGTTCTTCACGTTGAAGCCGACGTTGTCGCCGGGAACGGCTTCCGGTAGAGCCTCGTGATGCATTTCCACCGATTTTACCTCAGTAGTCAAACCGACGGGAGCAAAAGTCACCACCATTCCGGGTTTCAGAATGCCCGTTTCGACTCGTCCCACTGGTACAGTACCGATACCGCCGATTTTGTAAACATCCTGCAAACAAAAACAAATCAGATATTCCATTTAGGAATATTTAATTCATGTATTTACTTGAAGAGGCAGCCTGAGAGGTTTCTCGGTAGGTCTAGACGGCGGCAAAATCGCGTCCAAAGCCTCAATCAAAGTTTTCCCTTCGGCCTTGCCCTCTTTACGTTCCACAGCCCATCCCTTGAACCACGGCATTTTGTCGGAGGGCTCCAGCATGTTGTCGCCGTTCCAACCCGAAATGGGCACAAACGCTACGGCGGCGGGATTGTAGCCGATTTTCTTAATGTACGAGGACACCTCCTTTTTGATCTCCTCGAAACGCGTCTCGGAATACGGCGGCTCGGTCGAATCCATCTTGTTCACGCCCACGATAAGCTGCTTAACTCCCAAGGTGAAGGCCAACAAAGCGTGCTCGCGCGTTTGGCCGTTTTTCGAAATGCCGGCTTCGAATTCTCCCGTACCTATAACACGCACCAACAAAATTAATATTTATAACGCTATATTAATCTCAAAAGACAAAGCGTCATTACCGGCGGCGACGATCAATACGGCGCAATCGGCCTGCGACGTGCCGGTGATCATGTTCTTGATGAAATCCCTGTGGCCGGGCGCGTCGATGATCGTCACGTAGTATTTGGCCGTTTCGAATTTCCACAAGGCGATGTCGATGGTGATGCCGCGCTCGCGCTCCGCCTTCAGCTTGTCCAGCACCCAGGCGTACTTGAACGAGCCCTTGCCCATCTCCTGGGCCTCCTTTTCGAATTTCTCGATCGTACGCTTGTCGATGCCGCCGCATTTGTAGATCAAATGCCCGGTCGACGTGGACTTGCCGGAATCGACGTGGCCGATAACGACGATGTTGATGTGGATTTTTTCTTTACCCATTTTTGTTCAAGAGGTTCTATAAAGAATCGTGTTATTCGTAAATTCTTTTGGATAAAGTATTCGCCTACTAGTGCTAGTTTACTAGCGCAGTATCAATATTGTATACAAAAATGCGTTAGTTTTGTGTAAAAATGGAGCCAATTTAGTTCCTGCGACAGTAAAATTTCAATTTTTTCACTAGAATTTGAATCTACTAGCTCAATTTTGGAGGGGGAATTTTCAAAAATCAAAAGTAAACAGTAAATTAACTATTCCACTCAGCAAACATTGGAGTAGATAATAAAATGGGGAGCAACTTTTGAGTTTTTAGGAAGGGGAAAAGCTCTGTTCAGTTATCTTCCTCATCTAATACCTTCGACTCAGTTCTACTATTTACCCAAAGATGGGAAGAAGAAAAATTAGCAGTGGCGTAGCAAGACCTTTGTGGGCCCGTGTATCACTGGAATTTAGGGGCCCCTCCTTACTCTTTGTATTATTTTCACTTGTAGATATATAAAAATGGTATTAAATAAGGCCCCATTGGCACTTATTTGGCTTGTGAGCCCGTGTGTGTATCGCACTTTTTGCTCCCCCGGTTGCTACGCCCCTGCTAGTAAGGTTATTTTATTAACAATGGTAAAGGGGAAATCCCCGAGTAACCGGCATTCTTTCTTTTGACATTTTATACGTGCAGAAGTTTTTTCTGCTCATTACACAACTATTTAAGGCTTTTAAACCGCTTATGGAGGTGTGGAAATAATTAATGACACACCTTGACCTTTATCAGCCCTGGAGATCCATTAAAATAGGGTGTACATTCTCATAGTTATAAAAAATGCATTCGAATGCCGGTATTTTTCGAAATTAAGTAATTTTGGGACCTTGATTCTCAAAAGCCGGTAACAATTTATGGTCCACACATAAGTTTATTACGCCCTATTTAATAATTGAAATACGTAAAGCCGAATGTACTATGAGAATATAACCCTTTGCATGGAAAACAAATTCAAGAATTTTCTGCTTTTATTCGAAAAACTCTTCTCGAATCCCATGTGCAGGAATCAATTTTGCGCCCCGGCCATTTTGTGATGCAACATAACGAAAAAAATAGCGACAAACGTCAAGTCGTTTTATTGATTTTGTCGGGCCGCATTTTCTTTAAAAAATTCGCCTCGTTATAAATTCGCTATCGCAAAATCGCCGACGAGAAATTCGCCCGAACAATTACCAAGCAAACAAAGACATTCAAATCGATTAACACCTTACCGGGCCCGCTATTAAAGCCAATTAAACCGATCGCATTATGCACTTCAAGTCGCGAAATAATCAAAATGCAATACCGAAAATAAACTTACGCCGTTCTATTGGACTATTTATAAGCACTTCAACCGGTCTTTTCGGAGATAAATTTAACTGTGCACGGTGCAAATGCCGGCCGACCCGTCAATTAAATAATTCGCAGGGACGTCAAAATTCCGTCGAATTCGACGCGGTTAATTAAACGGAGCTTTTCCGGCAGATCGGGCGGATCGGGTCGCAAGGATTTTCGGCTGGATAACCGGCGTGTTAGTCGAGGAGGAGGAAATTCTCAGTTCACTTACCTGCCCAAACTCACGGCGAAAGATCGAGAGAAAATCGACAGGACCTCAACTCAACTCTCAACTGAGCGCGGACCGAGCGGAAGTTGGAGGAGAAGTTTCCATGGTAGGGGGTGAACTATCGATTTTCGTCCGAATTGCGCTTGTTCGCCTCGAATTAATGGAAATTGCCGTTCTGTTTGATTGAATTCGACGAATATGTAGTTTACTAACGTATTTTTTAGTTATTCGGGTTTTTATTAGCGAATAATTAAATCGATTAATGAAATTAGGGGAGGTAGTTTGAAATGTCAACCAATGGGCGTCGAGGAAAAGTCGATTGAATTTGACAATTAGGGTGCGTATTGTTCGCGGGAAAATCAAATCTGATTTTACTTTTCAAAAAAATGTGCGGGTTTTTATTTGAAACGCGCGGTAAAATCACTTAAACTCGCTCAACTCTTCCAAAGGTAGGATATTTTATTGGTTTCATTTCAAATTATAAGTAATGTAAAATAAGGCAGGAATAAGTAGTCTATGGAAAGCGCCCTTAACAGATTCATAATTTGGTTTTTTACGTAAAATAAAACTATAATATGAGCCAATTAATCGCAGATGCATGCAATATGACGCAACATTGAAAAATCTATTTAACTTATGCCTTATTTAAAATTTTTCAAATATTTTCAAAAAGTTAAAAATGTATCTAATTTCAGTAATATTTAGTTATTATATTTGCACACCACATGAGAAAATACGTAATAAATAAATAGGAAAGGGAGAATTTAAAATTAAAACTTCAATAAGTGTACTAGATTGGCGTAATAGAGCGTTTGGTTTTAGTGTGAACCGAGCATTACGAAATTGGGGAAGCTTCTTTCCGGCAGATGGCGTACGCGAGTTTTGATATGATTTGACGTCATAAAGTCATTTGGAGGAAAAGAAATATGTCGGCGTGCTGAAAGGAACAAGTGATAGTGTTATTGTAAAAAATATTGGTTTTCCGTTATTCAATTTTGATTAAACATTTTTGTATTGGACTCATTTTAAATTATTAAAATGGCTTCACATGGCATTGGGCTGGGTATCGGGAAACCGGAATATATAGTCGGTGGAAAGTATCGTCTAGTTCGTAAAATCGGTAGTGGATCTTTTGGTGACATATATTTGGGAATAAATATCACAAACGGAGAGGTAAATTGCTAATATTTATGTATTTTTTTCGACCTAGTGAAAATTTGATAACAGTTAAGTTCCTGTTTGCCCTTTGTTTGTAACATCTTAACGGGTTTGACACAACTATTTAGCAAATGGCAGCCATATCTTCCAGTCCTTCTTTATTTACGTTGTTTGAAAGTTGAAATTCATTATTTGATTTAGTGGAAATTTGAATGCTTTGTAACGCATTTTGTGGATGAAATAATTTAATTTTAATATCTGAATAGTGTTCTTTCTTTATTTGGCGATATTTAATAAGTAGGTTACTTTGTGAAAAAAAGTATTTCACAATGTAATTCCTCCTATTCCACCTGAAACATTTCACCATTTGTTAAAGGTCTTTATCGTTTGGCGTAATTTTTCACGATTTTTGCGTAAATTTTTGAAATGTTTCGTTCTAATTCGGCGAAAATATTAAATTGTACAGTTTGATTTGTTCCGTTATTGCTCATTTCTTGGGTAAATTTACCACTTTGTTTTCAAGGATATTCAGCTTTCAAACTTTTACATCCCATATTGAAAGCAATTACTTATTTGCACAATCAGAAGGAGATCTTAACCTTAGAATTAACTTCGTTTTTTCAGGAAGTAGCAGTCAAACTTGAATCAATTAGAGCAAGACATCCTCAGCTTTTGTACGAAAGTAAATTATATAAACTTCTTCACGGAGGCATAGGAATACCACATATCAGGTAGTTGAATATTTAAAATATTTTTTTCATCTTTCTATTTTTTGCTATGAGTATCCAGTTAATTAATCTATTTTTTTGTTATTGAAAACATGTTATTTGATGAACATATGTTCTGAGACCGTGTTGGTTTCTGTAGGTATCGAAACCTATCGAAAGAGTCTTTGAAATTTTTGAGTGAATAAGCTTTACGAAAAAAACATATTTAACAAAATGATAGCAATTTAGAAAAGAAACTTTATGAAATATTTTTTGTATTGACTTGTATTGATTTTATTACCTGTAATGAGTTTATTTTTCATCGGTTGGTATGTTTTGCATCTTGATCACGATGAGATTTTCTAAATAAATTGTTTGTTGAGCAGACATTGTGTTGGTATCCTTATGTGGAGATATTTTGAATTATTTTTATATTTTACTTATCGCTTATTTTGTATTTCCTAGTCGATTATTATCATCTATTATTCTATTATATTTCCAAACAATTGTGTGATTTCGTTTATCAGAATACTCATTGATAAATGTTAGTATGAAAATTCAAATTGCTTCTCATAAACTTTAGACCTACAAAGTATAGTGAGTAATTTACAGTAATTGAAGTTTATTTTTGTGGTAAAATTTAATATTTGAATCAACTCTTAAGTCTAAATTAGACATTTTTTTACTTAACGAAATTTTTTTGAGCTCTACATGAATATTATCTATTATTGTCGAGGTATATTTTTCACAACAATTTCATCTTTTGTTAACTTTAAATTATGAGTACACATATTTTGTAAAAAATAGTCTAAAAATAACGTGGGAGTCACGAGTCGCTAGTATTATAAATTGTAACTAGATGCTAACAACATTTCTACAAAGCTAGGTTATTCATAATTTGAATCAGCGGTATGATATTAAATTACAATTTTTGATTTATCATCAGTTATTTGCATCATTCAGCTGCAGCTACATGAGATTGTTGACTAGATGATTTTATAAATAACAATTTCATAATTTCTCCTGTTTAGAAAAGAGGTTTTATCATTACAAAAAGGTTTAATTGTAAATCAAAATCATCCATCTCTCACCATCTCCATTTTTCTCAATACATCATGAACTTGCCGTTTTTAATCGCGTTTATTCATTGGTGATTGCACCTCGCGCATTTAACTAGAAACTAGCCAATAAAAGAGCTATTATAATTAATAAATAATTTTTATTTCGACAATTTAGATATTATGGACAAGAAAAGGAGCATAATGTCCTCGTTATGGATCTGCTCGGGCCGTCTCTGGAAGATCTCTTCAACTTCTGTTCCCGTCGTTTTACGATTAAAACTGTCCTGATGTTGGCCGATCAAATGATTGGTCGCATCGAATTTGTCCATTGCAAATCGTTCATCCATCGCGACATAAAGCCCGACAACTTCCTCATGGGCATCGGCCGTCACTGCAACAAATTATTCTTAATCGATTTCGGGCTGGCGAAAAAATTTCGAGACGCCAGAACTAGAGCGCATATTATTTATCGAGAGGACAAAAATTTAACCGGTACGTATTTTGTATTTTCAAATAAGCGAATTTCCATATATTTGAGTAAATATTTTTGTTTGAAATTAAACGCAATAATGAATCTTACGCTTGAAAAAGCGAGTCAATTTGGTAAACATTTTATGCATATTAGATAGATAAAATTTGAATTTGTAATTTAGATAAACTATGATTATTGTTTTGTTTTTCGATTGATTGTATATTTACGCAGTTTTGTTGTAATCGTTTGAAATTTTACAAACAGGTACTGCCCGATACGCATCCATTAATGCACACCTCGGCATTGAGCAGTCGCGCAGAGATGACATGGAATCTTTAGGATATGTTTTAATGTATTTCAATAGAGGCTGTTTACCCTGGCAAGGTTTAAAAGCTGCTACTAAGAAACAAAAATATGAGAAAATCAGTGAGAAGAAAATGTCAACTCCTGTAGAAGTACTCTGCAAAGTAAGTTGTTCAATTTCTGCCTAAACTTGCTTATTCCTGCTGGTAAACTGCGGAACACCCAAGAAACATGGGTAGGGTAGAGTAGACAAAGTTTTTTTGGGTTTATTCCCGTTATGCCACAAGAAACCTTCCCGAATTTCGCACTTTACCCTGGTAAACTTAGCTTTAGTCGTTATAACTTTACCCGTAGCATATACATAAATGCGATGTTTTTCTTTAGGGATTTCCCGCTGAATTTTCCATGTACCTGAACTACTGTCGCGGTTTACGTTTCGAAGAGGCCCCCGATTACATGTATTTGCGGCAGCTGTTTCGTATCCTCTTCCGTACACTCAATCACCAATACGACTACACTTTTGACTGGACTATGTTGAAACAGAAGACTGCCGCGACAGCTAGCACTGTAGGTGGAGCATCTACTCAGCCCCAATCTACTCAAGCCATAGCTCAGCAACCCGGTAAGCGATAATCATTCATTGTCTGGTTTGGATGTTCGCGAACAAAAAAAAAAACTATTTTAATTTTACGATGCATATGTTATGTTTTTCTGCTTAATAGTAAACGATAACAGCGGGTATTTTATATCATTGTTTATTTGTCTCTTCGATTGTACTTAAATAGAATATTTGGTGTAAATTACTCGACTGTTTATGTGAAGTATGAAATTGGAAATTATTTGCTTATCACAATACTTTTGCTGTATCATAGCGGTGATGTGATTGTGTCGCATCATTCCTGGGATATGGTTTAACACTGGTCATCTTAATATTTTCATGATTATTGTTGTAATATAACTTTCATTATAATTTGAAATCCCTGATATCCGTTAAATTTAATAAATAAACTTAGTAGTTAGTTCAGTCATTAGTTATAAAATTACATAACATTAAAAATAACTACAAATTTACAAGAATAAAATTATTTTATTTGTTATTAGGTTTGCTTTAATTAATACAATTCCTTCGCGTATAAACCTAAATGCTTAAATTTTGAAATTACAAATCATTTCCATTTTTCTCTTTTATTTTCTTCTATTCTATTTTGTTTGTATCTTGCTCATTGTTTGTGATTAATAATAAGCGATATAGTGAATTGTGAAAAATGGAAAAGGATAAATTGTAGGTATTTAAGTATTTCGTTTTATACGCAATTCCTTTATATCCTTTTGCATTTCCCTAATGGTTTGAATAAGTCTGTAAAATTTTCAAAAAAGTGTGCACAATTTGCGAGTTTTTAATTTTTTTTATTACACGTCCTTTAACTATTGTGTTGTTTTGCACATTCGAGTTCAATGATCCTAAAAAAAGCGTTATTTATGTTTATTTGTAAACAGTTCCCTTGTACAGTTCATTTAGTGAGTACATTACCTACGCATTAGCTTATCAGCTGTTTAAACATTTTGTTTTCAAATTGTCGAAGAGACATGATTAATTTGAATTGATTATTAACTAACTTGTTGTGCATAGAACTAATTAAGCGAAACCACTTTTATGAGTAAATTGTTCAGTTCAGTATCGAGTGTATTGTTGAATGAAAATTTTACAGAATTTTTAGTTAACAACCAAGTTTCTTTTTCTCATGATTCCCCTCTTTTCAGCGAACCGAGACAAAAAAGACGATGAAAAGAACAAGCATAATTCTGCTAAAGGTACAACACAAAGTAAAACAGTCCATGCTTCTTCCACTGATATCGCTAAAACCGCTAAAAATCATTGATTTAGTTTTCATTTTCCCCATTATTGTAAAAGTTTTGTACATTACATAAAAATTTTTAGTAACACTGTATTGTGTTTTGTTAAGCTTTAAATTGCTAATAAATGCGTTTCGTTTGATTTATTTTTTGAGGGAAAGTTGTTTTTCTTTTTCTATGGTTGCGTTTGGTCTGTTTTCTATGTGTCTCATTTTGTTAATGTGTTTGCTCTCTTTTGCAATGTGAAAATATACCTTCTAAAAGGTTTTTGAATACATATTCTGTTTTATTCATTTATTATTGACAATTTTATTTCAATTTATAAAATTTTGGTTTGTTTAGTCTTTATTTCGTTTTGTGTTTTGAAGTAAATGAATGAGTGTTGAAATATATTTTCACATTTTCTCTAAATCCTTCACGTATGAACAGAATGCATTCAATATTTTTATGTTATGTAATTTTCAAAATGAGGCGCTTAATTTTACTTCTATTTGCTACTTCTTGGCCATTCTTTTCACACTTACTGGAGCTTCACTATTTATTCGATATTTCGTTTTTAGCGAATGATATTTTGACAGGGTGTCGGTTTAGGTAAATTGTTTTGCGGAGAAAATTATTCAATAAACAATTGAAGCATTTAGGAAGATTCCGAAGCATGATTCTGAAAAATATAGAATTTAAATTTGAACACCGTGGGTTTACTCCATTTTTGAGTAATTTATAAATGTTTAAGATAAATCGATGGGAACAACATTCGAAGCTATTTTCCGAGAAGTTAATAAGCCGCAGCTGACTAACGAAACGCTCAGTAAAAGAAAATAGCATTGATAGTTAACTTGTTTACAAAAAATATAAATTTTGCGCTGCTAAATTATAACAAGCTTCCTTTCCCCGATTGATAAAATTGGTAAGAATTTTTACAATCACAATTGATTTAACACGCGGTTATCGAACGTAGGGCACCCTGTACTTGTTAGAATTGTTTCATTTTTCGCATTTTGTTAATTTCATGTAATTTATTATTATTTTTTAAACGAATTCATTTCGTATTTTGAGTAAAAAACAGTGGAGGGATGGATATATTTCATTAGCATGTTAAATCTATTAACGCTAACGCGCAAACGTATTACTAATAAGAATTTTTTGTTTTCTTTTTTAGGAAATCGTTAACCCAACTCCCATTATTGCATCGATTTGGGCTAAAGCTAACTTCGCATCTGGTTGGTTGATACAGTCTTTAATAAAAGACGTCTGACTCTTTTATATAAAATTTAAATTTTATTATAAGTGAGCATATACGAATTATTATTTACTTTATCTACACGTCGTTTTAACGGATATTGTATAAAATATAAAATAAACAAAAAATATACTGAAAGATGGCGACCGCTTACAAAACAGGTCGCTGCATCTTGGGTAACGAATGCGAGTCGAGCGTAATGCGTGTGTGAATGCAAGTCAGGCTGTATTATTTAAATATTTTTTAGATAGTATAAACGTGTAAATCGGATTCGAGATAATAAGTGAGTACCGTAATGTCGGGAGTTTCTCGAAGGTGTCGCACACATCGGTCGATCGGTGTTAAATCAACGTTTAAATTCACGTTAAACGAAGCGATTTCTGGAAAATTATTCGTTTCAATTTACACAAATTAAGCATATTTCAATAATAAGTTTTATATGTTTGTGTAATAGTAATTTTAATTGAGTTTGTGGATTATACGAAGGGCTTGTATCTATAGTGGTGCATTTCTAAATTTAAAATGAACATACTGTTTTTCGTGTATGAACTATAAAATTTGTTTTTGACTAATATCAATTTTAAATTCATACAGGTACAATCTGTAACATGTTAATTGTAAATTGGGATGTGTCAATATGGCCTTTTACTATTCACTGTGCTTCATTCCGGATCGCAACATATGTTATATACGCTATAGGTGCGATAAAGACAACTTCCATTAGACACTTATAAAGGAAAAAGAAAGTGACATTTGTGTCATTGCAACTTTTCATTCTGACAACTGTTATTTTAATAATCTTTGTTTGACTCATAACAACGACCATGTTTCGTGTGTTGACATCATTAATTGCACCTAATCATTTAGAACAAAATCTGTCACTTTACATTGTTGCTACTTTTTCTTAATTTCTTCTAATTTCTCAATTTAATTCAGCTTAATATAGTAACGGTATGGAACACCATTACTATATTGTACCTAAATAAACTTTTCATTTTTTAAGTACCCACAAACATTTTGAGTTCCATATTTATTCTCCGACTAATTTACCTTATACATAACTATTATTGCGATTGAACAGTAAACATACAAAGGATTATTTTACGTTGATTTAACATCGCTCGATCATCGAAGCACACAACTATTCGTCGTCGGAAATTTTGTACATACAATACAGAATTCGTTTTATCTACCTGCGATCGTGCGTTCGATCATTGATCTACGATTATCGACACGGGACGGACACTACTTATTTTCCCACGCCGACCGTCTCATTGAGCACTAGTTGTAAAGATTGTACATTGTATGTATTACTTTTCGAAGTAAGTAGCGCGCGTTCGGTGCGCCTCTAGATTTTTGCTGTTTCGAGGCTATCGCTCGGAATCTCGCGTTCCGTGTCGTACTGTCACTCGATTTGGCACGGAACGCGAAAGTTTACTTGTATGTTCCATGTAGTAGAGTATAGTGCGTGTACTTCACCGAAACGTTTAACTCGTTTTTTTTTGTTATGATATAAATGCATAAATCTAGATGCGTTCATCGATTGATGGGCCTCCGAATACAAGTTGCTGCACTGTGAAATACTCAATTGCGATTGCGCTGTTTGACCTACGTACGTTTTTCTAGGTAGTAGTTTTTTATGGTGTAGCGGGAATCGCGGTGTTAACGTATTTGTTTATTAATCACGAACTGATATTTCTAAATGCCGGTTGCGTTGTTTTTGTGCGGTTACATTCGAAACTAATTTAGTTTTTATTGTAATAGAGAAGAGAAGGGTTTGGTTTGGCCGCTATTTAACAGTGCAATAACGTAACTCACACACAACAAATGGAACTTCTGTCACCTTGTGTTTTTTTCTTTTACGGAGATCGTACTTTCGGACGGGGTTTTCCTCGATTTAATTGTTGATCTTGTTCTAATCATTTAATGGAAGGGGCTGAGTGATTCGCGTTTGTCGAGGAAAACTCGCTTATTGCGAATGAGCGCGAGATTTGTCCGGTAACCGAGCTGGCGCGAAGCGTTCATTCAAGATAAAGTTTGTATTTTGTGATAGTTTCATGCGCATCTCGGGCCAGCTGGGTTACCAAATTTTTGTTTAAAATAATTACGAGAATATTTCTAGGTCAAATAAAATTTAATATTTAAAAATTGTATAGGGTCTTCTAAACGGACGGAGCACGTTTTTTCTTTAAGTTAAGATTGATTGTACTTTACGTATGGTTTTTTGAATGTATTCACAGTTAGGTTATTTTAGTTTTTTTCGTTTTTCGAAAATCCGAAGAAACGGTCTTTTCGATATCGATGTTTTTTAGAAACTACACCGAACAATATTCCAAATCGGCGAGCGTTATTGATCTTGAAATAATTTTCTAACAATTTGGTATAATCAACCAATCGTTGTAACTCTCTATTTTTTTTTAACGTAATGTATATCTTACGGTAAATTTAATTTTGTAAATGTAAAGTTGTGAAATCAGATTTCTGTAGCTGCAACATACAGTAACTGCCATGATAATATTTAACATTCGAAATTCAATGTAAAAATCAATGTGTGTATTACTATTACTACAACAATTTGCAAGTTTAGTTTTATGATTGTTAATTATGTATTATCAGTTTTCTCATTTATTTTCTAGTAGCTTTTAAACTAGTTATTTCAGGCGTTGGCCAAATAATTTAAGTTGATAACAAGAAATCAGTTCCGCATTTGTAATTGAACTGTTACAGTGAGGAATTGCAAGAATAAAAATTTTAAAATACTCTTGTTTTATTTATTTTACCTATCTTATCTTACCATACCTTATCTTGAAGCTAAGAAGCTTGCAATAAATTGCATATTGATATTAAAAATAGTGGTATTCATTCAATTAACTGATTTGTTAATATAGGTATTCATTTTATCTTATATCAACTGAGACTGAAGTGAGATTTTGTTATGAAACTCAGTTTAACTGAGCTTGCATTTTACTTGGTTTTCAAGCGAGATTAAATAAGTAAAGTGGCAAATGTAAATAGGTCTGTTCCAAGGTCGTATATCGTCTATTCTATTTAGACAACAAAAACTCAAATTGAGTCAAATTAAGGTACTCAACTCAAAAGATCTTAATTTCTTGGTAAAAAGAATATACCTAATTATCAAAGAAATTTGAGTAGTTAAGATTTGCCGGTGCACACCGAGCAACCGGTTTTATTATGGTCATTCAACCGGTTGCTCATTATGCACCGGCAACTCCATGCATTTGCTAATTAGATAATAATTAAGGTCTGTTACACATTTTGCTCCACTATCATGCATCGGCATCGGGTTGACCTTGTAGGCGTGTAAACCCGTTGCTCATTTTGCTGTACTCTTGCATCCACATAGGGTTGACCTCGTATGTCTGTGAACCCGTTGCTTATTTTGCCCCACTCTTGCATCGGCATAGGGTTGACCTTGTAGCCGTGTAAACCGGTTGCTCATTTTGCTCCACTAAAGCCCTTGTAACTCTGGCTAGAGAATAGAACCTGCAATCGAAGGATCAGGTAATAGCACGTAACTTTCCATTGCGAAATACATAAGGCGCAAATTGATTATCCTATAATTATCAAATATAAAAGGTCGATCATTCTAAAGTAAATAAAAGATTTGCTATGTCATGTTAATAACTGAATATCAGGCGTCTATCAAGGCGTATAGATTTTTTTTTTGATTGGATAAAACGATGGTGTGGTATGATAAGTAAACTATATCCATATCAATATGGAAAATATCTTTTTAACGTAAATATTTCGTTTGTTAAACAAATATCACATGATTTTTGACGCCATGATTTTTTGATTATGAATCAGAGAAGATGTAATCAAAAGAATAATATTATTTGCACTTGCCCATATAATCCTAATTTATCTCTTATTCTTATTAGTCACTTCCCTATTTCTTGTATTTCATCTAGCCAATACTCAAACGTGGCGGATTTCAGCCACAATTACAATGTACACGCGACTTTCCATGGTAACGAAAGTTACCGGGAAACAATACAAACACACCGCCGAAATGGGGAAGTCTTGACAAACGGGTATTTACGAGCCGTATAAATAATTAAACATGGACTTCGATTTGGACGATCCCCTAGGAAGCGATGACAGTTTTTTCGAAGAACCCAAAGCGCTGGCGAAACGGCCGAGCGTGTCGAAAAGCCCGGAAAAGAAGACCCTCGACAGTTTGCTGGGCTTCACGTCGAAAAGCGCCGAAAACATCCCCCGAACGGAGACCGCGGATTACGTTAAACCCAAGTCGACGGTGACTTTCGAAGAAACGGGCGGCAACAAGAAACCCATGGAGGATTGGCTGTTGGACTCTTCGAAGCCGGATAAGCACAAAAAGAGCGATTTTCTGGACGATATTTTGCCGGTCAAACCCAAGCCCAAGCAGGACAAAAGGGGGTACTTCTTTGGAGGATATACTGAAGGAAAGCAAAGCCAATCAACCGGTAAAAACCACCTCTTTGAAAAATATCAATGCCGCCGAAAGTCAGTCTGATTTCAGGTAAATATATGCTTTATTAATAGGCTCTAATATGACCTGCCCAATGGGCCTATAATTAATATTTTGACGGTACTAAGGTAGCATAATCATTAGTTTTTTAATTAAAATCTGTGATGATTGGCATAATGGAAGTATTTTTGTCTCTAACTTATGTTATTAAAGTTTTACATTCAAGTTAATAAGCTTCACTGTTTTTAAAAGACGAGAAGACCCTATAGATCTTATAAAAATATTTAATTGATAGGTATACAATTGGTGCAAAACAATAAGTAACGGCCCAAACTGAAATGGAAGTTTTTCGACCTCAAAATATTACGATCTGACCCAATTTGCTTTATTAAAATATTCAAAATAAAAAATTTGAAGAAAGGTGTTTCAAGGCATGAGAAATCATAATATCATATTATCCATTTTGAGATATTTTCTACAGGGCGCCACAAGAGCTTTGTTGTTGATGTAAATGTACCTCTAACTTTTTAGATGTAGAAATGCATAGAAATGCATTAAAACAATTTTTTTATTTTTTATTTGGCTTTTATATTTTTTTAATTTATTTTATATTTTTATTCATGTTTCTGATTTATCTACATATGTAAATCTTTAATCAAAATATCCCGCAGTAATCGATGTCGTTTTATTCTTGGGACCTATCATTTTTGTTTGCCAAAATTCGTTATCTTTTTCAATGATTCACCTTATGATCTTTATTTGTATAAATTACAAAATAACAAAGCTGTCGGTTCGTGATGTTTAGTTGACCCTGTATTTGTATAGAGGATTTCAAAAAAAGGTTCCCCCTTTCTTGGGTAGGTATACTTCTGTCCATACAAAAAACGGAGTGCTCGAAAACATTATCATGCATAATACACTTGATCTCCCAGATGAGGCTGATTGTACAGAGACGCATAAGGGGCGACCGAAATTTTGTTAATTCTTTTAAATAATATGCAGCTAGTTGTGGAAAATTATTCAAAGTTTAACTTAATGAAGAAAACAAAAACACTTATCGGATGCATCAAAAACATGGAATTTCGCTGGCCGATTGCAGTTAAATCTGATTGGCCGGCGTTACCGGAAGCTTGTTTATTTTACCCAATAGATGCAAATGTGCGTGTGTCGCGTGGTGATCACGCGTTGATCACGCATCTAATTTTGTTTTGGTTACTTGTTTTATTGGATGGGTGTAGTATAGAAAATGACAAAATAAGTGGGGTTTGCTCAGTAAAAAAGTTCGCAAAGGCATCCGTTTTCAAGATACAGGGTGTTGAAAAAATATTTTTTACACATTTTTTAATTACGATTGTATCGATTCACTTTTGGACCATTACTTACGGACCACCCTGTATATACACTCTCAAAAATGTTTTGCATAAAAGAATAAACATTTAATACGAATTGTTTGTAAAATTACTCTTCAAAATTAGTTTCCAAAAGGCATAAACATAATTTAAAATTAACAATAAAAACAATTTAACAAAAGACATTTTAAATAATAAATGGACAGTGGCATTTCAACTATAGGGTGTATCAATAAGAGCGCAAGATTTAGATACAGATAACAATGTTATCTGTAGCAAAATATTTATAAATTAATCATGTGTACATTTGGGAATTATTATGTATGAAACAAAATATCTTGTAAATGGCCGCCACGGCTTTGCTGGCACAAGCGTACTCTTTTGATAAAATTTTCAATAGCATTATTGTATACATGTGGCGGTTTTTTATTGATACAGCGTCTAATTTCGGCTTTCAACGCTTCGGTGGTCGCGGGCATGTTGGCATAAACCTGTGACTACAAGTAACTCCACAGCCAGAAGTCCAAAGATGCCAAAACACAAAAACGTGGCGACCAATTCTGGTCACCAAACCAAGAAATGACCCGACCGGGAGTAATGTTTAACAATTAGGGCGCGATTATGTTCCATATCCATATCCAGATTCAATGATCCATATTTACTAACTCCCAACTGTCAACTTTCGATCTGTCATGTTATAATCACGTGTCATTATGACTGTCAAACATGACAGGCAATGCAAATCTTGCGGTCTTATTGAAACACCCTTTATATAATATGCAAAACATTTTTGAGTATGTGTAATGTAGGTACCACATAATAAAAAAATGCATCCATCTGTTGATAAGAAAATGCTGTTAAAAATAAAAAATTAGCCTGAAATAGGAATTTCGTACGTTATCAGTAAGTAATACTATGTAATCAATTAACCAAATAAACCGACATAATTAACGACAGATTATATCAGAAATATAACAATAAAATATGAAAATAAGCTGAACGAAACCAAAAACGATAAGGCATGACCTATCCTGTCGAGCCTCCGTGTGGGATTACACACACAAATAAATGTATATTGGAATTTATCTTTGAGAGATTTCTAATTTAAAAAAAATTGATTCAGTTTTGCCGCGTTGCCAGAAAGAAGACGGGGCCGAAGGGGCTCTGGGGTGGAGGACAACCTAGGCCTAGGTTTGTTCAACGATGATTACCAATTCGGCGACATTTACGCCAAGGATAAAAGAGAAATCATCTCGAAACCCTCGGATACGTCCACCAAGGCCACTAGCGCATCAGGTAAGCCGAATTTTATTAATCTTGTATTTATTATTAATGAAATAATTAGATGCATAATTAATTAATTAATTGCATTTTTATAAATATTTTCACACCACGCGGCTATTTATTATTAATTTGATAAGTTAAGAAGTTTTATTTATTATCTTATCTGCAACGTCGCGATTATCAGAGACAGCCTCTGTATCTAGCAGGTTCAGGTTGATACATGTTCACCAATTGTTTTAAAACCTAGTAGACGGATGGGAGGAGTTACATGCACCTGAAGCTTGTGCATTAGTGCAGCGCCTCAGCCGAGCATCCGGCATTAGTGAATTAATCGAGCTGGTGTCAACATCTCTCCCGAAAGATCACCGGTAGGTACCGATCACATTTTGAATCAATGATGATGCAATAATTTGTATCATTTTTTTACGATCGATTTCATATTTTTTTTTCTTCTAATTTCAATTTGCACAGAAAATGGAAAACAGAACGGCTACTAAAGGCAACTATGTGAACCAAATATTGGCATATCTCGAAGCTAGGCCCTTTCTTTGCGGGTTAGGAATTCTTGGTTTGGCACTAATTACTTATTTAGCCACGAGAATCGTAAGGAATAAATGGTACAGCGGTGTTAAAGACGATTCAACGAAGCTCCTGACCCAGTCCCAGATGTGGCAACCGGAAAACGTCTGATTTTGCATCGACTTGGGACAAACAAAAATAAACATGTATGTATCATTAATTAACCAAAACATAATTTTCTACCCAAGCATAAGGTTAAAGCGAATAATAGGCACTTATGCTAAATACGTTTTTAATTTTTTAAGGGAAAAATATGGACGAATTTGGTTATAAAAGTAAAATTATTACTTACCATGGAAAATCAAAGAATAGGAAGTTATGAACAACAAATTGTCAATAATTCGCGAGAATTTATTTTCTGGCGAATTGGCGCTATTATCATGTTTGTCAAGGTTATTGATAAGCATAGTTTTAGTTTGATTTATTTATGTAAAACGATGCATTAAAACAATTTAATATTACTGTATTTATTTAGTGCTTTATTGTATTTATGTTATGATATTTAATTCAGGTATCTAGTAATTTGAATGGTATTAAAAAAATTAAAAAAACTGCGAATCTTCTTGTTATTTCGTTAATCAAACACCTACACAAATGGATTCCTACTGGATTTTTATTTGTGCCAGAATTTTCTTTTTGGAGCTAAAATAATGTAAGTATGTTTCGCTAATTACATTATTAGTAACTATGCTAAAAGAAAACATTGTCGTGAATTACCTTTTTCTGTCGTTTTACTTGCAATTTGGTTCTCATTAAAAGGTTCTTATCTATCGACGACGACACACCCGATTATCAAAATCCGTTCTATTTACTTAGTGATTGCTCTCCTTTTGTATTCAAAATATTACTTAAATCATTGACCAGGGGTTCCCGATTGGCTGGGCGTCGGCTCCACCGTGAAAAAACCGGAATCGCCCACTACCAAAAAACCCGAAAGAACTCAAAGCCAACCGCTTCTCCCGAAGGAAGAAACTTTAACTGTACAAAAAGAGGACCCTCCTGTGCAGCAATTAGCACCACCGCCTCTCACGCAAACCCAACCGAAGGATATGACGCCGCAAAATATCAATGCAGAAATACAAAACACGTACTCCTCCCTGCACCAGCAGGAATCCCTGTTGCTGGCCACTCTGCAATTCAAGAAGTACGAGGAAACTCTCAATGAGATACAAGAAAAACAGCAGGAAATTATCGGTAAACACGCTTTGTTCGTGCATTTTATCTCGAGTATAGTTCATTTAATAAGGTTTAATTGTAGGTAAACAAGATAGGAATTTCCAAAAATTCATCGACGAATACATAGTAAAACAGCAATTGGTGGAAAATAACATCAGGTTGCAACAAGAGAGGATCAACAAGCAAATACAAGTGTTAATCTCAGGATCTTTCCACAAGGCCAAGCTCGAGAATGATGCAACAGGCGAGGAAGACGAGGAGAAAGAGGAGAACGTGAAAAAAGATACATTTCACGAAAGTTTGATTCAGAAAATAAGGGCGAGACACGAGGAGGAATTGTTTCTGATGGAAGAATCGTACAAGTAAGTTAATTACAAATGTTTTTTGTTAGGTAGATAAGGAGGGGAGTTGGGGGTACAGAGTTGGGGGTACCGACATAAATTACTTAATTTTTTGTCATTTCAATGCGCATTTAGATCCATTTATTATTTGAATAAATTGACATAAATATCTTAGAGCCTTACGACATTTATTATTTATAACGGTTTATAATAAACTTTTGGGACCTTTGAGCACATTTTCACTCCACTTTTTTACATAACAAATATCCTATAATAGAAAGCAACTGGACCTGATCGAAAAATCCTCGAGCAACGTGGAAGAGAGCCTGAAAATCGAAATGAAGAACGTCTCCGACCTGCTCGAAGGCAAAGTCAACAACATCAAAGCGAACTACGAGGAGGAAATCGCCTACTACAAGGAGAAACTCAAATCGATGGAGGAGCAACACGCCAAGGAGTTGAAGCTGGCGAAGGAGATGCACGACAGGAGGTTCGAGGAGCTGAAGGCCGAGCATCTCACGCAAATCGACTACATCAAAGAGATGAAGGAGAAGGAAATGAAGCTGATCGACGAGGGGCAGGTGCTGTCGCAGAAAATCGACAGCGGCATCGCCATGCTGGGCCAGAACGTTAAGATCCTCTGCGACATCGAGGGCAAGGTCAACCAAAGATCCGACGTCGTGACTCTGGCTAGGGAACAGAGCCTGCAATCGAAGGAGCAGGAAATTGCAAGTAAGTTTCCATTGCGAAATACATAAGCCGCATTTTATCGATTGTAAAACCGATCATTCTAAAGTAAATAAAAGATGTCCTATATCGTATTTTAGTTACGTAGACTATCAATGGCGAATAGATTTTTTTTGATTGGATAACACGATGGTGTGGTATGATAAGTAAATATCGTTATCAATATCGGCTATACGAAAAATTCACCATATTTTTAACGAAAATATTTCGTTGGTGATTATTAAAGAAATGTCAATAAATTTAATACTTATTAAATATCATAATAAACTTTTAATAAACGCACATCACTTGATTTGTCTCCCTCAATATACACAAAAAACCCACATTCACGAATATTTTACGTTTTCACATAATGATTATGGTGTTACCATGCGCCATACCTACTGATATACTAAAACCTTGTCGACAAATCATAAGATAAGACCTATGTAGATCGATAAATTTTGTAAATATAAAACCCTAGTGTAGTGTAAATATTTTTTACAAGTCCACAATAATCCTCATGTGGTCCTCGAATATGGCTGAAGTATATACAATTTTTAGTGATGCGAAATGCCCTGGAAAAATCCAGAGAAACCGCGGAAAACGACAGAGCTCTTCTACTTTCTTTGGTTCGAAATTTGGAATTGAAGTTAGCCGAACAGAACGCCAACGCCCAAGAAGACAGATGGGCCTTGCAGCAAGCCTCAGCAACCCTAATAGGCAGAACCAAAGCCATAGAAAGGGAAGCAGAATACAACAGAGCCATCATAGATAGAGAAAAGGACCAATTAAAGGTAAAACGTTACGCACAAAGTCTTTAAGTAACTTGAAGCTTCCTATAGCGTCCTATAGCGAATCTATAGCGTCTTCTATACTTTCAGACGCTCAAAGAAACCCTGCTGGCCGAGCAAGAGAAACTAATCATGCAACTGACGGAGGAGAAGCTGCAGCTGGCCGCCGAGAAGGCCAAGTTCGAGACGACCTCGAAGCTGACCAACAGCTACGAGGTGGAGCGCGCCAAGGCGGAGGCCGAGGCGGCCATAGAGGAGGCCAAGCAGCTGTCCACCAGGCTGAACCAAGAGAGGCACGCGCTGCAGCGCCAGAAGGGCGAGCTGCAGGCGCTGCGGCACGGGCTGAGCGAGCGCGAGCGCGAGCTGGAGGACAAAGAGGCCGAGCTGGAGTACCTGATGCAGGACGCGCAGAAGAAGCTGAAGGAGGACAAGCACGTGCTGGCGGAGGCCAAGAGGATGGAGAGCATGTACAAGGAGCGCATGAAGGAGCTGCAGGGCCAGTGGGCGGTGTTGTCCAAAAGGGAGAAGAAGTTGGCCGAGGAGAAGATGCAGTTGTCGAAGGAACGGCTGGCCATTTATACGTCTTTGAAGGCTTCGAAGGATTGCGTGCTGTGCAATGCCGGAGGCGATTCGCAGATCGGGAAAATTCCTGGCGATAACCACTTTAATGCGAAGGTAAAGTGAAGTCTTTTTGTCCAGATATACAGGGTGTTAATTAATGCAATGTACTTATTTTAATGGGTGATTATTCTTGCGTTAATTTTGAGTCGAAAAGTTCATGTAAAGATATGTCCTCCGAAGCTCGGTTTTTGATATACCTATAGGGTAGGGTATTCTATAGGGTGTGCTATAGAGTATTCTTATTTTGAAAATTTTAAAAACCGTTTGAGATACACATTATTGAATTCTAGGATAACATATTATGGTATAAATAAGCATGTACAAATATCTATGTTACATAAAATGTCTTCTTCTTATTATGATTTTAGGTAAGTAGATAGTTTTTGGTGTGACGTTTTAGATGTAACAACTATAAGAGTTTTTAGTTATTTTCTTTAAATAATGATAAATTGTACGGCAAAAACGCAAGAAACTTTTTTTGTTTAAAATGAAATGGTTATCAATAATTTTTAAAGAAAGTTTCTAAAAACAGTGGCGTACTACTTTTTTTTAGATAAAATTGTACCAAGATCTACCCATATCTACGCCACTGGTTAAAATAAAAATTAATATTTTCTGTCTGAAAAATGCGAATTTATACCATAATATATTATCCTAGAATTCAATGTAATTTCCCATATGGTTTTTCAAATTTATGAAAAAAACCTAAATAAAAATAAAACTTTACAACCCCCGTATATCGAAAACCGAGCTTCGGAGGACATACCTTTATATGAACTTTTCGACTCAAAATTAGCCCAAGAATCACCGGTTAAAATTAGTACATTGCATTAACACCCTGTATAGTGCTGTAAAATTGATTTCTTGCAGACGCCTGATCTATCTACGATGAAAATTCGTTATGATGCCATGGATGAGGATGAAAGCGAAGTAAGCAAAGAAGGAAGCCGAGCAGATAGGTGAACAATAAGATAAATATTTAGGTTGCATCGATTAAATTATCTTGTATACAAATTTCTTGTTTGTGGAAACGTTAATTAAGTAAAATATACAAACTTTTGCATTATATTCAATGTTTATTAAAATAGAGGCATGAGAGACAATGCAAATAATTACAGATGATTTATTTTATAGAAAAAAACTAAGTTTTTGAAGAGAAAACATAACCGCATTCGAGGAACGCTCTTCGTCCCTCGAAACAAATTATAAATGTACAAAATTACAAAAAGTAGATCCAATAATGTGTTGTAATGCGAAAGAGAACAAAAACTGTGTTTAAATTTTTATTTATTAACGTTTTGTTTTCGCAAACACCCAATATTGACGATTACGCTGTAATTTCACTGAATGAAATGCTTCCTTCAATTCAAGCATATTTCTTCTATGTTGAATCAAAAATACTGCCATTTGCCTAGCACTGCATCTTTAATGGCGTCAATATATTGTGCCGGCACCCAATAAATCCAGTAACGTGATGCTTCTGTGGGCCCCAATTGCAAACCCTAATAAAAAAAACAACTATCAAATAGATTTCTATAGTTATACAGAGTGGTAAGTTTAATTTAAATCAACTGGACCAAATCTGTAATAAATAAGTTTTAGCCGGTTTCTTAAACTTTATAACTTACAAAGAAATTATGTGTTTTAGAGTCTAAGAAACAGGTCAATAGCCTTTTATTAATGAAAACAATAATGTACCAGTATATGGTATTCCTCATGATCATCAATTGGTTCAGATATCACACTTTTAATTGACCCCATGGGCAATTTTTCAGTTCGTTCCTTAGTGCTTAGCCATAACTGATCGTTCTCCAATTTAAATGTTAATCTAACTTTTCCTCCATGCTTGTTTAACATTCCGGATAGAGGTACGTGCGGCAGCCCTTCCTGAAAACGAACCGATGTAAAGAAGCTTAATTCTTTGAATAGCTTCACCTGTCATAAACCTTAATATTTTTTATTCCTGGCATCACGTCCTCGGGTAGTCCTTTGTCCAGGACTTTCCTGTGGATTTTCTGGCGAGATAGGGGTTCTTTGGACGTTGTGGCTTTGTCCGATTCAACGATATCCTGTAATACAAAAATTGCTGGAATTAAATGGTCGATTCTGTGGCTCTATTATTACCTCTTTACTAACAGAAGACACAGCCAAAACATCGTTTAAAGTGGAGCCCACTAACATAACTTTCGAACCCTTCATAATCCCCGAACTGGACACGGTCTGACAATCCTGCAGAAGACCTTTGAACATAAGTTTTTGCATTGAATCGGGAACACCTGAAAGTTCAAATGTTATGAATATCGCCTCGCTATTCCACCTCTACGTCTTACCTAACAAATTCTGTAATTGCTTTTTTAACTCTAAAATTGTGGTTTTTGAAGTAGTTGTCACATCGTATTTCTTTTTGTTGTAAATTACTTTGATTTCAATGGGATCCTCCTCCTCCTTCGGAGAGACTTCGAGTGCTTCTTGCTCGTTTTTAATCAAATCTGTTTTGGGTATTTTAGATTCTGATGGTTCCGTTAATCTATCTTCGTCTTTATTACTGTTTTCTATCTTTTCTCGAACCTTATTCTCTTTGGCTAATTTGTCGTCGACATTGTTGAGATGTTTACTTTCACCATTACTTTCGGAGTCTAAAAGAGATTGAAATCGTATCAGAAGGAAATATCATTATTACAAAATGGTTGGTTTTATATTTAATTTCATTTAAAATTAACTTCCTGCAAACGATTGGTAATTGACTTACTCACCTACACAATCCATTGTTTATTTATGTTACGAACTAACTAAACGAAAAGATCTGTGGATATTAAATAACGTATAAATTAATTAAATTTCCTTTTTGTCCATTCGATTACTTGCATTTCAACTCTTCACACCGAACCATCTGATGATGACGTTGACAATTGACGTAACTTGTTTAAGGACTTCTACTTGTTTGATTTTGAGTTAACAAGGAATGAAAATTGCTTGATTTTTGCAGTTGGTATTTATTTGTTGTATAGTATTCTATAAATTGCTACAAGTTTCAAGGGATTTTTGTTTGAAAATCATTCTGAAACCAGATGTTTTGATTCATTTGAAAAGTTTACCAATCAATAACCGTTTACGAATGAAAAATGAAAGTCCCTGAAATGTCAATGTCAAAATTGTCATATACAACATGTCAAACTCACAATTCTTTGATTAATGTTTAAAATTTTGTTTATAAATTTGTGCATCATTCGAGATGGTGGTTAATATTACTGATAAATTAATGGAAGATTTAGAACGACAAGAATTAGAGGTTGTAAACATTAATGAAATTACTTCGTGTGTTATTCACAATTTCCAATTTCAGGCCCCTAATGGAAATGCACCAGCATACGTTTATCAGCAGTTACTAGCCATATATTTATATCAAAATGATTTGTAAGTTTACGATCTCTGTTAAATATAGCTTGTATGAGATTACTTTTCAGATGTAACGCCAAATATTTGTGGAAAAGGATTCCACCGACAATAAAGGCCTCGACTCCGGAACTAGCCAATATTTGGGCCGTAGGGCAAAGCATGTGGACGAGAGACTTTCCTGCTATATACAAAGCTTTAAATTCTGTTACGTGGTCTGAAACGGTCTCTGAAATTATGAGACAAGTTCAAGGTAACGTTTATCTGTATAAAACCTCTTAATATCGAATGAATCGTGGAGTTATATCACCTAGTTCTTGTGCAATTTATCTTTTATAAATTAATTTGTTCTTTCAGAGGTTGTCCGATCGAGGGCTGTTGATTTGATATCCCAAGCCTACTCGTCGATAAGTCTGGATACAGTATCTGCCATGACAGGTTTGCCTCCTGAGGTTTGCGTACCTTCTTGCTTGGAGAAGGGGTGGAAATTTGATGCGGATACCAAAATGGTGCACCCCGTGCGGCAGGTCGTTCAGCATTTAGGCCAGACCAGTAGCGAAGATCAACTTTCTAAATTGACTGATTTCGTCTCGTTTCTTGAAAATTAATTATTTTTTTAGGTTCGTAGTTCAACTAAGGTTTTTTTTTTATTGAATAAACAGAGATAGGTTGGTAATTTAATTCGAAAGGTTTTCAATTTTGTTGGTTAATTTAGGCATTCGGTTTGAAAATTTTATTTTACAAAAATTATTTGTGTTAAGATGATAATGTATTAGGAACTGAGTTTTCTTCGTTGAAACTCTAATTTAATTTTCTCTTCAATCTTATCTTTATCAATAGTCACCTAAAAGAAGAACAAAATGATTAATAAATTATTTACCTAGTTCACATGATTATTAAAAAAACGTTTAAAAATACTTACTGATTCTCTAAGAGTAACAAACTTATTATTGTTTTCTTGTTTTCCTAGACCATCCAGATATTTTTCCCTCAAGTAAAGCACTGTATCAATATGAGTTTTATGTTTAATGGCCAAATCTAGGGCTCTAAAAAAGATAAGCAATTAATTACTAAGTTAAATTGTCCTGCTCTGTGTTGGTTCTTATTCGAGACACTCTGTATATTGTGTGGAATTTCTTACCTGTTCCAGTCATACAAATTTATATTCATGTATATAGCCTGGAACACCATACCGTTGTGTAAAAGCGTCGATTCAGCTTCCAGATTTTTACCACCCAATAGAGCCATTTGAGCTCGCTGCTCAATTTTCGAAGGTAAATTCTAAAAACCAATACCTCATAAATTTGCCCAATTAATTCGAGAAACATTCTACCTTTATGTGCTGTAAAAAGTACACTTTATCATACTGATTGACGTTCGCAAAGGCCTCTTCAGCAATATCCATAGTAAAAGCAGAGGCTTGCGTGGCCAAGACAGCAAGGCACGTCCACGTGGTCTCGTTATTCGCGGTACGACAGTAATTAATCGCGTCCGACCATCGGTTATCCATCACGGCCCTACGATAGGAAAACTTTGGATTTTGCGATCGAATTATCAGCCTCGCTTACCTTTGGATTAAACTGGGAAAGGGCGATATGGGAACGTTCAGCAGCGAACCGTCGGCGCGCCTCACCGACACCGAATTCCCCACGAAATCGTTGATTTGTGGGTTGCTGCTCAATTCGGTGGAATCGAAGTGAAACGAGCTCATTCTCAGCAGCTTCGGATTGAAGCATGCCGTGGGACAATACCAAACGACTAGTTTGGCGTCTTGCACCGCTGCCATTATATTTTCTGTGGCATTCCATTTGAACGAATCGATTTTTCTTCCTGTAAAATTATTCATTAGAATGCATACAAACAATATTCGCGATAAGTATACCTAATTTATTAATTGTTTTATTCGGTGATCTGATATTAATCAAAAATAGGTCTCTGGTTCGATCCAGAATCGCCAAATTCCTGGACGCCGGATCGCCCCATTGATCCATAGACAATTGGATTATCGGGGTATTGTGTTGAAATTGCGTGGGCTCGCTGGACGTTCTGTTGTTCGATAAATCTATTATGTGTATCACTAAAAATAAAAAATATATATACCCTGCTTAAACCGAAGTAAAATTGGCAGTAACTCACGTTTTGGATCTCCTGCATCTCTAACCACTAATGTGTCCGATGAAAGAGCCACTGTCGATGCTTGAACGTGATCTAATCTCATATTGGGCCATCGAGGAGATGCTACTAACCTTCCTTGGTAGTTGTATATACTAGCGGAGTTCTTTTCGATCAAAAACATGTGCCTAAAAACGGTGAAAATATCTGAACTTATTGAGTTAACCCGTGCACTCGTACTACATACTTTTCAGCGAGCAACAACAATATAACAGACCCATCTTTCAAATCGAATATAGCCGGAGTGTTCCAATTATTCGTATTGTAAATGTAACATTGCGATGGAGTAGTAATAACCAGATGGCTATATTTCATCGCCAATTGAATTATCCTTTCGGGAAGTTCCAATTGCTCTTCGGTATCGTCGAGTATATTTTTAACAACGACTAACTTTTTCTCTTTTATCAACGCCACAAAGTTCTCGTATTGGACTTCCCTTTCTACAACGTGGGCAAATAGAACCTGACCATTGGCGCAGGCACCAGCTAATTGGGTACCATCCGCCGACCAGGCCAGTTTGTAGATGCACCCTGTATTCGGTTTATCCAGAGACCTTGACCACTAAATCAAGATTTAAGTTGCGATAAAGTTGCTAATAATTAGCTGAGAAAATATTGTTTACCCCTAAGTAATCGCAGAGCCTCAGAGTGTTGTAAGTAGCTACAGCGAAGAGGTCACCAGTCGGAGACCAGGCCACAGATTGTATGTGATTCCCGTGGAATCCACTGGAAAACATCAAACGCCCCTGGCTATCCCATACTCTGTACTTGCAATCTTCTCCACCAGAGACGATGAGCTCGTTCACGGAGCTCCAAGCTAGGCATAATACAATAGCATCGTGTGCTTTCCACTGCAAAAAAGTATAGAAATGTTGCAAATCATTTACCTACGAACGTTTTTATTATTATTAATAAATTTGAAATTTATCGCTTGCATAAATCCACAGGCAAATATTAAAAGAGTTCGTATCACTATCATAAAACGCGTACGATAATTGATCTAATGACCTGAATAAATTCAAACATTAATAAACTAAGTACAAAAAAAAATTAAATAAACTGCGTATAATATATTAAATTAAGTAGTTTAATGGCATATATGTTCGTAAAGTAAAGGAAGTCGTCTTTCAGATATCAAACGATGTTTAGTCTTCGGGTTGATGTTATGAAACGTATATTTCATTGCCAATATCATCACTATTTTTTATGAGCACGGAAATGCAACTTAAAACAAGCTATGTAGAAAAAGCATTTAAAGTTGTTACCTTGAGGGGTTTTGTATTGGGAGCTAGTTGCTTTACAACGATACATTTTCCTTGGGTGTAAGCGATCGCTTGGCTATCTGGTGACCAGGATGCTCCGTATACTGAGCATTCGCTTGTAACTACCGTGCTTCTGAGCATTCCGCTTCGAGACCAGATTTTTATCATGCCATCTTCACCAGCTGAAGGTAAGAAGTGGATTAATTATACAAGAAAGAAGCGAAACCTCCGTCAATTAGGATTTTCTCAAAGTAGAAGTATAACCATTTTTAGTGTATAATTTACTTTTCCAATATTCTAACAACAAGCATACAACAAATTCATGTTAATAACAACTTGATATGATTTGTTTATAATTTAGAAATTGTTATTTGTTACTAGAGTTTTGAGATTTGAGTAGGTTTTTCCTAAAATTCTGTGCTTACTAAGATTATGAATAAAAAATATCCCTATTTATAAAACGTAAATTAATGTAATTTCGATAAGAATTGCACTCGTACATACAGGGTGTCCCAATAGTGCGGTAAAGCCCATTTACTCAGTTATTATAATAGATACGAAAAAAATGATAAATAGGAAAAATGTTAAGCACCTTTAGGCGCACAATTTAAAATTATTTCGAAATATACAGGGTGGCCCATAAATCGATGCCATACCAAACATACCTTTTTTTAAAGGCAATGATATATTTTTTATATCATATTCAATTTCAGCTCGTTTTCACGAGTTTCTCAATATAAGATTTCATATGACTATACTGAGTATTTAAAAAGTTATGGCCATTTTTATGTTCAAATCGACATGATTTCAAGGCCCTGTATATCAGAATCTGTATCAGATAATGTGAATTTTTCTGTGTCAGCACTTTTTGAAAATGGTCTATTTTCACAAAAAATAGTTACATTCTGACAAAATTACAATTTGTATACAGGGTGAGTCAAAACGCAAACATAATATTTACTCGCTTAATTTAAATGGAACACCCTATATTAATAATATCCAATGGGAAGTCTATTTCTTACTGAATCTTTTTTCATAACATTTCCCTATACCTAACTGTCACCGTTTCTGAGATATTTTCAGTTTTATTAAAAAATGTCCAGTTTTTGATGTTATAATTTCATTTTGATCTAATTACCAATGATGGTGTCGACCTTTTTTGCAAAATAATAGTAGAAAATGTAATATCAAATAATTAACGATCATTAACTACCCGAAATATTTGGTAATTTTTAAATTAAACTTTAAATTATTATAATTTTAATTTAATCTAGTTACCTCTATGACGTCATCATCTACGAACTATGCGAACTTTACTTATTGAACTCGTGTCACTGTAAATTATAAAATAACTAAAAATTTAGGGTACCTGCTAATGATATTTGATTAATCATTAATCGATATTTAATTTTCTACTATTATTTTGTAAAAAAGGTCGACACCATCATTGGTAATTAGATCAAAATGAAATTATAACATCAAAAACTGGACATTTTTTAATAAAACTGAAAATATCTCAGAAACGGTGACAGTTAGGTATAGGGAAATGTTATGAAAAAAGATTCAGTAAGAAATAGACTTCCCATTGGATATTATTAATATAGGGTGTTCCATTTAAATTAAGCGAGTAAATATTATGTTTGCGTTTTGACTCACCCTGTATACAAATTGTAATTTTGTCAGAATGTAACTATTTTTTGTGAAAATAGACCATTTTCAAAAAGTGCTGACACAGAAAAATTCACATTATCTGATACAGATTCTGATATACAGGGCCTTGAAATCATGTCGATTTGAACATAAAAATGGCCATAACTTTTTAAATACTCAGTATAGTCATATGAAATCTTATATTGAGAAACTCGTGAAAACGAGCTGAAATTGAATATGATATAAAAAATATATCATTGCCTTTAAAAAAAGGTATGTTTGGTATGGCATCGATTTATGGGCCACCCTGTATATTTCGAAATAATTTTAAATTGTGCGCCTAAAGGTGCTTAACATTTTTCCTATTTATCATTTTTTCGTATCTATTATAATAACTGAGTAAATGGGCTTTACCGCACTATTGGGACACCCTGTATATTCAATGTAAATGTTCGTTATTTAAGAAAAAGCTGTAGGTACCAGCGGTACCAGCTGTTACAAGAATATAATTCCCAGAAAATAGGTCACATTCGTGACATATAAGTATAAAAATTATCAATGTTTCTTATATTTATTTTTATTAATAATTAATTAATGAGCGTTTTAAATGGAAGAACACTATGGAAAATATCACTCTTTTAAAAATGCTAGTAACCATCTGTTTAATATCTGTTTACAAACAATTTTTAATATTCACAATTTCTTTACTAATTTTATGCTCAGTTACTATGGTAAATTATTCCTTCCTTTTATAATTCGCTACAAAATCTCTCGACTCCGGGATATGTTTTCTCAGGATTTTTTCCTCACTCCATCTTATTGAATTAGCCACGAATAAAACTCACCAGTTAATAAACTCGTGCCGTCGTTGCCCCATTGCCCAGCTAGGATTGCCCCGGTGTGAGCTTCGACGGATCTCTCAATTCTCCCTGCCTTGTTCAAAATGTGAAATTTTCCATCCACCGCGGTTATCAGAATCAAATCTCCGTGCTTGCTCAACGACCCGCCGATTCTGGGCAGAAAATGGAGATCCGTAGGATAAACCTCTCCCGGAAATTTTGTTACCTTGGCGGATTGGTTGGTGGACACTGACCAGGATAATATCGTGCAATCATCTCTATAATATAATTTTATTAAATTTGAATATGTAAAATTAATTTATAGGGTTAAATGATATAATTTGTAATCTTCGATAATTCGTGTAAATTATGTTACAACATGTTCGTGTTTGTTTCTCACAATTAATCATTGTTTGAAGATTATTTGGAAATTTATAATAAAATGATTTGATTAATTTGTTTTTACATTTAAAGGTTAACGTAGAATTGTTTGTTAAATATTTAACAAACATTTGTATAGTCAGGATGATTTTTAGTATTTTATTTGTTTCACTAATTTTTTATTTGTATACTATAATCGATGTAACCACAGAATTTCTTCAATTAATATTATAGAAAAAAATTCCATCATCACATCTATAAGTGGACATAAATAAAATAAAATTAATTCGCAAAAAACCCAATTTATCTGTTTTTATGATGAAAAATTCCTTATAGATACATCCAAAAGCAAGTTAGTAAACATACTAGATACGAGTTTGTTTATTCAAAATAAATTTGTAGATACTTTTGATACAGCTGGCTTTCGAGTTTGAAGTAATCTCGAAGGTAATTTTTATTCCTCGAACAGGCGATGAACTTTTTGATCTCAGATTAACCAACCAAAACGCCATTTTTCCAACAACGTCTCGGCTTCGGCTGCTCAAAAGCGCGTCAATACCAAATAAATCCGACCCTTACCAGAAACGATTCGATTCCTTATCGCGCCCGATTTCCATGAATAATAATACGACAAGATTTCATCAGTCAAGATATATTTTTTATTTATAGAATGTGTGCATAAAATGACGGCTGATTCCGTGGTGATCGACTAATGCGTATTGTAGTATGATTCTGATATCCGCAGCGAGAAGAATACGATGCTCACTGTTATTTATTTATTGACTGTTTTAGTGCTCGCTGACGCAAATAGAGGTGAGTTTTGGTACTATTTCGTATTGTTTTTGCTTTAGTTTCCTCATAACTAATAATTAATATTATTGTTATTAACAAGAGATATGAGCGAATGTTCGTTATTGTTAGATTAAATTTTTAACAACGAAGCAAAATATGCGAAGATAATAAATAGGAAATACTATACTCTTTTTGAGACAAAATTGACTATCTACTAAATTTTCTTTGACTTTCTTTTATAATCGTTACCTTGCTAAACCTAACCACCACAATCCAAGTGGAATAAAATGAACTACTTTTGCACCTCATCTTGTACACCACTAGTGGTAACTAACTACCCAACCCAATAAGATCCTTGAACCCTGTAGCATTGCAAATCTGAAAGTTACATTGAATGTGCGTTGTAGATCCGTTGGACTTTACGCCAGACACCTGCGTCAAAGTGTTCTACACGGGCGACGAGGTCTACAGCATCTACTGCTTGAGCCCCTTGGACGATGCCGAGGACTCGCTGGGCTTCGTGACGGACCGCAACCATAAGCTGATCTTCAAGAAGCACCTGGACGCGGAGGACGAGGGCAAGACGTGCGTCAACGTGATCTCGGACGATTCGAACGCGGTGGAGAAGCTGTGCTTCGTCACCATCAGGCACAACTGCGTGGCCAAGGAGGAGGGCGTGCGGAAGGAGGAGATGCGGAACGGGTTCGGTTTGAACAGGCCGGCGATGAAAGTGCCGTGCACCAAGTGGGATTGGGAGGATTATCAGTTGGATTGTTTCGGGGTGAAGCACCTGCGGTTCAATTTGATCAGTTATTGCGTGCCCCCCGTGCTTCCTTCCAGGCGTACCGTCATTAATATTCCTTCGAACAGTAAACCGCCTCGGGAATAATAATAATGGTAATAATAATATAATAAATAGATGAATAATAGGTAGTTTTTTGACGTTATGAAATATTGCGATTATGCCAATCGGGGAGTTGGGTTGTTTGGCTTTCAGAAATAGTGGCTACATGCCCAAAAATGTTTCTAAATTAGAAATATCGAAGGGAGCCAGAGTGCATATCTGCACAAGACCCTTTCCCCTTATTTTATGGACTATTTTTGTTCCATTCGTTTATAAATTGCAGTAATTTTTGAGTATAGTTCCAAATCTATTATATTAAATTAGCAGTTAATACCATCATAATATGTATGTGTAGGTCAATTGTTGCTTAGGTAATGACTAAAAACCTGTGATAAATCGTTTATACACTCAAATTATTTTTCAATTTTCAAACTATTAAACGAATCGTTCATTTTATGGATAGTTTCCACGAAACAAAAATAGAAACTCAGAAATAAGAACCCTTATCAACAATTAAAATTTTAAGGGCATAAGCAATGTCAAAAAATGTGTAATAATCTTATCTAAAAATACATGTTCACAATAATCTAACTGATTTTAATATTCGCGGTATTAGCATGTATTATATACTTATTTATATTTATTGTAAATAAACTTAATGGAATTAAAATTATTTAATCATTCTCCACGTACCTTCCTCTTCGAACGCAACGAAACATATTTTATACGAATAGAGGTTAAGAAAAAAAATCGTAAAAAAACTGCACTATTACCCGGAGGAATAAACCTCTTCGGTGCTGCTCCATCCAACGCAGGTCACTGGAGCTTTATGCGACGGCCTATCGGCTAAAGTAATCTTAAATTTCATCCTCGAATCAACACTTTTTTCTTCGCAAAAACCCTACACTAAATTACGCCTTTAACGAATCCATTAAACGCCAAGTTTATTTGTATTGACGTTGTCACGGCGACGTCGCGCTTTAACAGGTGATTAAAATGAACAAGTAGGAAGTAAATTGAAGGTAAAGTTTTCTTGAGGACGAGGAAAGTATGATAGGAAAGCTTCAGAAATTATTCTTGTGATTAATTACAAAATACCCAGTAAATGTTTATTCAACAAATCAAGTAACTAATTAATATAGGTACAATTTTGATTTTGGTCATATTTCCGAGTTAATGATACTATTTACTACAAGCCTTAATTTTAAATAACACTTAAAATACTTAAAATTACATACGTTTGCGCATTAATTGAAAATATGTATTTAAACGAATAATATATCATTTACCCCGCTTTGTACATCACACATATTTGGTACTGCAACAATTTACTTTAACCATAATATATTTAAAATATAAAAATAACGCAACATTGACTAACGAATAGGTGTAGGTACTAAAATAGCTGAAATTCATCCGCGTATTTATCTTGCGAATTCTCCACGAAAGGTAATTCGTCGTAATTATCGAAGTTACTCGTATCATAAACGGCCAGAACGGCCGGTTTGAATGGGGCGTTCACTTCGTACCTGTATATCGCCCAAAAATCCACGTCCTTAAACCATTTGTGGTTCTTGATGTCCATTACGCCGTTCCTCAGATTACCGTATCTGCAATACATCACCTTATAATAACACTTACTACACGCTAGCTACTCACTAACCTTCTGCTCAAATCCCTTTGCAGGAGATTCCCGATCAAATCCCGCAGCTCGTTGGTGAAGAACCCCGGACATTTGTACTTGACCGCCACGATCTTCTCGTACACTTCCATCTCGTCCCTCGAGGTGAAAGGGGGCCAACCGGCGCTCATTTCGAAGAGGAGGACGCCGTAGGACCACCAGTCCACGGCCGTACCGTAGCCCTTGCTCAATATTATTTCCGGCGCTATGTACTCCGGAGTACCGCATAACGTCCACGTTCGACCTTCCACAACCTGTGTTAGATCCAGCTGTGTTAATCTTTGATCTAGTGATTGGGGAAGATTAGGGCTTGCATCGAATGAGATGGTTATAAGGGAAGTACTCGTGATCAAATGAGGGAGGTTTAATGATAGGTTAAGCCAAGAGGTACAAAAGTAAAAGTGTTGGTTAGGAGAATAACTTATTTGCAAAAAAACTTACTACAGGAAAACTTACTTTGCAAAAACCGAGATCGGCGATTTTTAAATAACCTTTGTGATCAATGAGTATGTTTTCGGGTTTCAAATCTCTGTAAATAATGTGGCAGTAGTGGAGGAATTCCAAGGCCAACAGTACTTGAGACGCGTAAAATTTCGAAAGATTTTCCGGAAATTTCCTCATCCTGTAAAAAAACGCCTTATTGAAACAATTTTATCTACTCTATCGCTCATACGGAATTAAAGCAAATTATTTCTGGAACACCTATAGGGAGTACTGGATAACGTACCTTCTGAGGTGCGTGAACATTTCTCCGCCGTTAATGAACGGCATAACGAAATAAATGTAACTATTATCCTTGAAGCAATATTTCAATGATATGATAAACGGGAAACCAATCGATTCCATGATTCGCTTCTCGTACAGCGTGTGCTCCACTTGCTTGGTTTTTATAATTTTTTGTTTCTCGATGCATTTCATTGCGTAGTATTCGGGTCCACTCTCCGTTGTGCATTTGACCAACAGCTGCAATTGGACAAATAAGTATTATGAGACAGGAAGAATCGATCCAATGATCCCAACGCAAAATAAAAGGGGGATTTTTTCGATCCTATAACCTACCACACGTCCGAACGAGCCGCTTCCCAGCGTTTTTATTTTTATCATTTTTTCCAAGCCCTCGCTCGATGAAATCGTATGACGCTCCCATCTTTGAAGAAAGTCCTTATGCAGCTTGTGCAAGACATCGTAATAAGTGAGACTCTTGCTTTTATTTTTCTGCAAGAAAACCATTATTAGGTACACAACTATTATTCACTGCACAATAAGGTGCAACAAACCCTAAACAAGGGTTGCAAAATAAGGAGTTACTTCTGAAAGGTTAATTGCAAGCAATTTTTCCTTACCTCTTTTGCCTTAAAAAAGTCCTTTGAAAATATCTGCATTACACCCTTTCCTAACGTAATTTTAACGGTGATAAGAATACCTATGTTATACGATAAGCGCGTGAGCGCATATAATATACGAATCGCGATGATGACCGAAATAGAACTGACACGGAGAAGAGCTGGGGCACCTGTTTATTTCACTTTGCTTGCTGGAGCAGGGCTGGTGATCCACAGAACCGATGATTGCTCTTTCATAATCAATAAGCGCTATATGGAAGGGCGATCGTTCGAACGGAATAATTTCGGCTTAATCGAATTAAGAATAAAAAGCCGGCTCAACCAGCCGTACAGGAAATCCTTGGAAATTGACCGATAAAATATTCCCTTTTTTAAAGCACAGGGAATATATGAAAATCTGGAAACGCGTAAATAACGATACACTCTGTACTAATTGTTATTTCAACCAGTGTGGTACTTATAGTCTTATTTGTTGGTGTTTTATCGCTTGTAAAGTAATTATGTATATTTAATCGATTTAAAATTAGTGAACAACTAGTCTACACAAAAATGAAATTTGTTTAAAATATAATAAATATATGGATGCAATTAACTATGGCTTACCAAATAAATAGTTGTATAGAATGATGAAGAACAGTTGGAGAGTTCTGCATTTTTTAATATTAAAACAACTTTTTGGTAAACAATATTAGATACAGGATGTTTCCTTTCGAATTGTTTATAGCGTTGTATTATAGCGTGATTGTTGTTTTTCTTAACATATTTGTCACATTATTACAAATAATAGGAAGCACCCAGAAATAATGCATAGCCTCAACTAATTATGAAATACTTGACAGAATGTGTAAAATAACAGTAGATAGACGTACTAGTAACTCCTTTTATTATTTTTTATATAGGAATGATTAATTTCTCAAATTTGAGGAGAATACGTTTCAAATGAAGTCTAATTGGTTCAACATTTTTAGTCCAATAGGCACATTAATTGCGATTATTCGGGGACATACTGTACAAGTGCATTTCACAAAGAAAATATTTCACATATTGAAGTAAAATAAATAAAATCTTACATTCATTGTGGTATTCTGAAAATTTTATCCAACAGCACAAGTACCAATTGTATTTACTCCGTCTGAAAGGGTTCTAAAAATCGTTTGGTTTTACATAGCACAATCAGCACACACGTGTTTTAATGCACTTTTTTCCATAAACCCCACAGGTATTGAGTATTACAGTGTATTAATATGTATTAATACAGTGAAACTCACATTCAAATGCATAGCTCTTATTATATTTATCAACATTTTTTTGTTTAAGTTTAAAGGTTTCATTACAATTCTTTTGACAATGTCAAAAATATCTACATAGAAATGCATTTTTACGCGTCGATGTTTCATAAAATTGTCAATGTTACCACAAACTTTCCAGAGTTGTAAGGCCAGTCTACAAGCCATAATAACATTCTAAAATCTAAAAGTTCCAAATTTACTTTTTTACAAGTGAATTTAAGACTTTTATGTATAAGTTTCCTCGCTATAACCCTTTTCCCAAATATTGTTTGAAATGCAATTATTTATTATAAATTTTTATCCATACATACTTCCAAATGGGCAATTTAAAAGGGCTTATAAAAGGGTATATAATTATCCAAATATGCTTGTATCTAATTAATTAAGTCTTACCGACAACACACTTGTTATTAACGTTGTGCCTGGTGGAACATTCATCATTGTTCACTATTTTTAATAGCGCATAAATGAGTATTGTTACAAATTATCTCTGTGTTGACATATATTTTGTGTGGTGACACAATTATAACATGACAGGTTAAATAAAAAATATGTAATTTTTGAATCAATTTAAGTTTTAAAGTTTCGAAGAAGAAATTAACTTACCCAAGTGCCGTAAGCTTTAGATAAAAGGCCTTTATACATTAACCATAAAAATGCTGTAACAAATATGTACGCATAGGACATACTTATAAGTATACTGAAGGCGATAAGAATTATCATTTCTAATGCAGAAATTCCCAATTAAATTTTTATGGTAATTAAATGTTGAATTTCGAGTGTTTTAGAACTTTAATTACATGTATACTTCTGTAGTGATAACTTCCCAATTCATATAAAATGAATAAATTTTTGAAATACAATTGAATGTTACATACAGTATGTACGAACTGATCCGCTGCAAGCATATAATGAGAATAATGAGATAGCTAATTTAACTTTTGCTATGTAAGGAATAAAGAGAACATACGAAATAGTCACGCCCGCTATCCCCGCTATTCGCTAGTGGTCGAAGCGAAGCGAATTGACGAATTCTAATATCGGCCGGCAACCGATAAACAAGTTTCTGTTCTTTACTATCTTATAGTATTGATTGAGATTCTAATTCTAACGCTTGCAGCGGAAGAATTCGTACACTCTGTATAAAAAGGTAGGTACAGACTAGTGAAACGTAACATGAAATATATCATGTATTGACCATACTGCAATCTCATTTTCACTTACCCGTATTGCGCATTTACTATTTTGATAAAAATCCGGACATTTTGTTTTATCCGCATTTCTTGCTCAATTGGAAAATAATGTCAATACGCCCCTGCAAACTGTTTTCGTGGTATTTACCGACCTCTAACGACATCTTCACGATACAACGCAAGTAAAAAAATTGGCGGCAATTACAATGCGATTTTTCTTACATAATTTCGAATCTCCTTATCTAAACGCTATAAAAAGGTAATAAAAATTAATAAAATTTCGTCGGTAGCCGACATAAACGAATTTTAGCGGCCTATTATAGTATAAAAGAAATCCGAACCAGAAATCGTAAGTCGTAACAGAATATTTCGCGATTGCGCCTTGAAAATAGTCTAGGTTAGAGTTATGCTTCTGAATAAAATAATAAATAAAAACGCGTGTATTAAACTGTTGAAAGAAGTTCGTTCGCAATGGCAACTCCGAGGCATTCCTGTTCGATTTCATTCGAGACGTCGTTTAGAAGAAGCTTATAATTTAATTAAAAACAAATGCCAATGTAAGTATAGTATCTTTAACACTATAACCTATAAAAAATTACCTTTAATTTCAACCAAATTCAACAAATTGTAGCCAAGAAGCTACCCAAGGATGTAAACTCCGCAGCAGTATTCGCTTGCAATGAATTGGATCTCAAAGAAGTCAAAGTATATGGCTTCGATTACGATTACACATTGGCCTGCTACAAACCCTCCTTGGACTATCTCCTCTATAACTTAGGCCGCGGGACGCTCATCGAACAGTTTAAAGTAAGCACAATCACGCGTATATTGTGCATTATTCTCTATCATGTCTTATTTCAGTATCCGAAAGAAATAGCCCAGCTCGAGTACAAACCCGGCTTCGCCGTAAGAGGGCTGCACTACGACATAGAAAAAGGCGTCTTGCTGAAATTGGATTCCTTCCTACAAATCCAGTTCGGCAGCGTTTACAAAGGATTGACGCCTTTATCGAACGAAGAGGTTTTGAAGTTGTACAGAAACAGGATCATTCCCATAGCTTATGTCGAGGGCCATACGAAGAATGCTTCGGTAATTGCAATCTAATCGTACTCATTATTTCGGTAGCTAAATTTTATTATCGTAAATTATCGATTTACTGCAGACTTAGATACTTGCTTAGATAAATGGCGTATTATAATAAAAAAGCATAAATTATAGTACCTGGCAAATGTGGAAGATGGCCAAAATACTTCTCATAAGGAGAAAATGTATGTCTTCTATCTCAATGAAGATGTACAACTCTGTTTTATATGATAATGCGCAAAAAACTATAAAAGTGCATGTTGATCTTATTTTCTTGGAAGTACCTTATCTATTAGTAGTACCTATTATTTATCAGTACATTACCTTTCAGTTCGGTTTACGAACATTTTGGTTAGTATCAGGTCTGTACACACACATTTTTTACAAATGTAGAAATATTTCGCATTCACGATGAAGCTTTGCTTGTTTGTTTCATAATTGCATTTCTCAGTAGGTTCGTATTGTGAAGAAGTGAAAAATGTTCATGTCATTTCATCGCAGCCAATTTCATTCAAAAGCACAAGAAATTATGAATTTGTGAGTTACATGTTTCTTCGATGTTACTAATAAGTATTAACCCTATGTTAATACCCCATGTAACCCCATAGATACAGGTAGATGCAAAATTGCTTGCAATATGGTGCCTATGGGTGCGACAAAGACAACTTCTATTAGTCTCATATAGACGAAAAAGAAAGAGTGATATTGTGGGATTGCAACTTTCTAACTCTAACCATGGTTACTTTAATAATCTTTCTTTGTTAGACTTAAAGAATTGACAATATTGCAAGCAAATTGGCCCATATTTTTTATCTACGGGATAGACAATGCACAATTGGATGATTTACAGGGTGGTCAAATATTTAGAAATCTAATGAAATGCTATACAAAGAGTGCGCCTTGTCTTAGTTGGCATTTGGTCACTCTGCATAATCCATAATAACCAATTTCTAATAAGTTTTGCATTAGTTATTAACATTATCTGTATATTCTTGTTAACAATAGAATTCTGTCCTTTATAGTTGACCTTACAGGGCTCCCATACTAAAATGGTACAACTAGCGGATCTCTTTTCAGTGCCTGAAATGTGCCTCATTTGCAACGTAGCTGATTATTTCGAAAGGAATCACATCGATTACCATCCGGAAATATTGTTTAGAGACATCAAGGTACGCTAATATTTACAACTGTAATTAAGTATTCAATAAATTGATGTATTTTTTAGAATTCCATTAAAAATTCTCATCCGGTCATGCACAAAATCGTCTCCAAAAACGTGTCCGAGTACATCGAAAGTAACGACAAATTGAGACCGTTCTTCGATCGACTGATAAAAGCCAACAAGAAACTATTTCTGGTTACTAACAGTCCTTTCGGATTCGTGTAAGTATTAATTACTGAAATTATTAATAAAAAAAAAAATTTCGATTCGATTCCAGTAACAAAGGAATGGAATTCATGGTGGGAACCGATTGGAAGGATTTATTCGATGTCCTCATTGTACAAGCCAGGAAGCCCAAATTCTTCACGGACGTTTCGAGGCCCATTCGAGTGTTCGACGAAAGAAGCGGAATGCATATCTGGGATAAAGTAAACAAGTTGGAAAAAGGAGTCATTTATTACGAAGTAATTGTTTATATTAATCGCCTTAATCTGAATTGTACTCAACAAATTAGCTTCTGGAATTATTTCTACAATTGGGTGTTAATTTTTCCAGGGCACAGTTAAACAGTTACAGGAGCTAACAGGCTGGAGCGGACATCAAGTCCTATATTTCGGGGATCATCCTTACAGTGACTTGGCTGATGTAACTCTGGAACATGGCTGGAGGACCGGTGCTATTATCACTGAACTTACCGTAAGTATTTCTGTGTTAAATACATTTTAACGTTGCCGCGTTATAATCGAAATTCTTTATATTACTGATATATTTAATTTAAGCTTATGTTTACTTTCGATGTTTACAAATCAAAAAAATCAAAAAAATTACAAATAGTATCATCATTCATTCATTTAGAATCATTTAAAACTATTTAAAACCATTTAGAACGCTCCGGAACCATTTAGAACTATCTAGAATCATTTAAAACGTTCCAGAACCATTTAGAACTCTCTAGAATCATTTAGAACGCTCCAAAGTCATTTAGAGCCTTCATTTAGAATCATATAGAACTATCTAAAACCATTTAGAACGCTTCAGAATCATTTAAAACGCTCCAGAATCATTTAGAAAGCTACAGAATCATTTACGCTACAAAGGAAGACTAAAATCGCTGTGAGAGTCACAGAAACAACAAATTGTAGTCAAAACAACGTGTCAACTACAAATAGCGGAATTTAGAGAATAACGATATGGCAACAACGCATAGATATATCAACCGCGCTAGGTAAAACGTACGAACTTTAATTTGATGTGGTTCTTCCAGCACGAAATAGCTACTTTGAATAACGTGGAATTCAAGAAAAACGCCAACTGGCTGCAAATGCTGACGCAGCTCATAGAAGATCATCAAGATTGCGAAAATAAAGAGGAACAAATCATATTAGCTAAATGGATGGCAGAAAGAGACCAATTGAGGTACTGTAATTTATCCCAAAAAACCAATACAAAATTTATAACTTTCTTGTGTTATAGGAATGATATCAAATGCGTGTTCAACGAACAGTTCGGCAGCGTCTTCCGGACGTACCACAATCCGACTTACTTTTCCAGGAGATTGTTCAGGTTCGCTGATATTTACACATCGAACATAACTAATTTGTTGAATTACTCCGTCAATCACACGTTCTATCCGAGGAGAGGTGTCATGCCTCACGAATATACCTCTTATTTCGTTTAATGGTTGCCGTTGTTGCCGTTACTATTGCTAGTCAAGTACAAGTTTTAATAGGGATAGATGAAATTGTTCGATTGTTACGTGAAGTATTGGTATTATTGAATTGAGGATAGTTATAGAAGCGTTAAGTACAAGCGTAACTGCAAATTTGTGTGCAATATGGTCAGTTCTATAAGTTGAACAGAGAAAGGTTATTAATATAACAGTGTACTCTATCTTTTTCTTTTTATACGAAACTAATGGAAGTTGTCTTTGTTGTACACCATATTGCGCACAAATTTGCACTTATCTGTATGTAGTTTAAGTATAAATGTTTCAAACTGTTGTAAGTGTACATATGGAAAGTTTTATTATTTTTGCACTATATGTATACACTATATGCGTTATACACTTAATTTTAATCTATAATTTATTTATTTATTAAGCGTATAATTGGCGTAAATGTATAAGTTTTGTAAGCTCTCTATAAGAACAACTGATTCATGGTCTCGATCCAGAATTATTTATTATTTTTTTCAATTCAATTAGATTTCATTTAAAACAATTATCGATTAAGAATCTTAAAGCCATTTTACAGTAACATTACTCAAATTACATAAGTATTAGATAGATGCAATTGCTGTGGGTGATAATCAAACGAGTGCCATTTGGAATCATTTTTCAAAGTAATTCATGTACTGTATTATCGTGTGTCATTATGTATGTGATAAATGCTTATTTGATTAAATATGCATAAAAATGTTCAATTAAAATTAAAACAAAGATTATAAAGGTACAATTTATATATTGTGCTTGATAATATACATATTATATACAGGATGATTGGTAAGGACTTTATTCTATTTAGGTATAGACTTTATCCAATAAAAGTTCCTTTAAATCAAAAAATGTTTCAATTTTTTTGTGAATTTTTTGGTTTATATTGATCTGTGTTATTGATGGTTTCTATCTATTTGTTTTAAGTTTAAGGACCAGAGTAGGTTTGAGTAGGTTTGAGTTTGAGTAGGATTTATTCTTTACCAGATATCCTGTTCTTTAAGATACATTTTTAGATAATCTTTAATCTGTCAAATATTTACGTGCTTCTGCTCAAATTGAAATTATTGGGATTTCGCCAATCGGTCGAAATGATAAATTTTCCTAAACCGTTTCCTAAATGACAATACAAAAATTTATAAAATATGATCTACAGATTAATTATATGTAGATATTTTTAGCAAATTTTTAAACAATTTTCTCAATAAAAAAATGAATACGCACGTATTTTTAGTTGTAATTAAAGAATATCTTTATTTTTATACAAATTTTCTGTAATATTTACCATTTTAATTGATATACCAATATGATATTTTGAGAAATAAATCGTTTACCTACATGTAGAATCTTATTTTATTCCTCCCTAAGTTTAGTAACTCAAATAGTTTTCACAGGTTTCATAAAGACTTTTTATTATTTTAAAAATAGTAGATTTTTAATAAAACAAAACTAATAATTACTATCAAATTTGGAGAGCTCTACACATCGGAATCCGGGGAATTAAATTCCATTGGAGTGACTCTCGGGTGAAAATGTACCAACAGCCGTGAATAAATTGATCCAAAGAACTGGTTATTGACTAGTTGCGACTTGCTCTATGAGCACGCAGACGAACTATTGTTTCATGTAGCACAATTATGAAATTCCTCCAGAGTTTCATTTAAGTATTGAGACATCCGTTTTAGAATTCGTCGGTGTAATTTAGTTTATTTCCTTTACCGCAGAAAATGTTCCCGCAATATGCGTTCGTTGAAATTATTTTACGGATGCGTGGAGAATATGATAAATTTTCATTTATACTATACAGGGTGTTAATTATTGAGTGCCGATACTTCTGGATGTGATATTTGGTTGATTTTAAGAAGGAAAGTTTATATCAAAATGTCCTAAACCTCTTAGTTTTCGAGATACAGGGTTTTACAGTTTAAGAAAAAAAAATGACTTTTCTGTCATAATTATTTCTTATTATTCCAAATATATTTATGAAATTTTGTACACACTTTTTAATTATTAAGAAGCATTTTTTGAGGTAAAAGATTAAAAAAAGAATTGCCAGTGACGTCCGTACGGGGTTTAAACTGTATATGTTTGAAGAAAAAAATGGTACACCACTGTTTTTTTTTAAACCAAAATTATTTTTCAATTTCTCATTTATTTTGGAGCAAATTTGGTCCGAAGACTTACTTTAGTACAATGTGTCATTTTCGCTTAAAAAAATAAAAACCAAAACAAATTTTTCCCAAGTTCATTGAGACTGCTTTTGAATTTTCTACTATTTACAGTGACGTCCACGTCCGAAATTTCATAAAAATATCTGGAGTAATAAGAAAATTATGATAGAAAAGTTATTTTTTTCTATAACTGTAACACCCTATAGCTCGAAAACTAAGAGGGTTAGGACATATATTGATAAAACTTTTCTTCTTAAAATCACTCAAATATTCACATCTTAAACTAGCGGCATTCAATTAATTTACACCCTGCATATTTCGTCGCCCAAGTATATTTAAATACTTTAACAGGTGTATTTTGCAAAACTGAAACTGGTTGTGAACATGTCTCACATAACTGCTAAACTGCTAATGTTTGTCAATTTAATCTTTTTTCTAGCTACTATATTTTTCAAGATCGCTGTACTAACGAAAAAAAACTAACCCTGTATAATTCTGATACCTCCGTAATTTTCGATGAATTAGTTACCTGCTATTCAAAAAATAATCCTAGTTAAAATAGTTTGCCTAATGAAATTAATGTTTTAATAAATACTGTAGAACTTCCCCAATTCTCGGTAAATTGAATTACCCATATGCTGTTCTATAAATAATACAATACCTGTATTTTTTTGTTTAATAAAAGGTCAATTTTCAAAAGCTTGCTGATATACTTTGTAATAAATACGTAGGGTAGACCGCATACTAGACCGACACCTGTCGTTTCTAATAAAACTAGTTTAATGTGCGATTGTAAATTGAAAAAAAAAATGTTTTCAGACGACTTTAGAAGAATCTATGTATATCCATAATATCCATTTACCCGTAGGATAACTGTAAAAGAAAGCAAAACGTAGAATAAAAATCATCAAAAACCAAATTTTATTGGGCAATAAAGCAGACAAAGCCGTCCGCAAAAATACCTATTTCGCTAATTTATTTCATTCGTAAAATCAAAAGTTGCCCGATCGCTCGAGCGACATCAAAAGCCAAAGTTGAACGTTCGCGTCTTCGAAAAAAAAAAGCGCCGAAGAATCGGCGGTTATAACAGAAACTTACAGTTATGTTTGTGCAGGTCCCGAAATGTATTTATACGTGAAACGTAGTTTTTACCGCTAGTGAGTTTACTTTCATCCGAACTAACGGAGTCTTCAAGTAACAGTAATAATAATGGGATTGGATTACTCAACTAGCACTTTTGAATCCGACGATTAAGAAGGAACAACTAAGGTCGACCGTACAATTGCTGTTTGATCGCCGGTTTGCTTTCTCAATCGCTCCGAAATAACGCAAAAACAATTTGCGGTAACCACTAAATCGATGATTTCTTTGAGTTGAATTTCGATTTAATTACTGCAAAGGACTTTTTTCTAATTCGGTTTCTTTAGAGCGAATTCTCGACGTTCATGGACCGCTATAAATTCGCATCAGTGGGAAAAATAACCATGAGAATCATGAGCAAGAAACGAAGTTTGTAATTTAACATTTGACCTCCGGAAAGATCAATATTACGGTTGAGTGAAGTTGTAAACCGTATTACCTCATGAAACCAATTGTATACAATTGGTATACCTACTCTAAGAAACTTGGTACTTGCCAAAGGTGGATATTTTATAGCTTTAATTAAGCACAATTTGTCAAAAAAAAACGATTCAAAAATAACCGTGAGCAATTTAGGCTTAACTTAAATTGATTTCTTAAAAAAATCAAAAGCCAGTTAGGCAATTTACACCTGTTACGTTATATTAAATAAAAGTTAACAATACGACAAACAAACAACAGGAAGCGATGATAATTCGCATAGAATCGAATAAAAGAATAAAAACTAAAAAACTAATAAAATCGAACATCCTCCAACCAAATCCCCAATTAACATCGAAAAAAGAACAACCGCGATCCGATAATTTATGTACCGAAAAATCTAAAATACACCCTCCTTTCAAGTTTGCTTAATTATTTTTTCATCTGCTTCGAAACGACCTAACGGTGCGCCTAGATAACATCCTATGTATTTTTTGTGCAAGTATACCCTTCGAAGCCGCACCACCTCAAATCAGAACCTTCCAATTCTTTCCCGAACAGATGGTGTTTGGTAAAATTGACCTATTTTTTACTCTGCGAAGTGCTTAGGCGACCACTAGCCATCAGTAGCGTCCATTTGGGGAAGCATCTCAGTTAAAATGCTCCCATGAAAAAATAATGAAAGGTAAGAGCAAGAGAAGCACCAAGGAAAATTGACTACTTTTCCCAATCTTCTCCCAATCTTCTTCCAATCTTCTTCCAATCTTTTCCCAATCTTCTCCCAATATGCTCGCAATGTTCTCCCTATCTTCTTCCAATCTTCTCCCTATCTTCTCCCCATCTGCTTCCAATCATAATATATCATCGATTAAAAAAGGGTTGGCGCTTTAAGATTTGGCCTATCAAAACTTGCAACATTTATTACCCAACAGATTGAAGTAGGTACTACCTACACAAAAAATATAGGTACCAAAATATCGGCGCCACTGTTGCTCTAGTCTGTTGCCTACTAACGGGTCCGATGGACCCGTAACTTCCTAATGGGCGCTCGAGATTTTTAACCCTTTTTTTTTGGAGCGACCCGACCGAAAGGGCTCGAAGCCGCACTCCTCATTAGACCTAGACCCGATGGAAGAGAAGCGCGACAGGTGTAAACGATGGCACAACGCCTGTTGCGCCAGCTGAAGATACAATTCTTTATAAATTAGGTTAAGGGGTTTATGTTTATCGGACGAGGCACGAGAATTCCGTATTTATAATGGTAGCTCGCGTACAAAAAAAACTAATCCTTGTAGATGTAGATGTAGATGGTTCAGGATTTCGTTTAGTTAGTGGTGTGTTGATATTGTGAATAAATTCGTTGAATGGTTTTATGGATGGAAATTTGAGAATACTTATTCTTTATAATAAAGCACCTGTATGGGCCTCACATGGGCTTAGAGTACTTAACTCAAACTACTGAACCTTCCTAGAGATAGTGTAATTACTAGTCCATTATAAGTAGTATTTTTACTAGGGGTCTACTGTAGCTTTACCACGGCTTCTTTAAGAGCCTACAGTAAAATGCACAGTTTGGACAGTACTAAACAATGCATTTAAGGGTGCACTTATCACCTAGACATAAAGTAAACTGTACGAGATAGTCTTTTGTACCTAGTACCCAGGTCTTTTAAAGAAAGTTTGTACTAATCATCTGGTGTTAGTATGTTTCCTCTAGTACCTATTACAATGTATGGTATGGTGTATACTTTTAGGTAGGTCATAAATGCATTAGGTATAATAGAAACGAATCCATCAAATGATTCACGTTTAGTGTCGCGTAGGTTCAGCAGGAGGCTGACAAGACAATCTGTTCTTTCGTAGTAAAACAATCGGGCAATCCGCGCGTATGTAACACCGAGTTGCGACCGCGAACGTAACAGAGTATTTGTTGTCTTCTAGGGGTCATTATCGGCCGTTGGCATACTTACCTACACTCGGCGGGTCCCACCGCCGTTGATTGGCTCTTGAACGTGTTTTCGTAGCATTGAACTTCGCTATTTTCTCGATTCCGCGTTCGGGTTACGTGCGATTCAATGGGCGATTTGTCGTATTAAAAATAACGCGGATGATGCGCGAAAATCGTGGACAAATCGGAGC